GTTTTCTTAGCAGTTGTCTCAGCTCTTGCCTTYTATTTAGATGGTAAGTTTTCTTCCAATTTCTGGGTGTTTCCACAAGATCAGGAGCTCAGGTTCATTGTATGTGGAACAGATTTTTTTGGTCCATACTGTTTTTTGGTCTCTTAAGTCTTTGGTARAGGCTCTGCATTTATTAATGATGATCCATGCAAGGCACTTTTGTTTTCTTAATGGGGATCTGTGATCAAAACAAATGACACTTTGTAGTGACATTATGAATAAGAACAAAGAGGATATGGGTCCTCGTGACTCTTGAGCTATTCATAAAACTTCACTTTGTTTCCTCAAAGCTTTGGTCCTGATCTGGGCAGGAAGTTTTAAATGTAATTTTAGGGTCAGCTTCTAAAATGCTGTTTGTACAGTATTTTTGGGACAGTGTTTGACCYAAACTGAGTCAAGAACATCTGCTGTGGAAGGGAGTCAGGTGTAAGTGTTCTAKTAGACATCTGTGAGAGTCCCATACTCTCTGTCCAGGTTCTTCCAGATCTTATATATATGGAGGGTGTAATTATGCTGACTGTTAACAATTAGAATCTCATTGATGTTGGAGGATTTTTGTTTTAGCAGCGTGGTACAAAATACACTGAAATCATGATGTAAATGCAAATTCAGCTTGGCAAACTACAGCAATTGCAGCATACAGTTGAAACACAACACCAGTGAGATCCCCATTCCTGGTCTCTGGAGTATGCTCACTGTCACGATGCTCTGTGTCCCMAGTCACCAGGAAGGAATATGTGGGTTGAAGCAAGCTCAAGCTCTCTAAAATTCCTTTGTTATGTGGTTTTGTAGAGGCCTGTCTCTGCTCCCATGCTGCTGTAGCTAACTCTGGGAGACAGTCACTTTTTCAATGGACTCGGGGAGAGGCATTTACAMCACCAGTTGATTCACTCAGCTGGGATGCAGTCAGTTGATCCGCTCCACTGCCAGAGCTGTTTATCTGAAACAAAGGGCACTTTCTGGCCTTTGTGCTGAGATCAGGTCAGCTCTGCAGCAGCCGTGCTGAGGCACACCCTGCTACTGCCCTTGCTCATCCTTACCGAGCTGCCTTCCCTTTGAGGGGATCTGCAGGTCAGTCCTTGGAGGGGAATGATTATCAGCACAACCTTGAGTGAATTTGCAGAAAAACTCACTGAAGGCAGCAGACCCTGCTTAGTTATGCTGGGATAAAGTTCATTTTCTCCACAGTATCTAGTGTGGGGCTGTGTTTTGTATTTGTTCTGAGAACAGTGYTGATACCATTGGAATAAGCTGAGCAGGGCATAAACAGAGTCAACTTCTCTGTTCCTCACCCCACTAGCAAGTAGACTGGGGTACTCAGCAAATTGAGAGAGAATATAGCTGTGACAGCTAACCCCAATGGGGTTATTTCAGGCCTTCAGTCTAGAGGAAGAAGATGGAAGGGGTGGCATTTGGAGTGGCTTTTGCCTTTCGAAGTCACTTCTGCATAGGATGGAGCCCTCCTTTCCTGGGGAAGGCTGAAAACCTGCCTGCCCATGGGAAGCAGTGAATGAGTTCCTTGCTGTGCTTGAGCACACAGCTTTTGCTTTCCATRCTGAACTGTCTCTATCTCAACCCGTGAGGTTTTTCACCTTTATCCTGCTGATCCTCTCCCGCATCCACTGTGGGGGAGTGAGTGAGTTGGCTGCATGGGACTGAGTTGCTGGCTGTGGCTAAGACACAACAATAGTCTAGATATTTTTATTGTTTGGGTGTGATGAATATTTGTATCAGTATTTTTAGTTTGCTTTCTACTGTACAGTATGTGTGGCATGAAGAGGTAGGAAGATCCCACAGAGTGTGTCCAGGCTTCAGGTTGGCATAAATGCTTTGGTATTTTGGGCTTCACATAAAATGCTTTCAATGCCATGTGTAGTGCATTTCTGTGCACAAAGGCATTTACTAAATTGGAGAGGAGAAACAGACTGGAAGTTCAAATTACTCAGTGTAATTCAGTTTTGGTAATTGGATATACAGGGTTTGCAGTGAAAGCTCTGACTCACTGTTGCAGTGTGGTGACAGACRTTCCACAGACCCAGCTGTGTTCCTCTGAAATTCTCTGCTCTTGATTACWTTCTGATATTGCTCTTTAGTGCTTGTTTTGGTGCTGAGCAGAAGGGTGRTATACAAAGCCTAATTTAGTTATTCCAGTATGAGGATGTTTTCAGTTTTTAAGTGACACACTGACCAAAACTGTTGCTGTGACTTTTCCATGTTATGCAAGTGGTGATGTACTTTTGAAAGCTACRTTAGAAATGAGAACATGGTAAAAGTTGCCAATTCTGCAACTTTAAGGTTGATAAATATACATTAATAGGAGTTCAGTACTAATTCAGCACCTTACTGTATCTCCACAAAGTGTGAAAAAATAAAAATGTATTTGGACATACTCTTGTAATTCAACAATGGGCATGAAATTATTGTTGTGTGGACAGTTTTGTTACAATACAGCTTGATGGCAGATGTTGTATTTTGTAATCTCAGTTTCCTTTGCATGCAGAGGCTTTTTTTAAATGATTTTCTACTTAGTTTAAAACAAAAAAAAAAAAAAAAAAAAAAAAACCAAAAAAAAAAAAACCCAGAACCCCAGTGTTCATGTTCCTCATAGAACTCACTTCTCAGCATGTTGGCTCTGCACCTCACTAAGAGACAGAGTTCTCTCAATTCCCATCACAGTAACCAGGTAGAAAAGGAAAACCTGGAGCAGTGTGCAGCACAGCTGTACCTTCCAGGCAGATCCTCTGATTGAAAGTCTGTTAAGAAATATGGGGAGCGAGTTTCTGTAAGTGGCTGTGGGTTATGTGAGACCAAACATTGAGAAAACTGGGCTTCAACATTTGCTGATAGAGGGATTCGTTTGCTCTTGTGGAGCTGAGGCTRATCTGCCAACTCTGTAGGCTTCTGTGATATGCATTATTTCTTTCTAAAAGCACCATCCAAATACTTCCACAGAAGAAGCCCCCAAGTTCAGTTTTTGTTTGTCCTTGCACAGGAGGACTTCACTAATTCTCTCCCTTTTTGCCTCCCGTTAATATGGGGAAGGGGAACAACTGAAGCCTATGTGAGCCAAATATGCGTTTAGTTTAAGCTTGGCTTTGTATGATACAGTTATGGACCAGATAGTAAGAGGAAATTATGCTAAATGTCATCTGTCCTTAAAAATACTGTAGTTTAAAAAATCCCCAATTTTTAAAGGATAGTTTTTTAGCAGAGGAGATAATTTTGGGATAAATCTACCATTTTGAGCATGTGGGAGGCCCRAAACTGGTTTTGAAGATGTGACACCTCTGTCCTCTACTGTCACCATACAAATGAAACTTGTGACACATCAGTTAGTTTTATTTCTGTGCTTTTCCCTTCAGTAAATGAAAAGGCTATAGGAGAGAGGCATTGAGGAGCTGTGCATTTGGCAAAATTCCAGAAGACAATCTGAATGATAATTGAGATAGGAAACAAGACAGCAGTCACACTTAGAAGCCAAAGATGAGATTTTTTTTTCTCTTTATGTGGTCTGTTAGTACAATACCAGCTAAAGCTTAAGTGCAGYTGAGTGCATTTTTAGTGGTGGAATCAGTCTTAATTAAAGCACATAGGCTGGAGTGTAACAATTAAGTGAAATGTAGCATCCTCTGTCCTGGGAATGAAACAGTTCCATCAGTTTTCCCAAAACAAGACGAGGTAAAATGTGGATGACTGTCCTGAATTGCAGAAGTGCAGCTCACGTGGTACTGGTAATATTCAAAAATACCTGGAAGCTGTAGTGTTTGACTGACATTTGCCACATTGCTCTCTTTCATTGCTGTCCTTTCTGTATTGCATTCCTATGGTGACACTTCAAAATTTGAGGMTATTTGATTACCTAAATATTGCTTTTTTGAGGATATTTTCATATTTAAATATTGCAGTTTTTTGCCTTCCAAGCTTGTCTGTCTGGCATACTTGTTTACGTGACTTGGAGATACAGCTTTATGGATTATTTTATTTCATTCCTTAAGCGGCCCTAAGTATGAGCTGCTATCATACCATTTCGTCATGTGGAATTACTCAGTTACGTGTCACTTCCCTTCTCCATTTATTTGCAGACCTTGCAATAGCTCTGAGTTAAACTACAAACCAAAAGTGAATTTCATARACAGCAGCAACTTTGGAAGCAATCAAACCTGCTACAGACATAGACCCATGGAAGCTGATTTATAATAGTTTTCACACTAGAGGGCACTAACAGCTCGTTAATTTAAGCACAACCCAATTTTTCCTCTCTGTAACTCTTTGGGGTTGGGTAGTCTTAATGTTTTTGCAGTGGATGCCAAAGGTTTCCATTTCTTTGCAGCTTTTTATCTGCAGATATGAAAAGTAATAGTGTTCTTGCAAGGATACATTAAAAGTTAGTGTATGGAGTTTTCCTTTGTGTGTTTTCCTGTTTGTGTGGGGKTTTTTACTAAGCAATCATTTTTGTCATTTGTGGAGAAAAGTATAAATGCAGCTTGTACTTTTAATTGCTTTCAATGTGATAATTTTTCCTTAAAGCTGGTGAAGGGGCATGTAAGACAGGAAGTGATTGGATAATACCTTGTTAAAATTTATATCTAATAGAGTTAACATCTGGAATAAACTTTTAAAAGTCGGTAATAAAAACATCATATGTGCACTGATGTTGCAGACCTCATTTTGTTAGGGCTACTGCATATATTTATATATTGATTCCTGGTATAGAGAAAATAATAGGGCAAAAAACTATGGCAAATTAATGCTCCCAGTAACTGATGGATCTTAATGGAATCTTCCATTGTTAATGTTGGTTTTAAGTAGGTAATTTAAAAATATGTTAGAATCTAAAGTCTGGACCTCAAAGTGGTATAGTCATTTTGGAAGTCCTTTATTTTTTTAAGGATTTTAGGCACTGGATCTTGATTAAAACCTATGAAGAAAGTGGTTTCTGATGCTTTTTTTTCTCTTTGTAGGAATGGTTATTCGGTTGCCTTGGAGATGATCCTGCTGCTGTAAATGTAGGGCTGAAGATTAATGGTGTGGGCAGTATGGACCTAATGAACGGACAGTCCAGCAGTGTTAATATTGCAGCTACTGCTTCAGAGGTAAGGATTGCAAACCTCAGTTACTGGGTAACTAAGTACTCAATTTTTACTTTAAGTGCACTTACTTTAAATGTAAGGTTTTCTTTTAGCAGGTCTCATCCAACAGGTTCTTGCTCCATGCACTGCTTTCCTATAACCCAGTTTAGTGTGAATAAAATGTGAAGTCCTAAGCTTTAGCGTACCAAAATAGAGCATGAGCTTGCATTTACTGTCTTACCATRGCCAAAGCTGCCTTTTTCCATGTTCTCTTCCATCACATCTAGACAAGGAAGCTTTTCTTTTCAAGTTTTAACAAGAATAGATGCTGTTAGCKTGTTAAGCTGGGCTGGCAAGACCTGTGGGAAAGTTCTTTTCTTTGACAGGTACTTGTGTGTGTATACTGAGGGGCAGTCTGGCACAGCAGCAGTGGAATAAAGTTGTTCCCTTTTGTCTCTTGGACTATATTCTGGCATAGGTAGGGGACCCTCCAGCCCATTAGAGCTTCTGCCCTCTAGAAATGAACAGCTCATGACCATTCCCCCTGGGAGCCTGTTCAGCCTCTGGAGAAAGAATCTTTTCTAATACCCAATCTAAACCTCCCCTGGCACAACTTCAGGCCATTCCCTCAGGAGTGAATGAATACAATCTAGGTCTGCATCTGTATACTAGAGGAAGTGATTGCTCATAACACAGATGTGTTGTTTTAATGTGAAAACCTTATATGAAACATGCRAAACCAATATGAAGTGTTAATTTTTTGAAACACATTTGTATTTTGCAGGGAAGCGAAATCTTATTTTGTAGATAAACAGTCATAGAATACTTAAATTCTTTATGCTGATTGTCTTCAACAGGAACATGTGTAGCTCAGTGTAATTTTTGCAAGCTTTCACGTTTTTACAAGAAAGGGAAGATTCGATARCTATTCCTTCGGGGCAGACTTTGTCTTTTTCCTTACCATAGTGGTATTTCTTCTGTTTGAAATTCAGTGTGACTGTATTGTTGTTGTTGACATTGTTGTTGTTATTACCTTTCCTGTCAACAAAATTGGAATTTAATTATGCGTTGAAATGTAACTGTTGGGCTTTGAGGAGCTCCTTTGAAATCAAGGTTTTATTTGGATTGGAAGGAATGTTAAAGAACAGCTCATTCCAACCCCCTGCCATGGGCAGGGACACCTTCCACTATCCCAGGTTGCTCCAAGCCCCATCCAACCTGGCCTTGGACACTTCAGGGATGGGGCAGCCATATATCTTCTCTGGGCAGCCTGTGCCAGGCCCTCACCACCCTCATAGTAAAGAACTTCTTCCTAATATCTAAATCTACCCTCCTTCAGCTAGAAGGAAATCCAGAAGTCAGTTTGAGAGTCTTGATTTTTTGCAGCCCATGTCAGRAGAAAGTATGTCCTGTGACTGACTTTGAATTGAAAATTTACCCAGTAGAAAAATCTTGTGAACAATGATGTTTGAAGAGAAATTTGGCTTTTGTGAGTGTAAAAGAGAGACAGAAGAAGAGGTGCTAAATATCCTCAGTGTTTTTGTTTGTTTCTGCAGAAGAGTAGCAGCTCCGAGTCYTTGAGTGACAAGGGTTCAGCTGAGCTGAAGAAGAGCTTTGATGCAGTGGTATTTGATGTTCTAAAGGTTACACCAGAGGAATATGCGGTAAGCAAGTCCRGGAATTTTAATTACTCTGTGTGTGAATCTCCTTTGCAGCTTTTCCTCTGCTTCTTCATTTTCTGTACTTTTTTTGCCTAACTTCTGTCATCCTTGGGTTTTAAAAACAGATCCTGTTCTTTAGTTTTTCATTGTCTCTATTCTGTTTAAAATTAAATTACCTTTTTGGGCTCTGCTGTCAGGTATTTTTCACACTCTTACATGTRGCATAGACCAAAGATTCTTAAGTCTATGTGATGCAGCTTAATTCTGACATGGATATTTTGGTTGCAAGACTATACTTGATCTGTACTTGTTTTTTTTGTTTTTTTTCTGGAGGTATTTTAATTTTCAGTTCTGTTAATATTCGCTCTGGGAAGCTTTTCTAGTTTTCTTATTTTGGGTGCACAAAATAATGAGATGTTTAACCAAAACACTGGGTGATTGTTTCGTTTTGTTTTTACACTCCGTAGAGGTGAGGACAACAGATGGTCCCTCTAAGTGATTCAAGTATGTTACTAGAAAGATTGCTAAGCTCTTACTGCATTTCTAATTCAAGTGATGAGATTCATGAGGAGTTGTCCTGGGGAGATTATTGATATGTGGTAATATGTGTCACAAAATAATCCCATTTAGTTTGTTCTGGTTTGTAATTGTTAATGAATATTTCAGTTAATTGTTAATGGCCAAATTGATTTTAATGAGAACACTGAAAATTTAAAGTAGCTGGATTATGAAGTGGTACTTACACATTAAATTCTTCTTGGCTAGGGATCATAATTAATTATGGGATTTATTCCTGACTGAAGCTCAAATCATGTGGTTTGGGCCTCTTCCTTGCACTGTTGTTGGGARCAGCTGGGCAATGAATCACCTATTTTCCATGGGAAGATGTTATTGGGGCTGGCTATCCTTCTAGTTTTATCTTATGATTCCTGTACATAAAGTAAATCTWAGTACTTGGGGAATTTAAGGCTAAGGACATGAATTCAAGTGAAATTATGCATTCAGGCCAGAATGAGCTTGTTGAATGGCTCTACTATTTACCAGTGGTGGATCTGTTGGGCAGCAGAATAGATCAGTCAGTCTCTGTGGAGCTGCTGCCACTCACTTTAGAAACGGAATATACAGAGGTGCCTTGTCTTGTATGACATTTCATAATCCTTTTGCTCCATCTAATCCTTCATCTCTCATATGCAGAAACCTTTGACTTCTGGTGTTCTAAATGTGCTTAAATCTTGGTTAGGTAAAAATCTGTATTCAAATCCAGTCATTTTCCTCTTTTCATGTAATGCCTCAAAGTGGTTAGGGTTCTGCTCACCAACAGGAGTCTTTTAATTAAGCATTTCACATTACAGTTATGAAGCTGTGCTTGTATTTTTGGTTTTTACTACTAGGTATAATTTTGCAGTTTTCTGAGTCCCTCAAAAGAAACATCTTTACTTTTAACCTTTTTCCTTTTAAAGTATCCAGTTCTTCATACCAGGTTTAATTTACTGCAAATCGATATTTAATAKCTTGCATGTAGAATTCTGAACAATTGAGCAAAATCATCAGTATTCAGTTCTTTGGCAAGGAAATAAGTAATATAATTTCTTTTTCAATATTTCGTTACACAGCTCCACTTCTTTGTTAATGTTTGTTTCCCCAGGCACTTTTATCTGTGTTTCCAGTAACACTTTATTGAGTACTGTCTTTTTCTGATCATTCTTGCTGGAGGTTGTAAAAATAAGTAAATKTGCCAAAACCTTAGGTACCCTGGAAGAAAAGTACCTTTGACCCTTACACTTGTTTTTATTTTATTGGCCACTTCCTTATTCTTCCTGGGTTTTGTCTGGCCATTACAGAGAAGTGTAAAATCTTCATCTGGGTTTCAGTGTTAATGTGAGGACCACCAGAGTGATGCAGTAAGGCCAAGCTCTTCATGATGAGAAAGTGTGTTTGAGGAGGTTTACTTGTAGCAGGTAGAACCTCTTGGTTTGGACATGGATATGCTGCCAGCTGCTTTTTCAAAGTATGAGAAAACTAGTTTAGTCTCAGCTCTTATAAAATGGATGCAGTGCAGGCTGTGGGCACATCTCTGTGAAAGCTGAACAAAAAATGCTTAAAAAAGGTCATTTATTTTAAAGTGGTAAACTTATGAAATAATCTGTGGGTTGCTAAGTACCTTATTTATTGAGAGGAAGTATAATGTGAAAAAGCCAGTAAAACAACAATAAAAGCAAGTTGCTGCACAAGAGGTAGTTATACACCTGTCTAAATAATGGTTTGGAGGCCTTGGCTCCAATGGRAAAGAGTTCCCATACATAGGTACTGTAAAGGTAAAGGTGAGAGTTAACTCTCACAAGTCAACATAAACATTGTGAGGTCCCATCCTGTGCCTTGCATGATCTGTTGTATTTTGTTCAGAACAGGTCACTGTGCACAGGGGGGAAAAGGACAGTTATGGCAGAGGAAGAACAAAAATCTGAAAGATAATTAAATTTGAGATATGCTGGAAATAAGATCCATGCTAGTGATTTCAGTACCAATGAGAGACACAGATGTATTTTCAGTTCCCACTGTCTCAGAGACATCACTGTTATTTCAAAACTCCATCTGTTTAATCATTTAGTGGATAAGAGACAAGTTGGACAACAAAAGGTATCACTTGTAATCCTGTATTTTCAAGAAGCTGCTACCAAGCCAAAGAGAAACCTGAGTGCAGATATTTTTTGTGATTTTATTTCCATATTCTCCCCTTTGGCAATCATCTAACACTGTCCTGAGTGCACAGGAGGAGTGCTGTTTCATTTAATAGTCCTTTGTCTCATAAGCAAAAGTCTGCCAGCCCTTCAAGGGGTCTGGTTTGAACAGTAATGGAAATTCTTGTTGTAATAGAGGTGTAACAGTCAGTTATAACCTTGTTAGCAACTGGGTGGTTTTTTCTTCCTAAGGTTGAAGGCTGCTTCAGGAAAGGCCAAGTTACAGAAATGGGTGATATCTTCAGGCCCTRTTGCTGCTGTTGCAAATTTATAATTTGCTCTATCACCTTGCAGCTTACAGAAAGTTTCCATGGGATGTGTTGAATACCTGCATGTTGCATAGATTTTGGGGAAGAAGAATCCTGCTCAATGGTTAAGAAGAAGGACATGTTTTAAGGATTCAATGGGCAGCTTTGTGGATGTAACTAGTAAGGAGACCATCTCTGATTTAAAGACCTGCTTTTAGGCTGGTCACTGCTCAGTTCTTTATTCCAGGGCTGGAAGCCACAGCCAGGCTGGTGCCAGGATTGCCCAGTGGTGTCTGGCCCTGCTGGGGGGGCCGTTGTGTGTCCAGGGTCTGCGTGGTCRCAGTGAATGCACCCCATTTTCATCCAAGGGAGAAGTGTGGTTTTGAGCACACAGGGCACAATTTGTGGGGGAGGGATCTGTTAGTGGTGCAGTGGCAGTGGAAAGGGGAGGCTGGTGAGGCTGAAGGAAAGCAGGAGGATGCTTGGGGACATGAGCTCCAAATTAAGGTGCTGGCCAACCTCAGGTTGAAGAAATATTTATTTTTTGCTTTACAGTAAATTCTTATTCCTTAGACAGCTACTGTTTAATTATTAGACTGTTTATTACTTTTTGACTCACTTTTCCATTTTATACTTCAACTTAGCCACGGTGGTGTAAATATTTGAGGTAGAATTAAGGGAAGCGCAGCTGTATAAATCCATTGCTTTTTTTCCACCTAGTTGTCTAAGAAGGATTCTTTATTCTTTGCCCTAGTCTCTGGAAGTGCTATGGAGTAAACTAAGATGCATGTGTATTTCTTTCTTTTTGATTCCAGTGAAGCTTTGTTCAAATGGTTGTTGGAYGGAAATATTGCTTGTTTTGGAAACAATGTGCAAATAGTTTATTTGAATATGGTTTTGATGAAACAAGGAGAAGTTCTCAGAGGCATTCTTATGACATGAAATACCAGGTTATCTACATCCTGTTATCTTTGCTTTGCAGAAGTATATTAGAGTAAATACGCTCCCAGTGAGAGCAAGAAGAAGCAACTTAATTGCATCGTGTGGAGGAGCTATTAATGATACAAGTTTTGGAGTGGACTTTGTGAGAAAACAAGCAGAGCTTCAGCACAGAAACTCGAATCCCCTGGTGTTCGTTCTGGACAGCAGAATTATTCTCCTACTGATGCTGAGCTTAACAGAGGCTTAGCTATTTTTTTCAGGGAGGAAAAGTATCCTGGCAGCCCAGAGAGACAGTGCTAAGCCAAGTTGGAAGGCTTAAATATAATTCCTTCTAAAAATTCAGATTAAGGAACAATTTATGAAGTGCTGCTTGAACCAACATGGCTTCAAGGAAAATCAGGTGATGGCAGTATTCTTCAGCAACCAGGATGCAGACATTTGACTTTTTTCATCTCAAACAGAAACTGAGTTTTTCTTTTTACACTGAGGGTTTCTGTCTGGGAGCTGAGTGGAAAGCACCCTGTCCTTAGGGTAGGTGCATGGCAGGAAAACTTGTAGTACATACAGCAAGTGGCCTGAGAGAAAGAGTTCATGCTTGAGAAGGACTAAGGACTAGAAAGGTGGGAATATAGCCCAGGTCTAATTTTCTTATAGGAATGTGGAGAGGACCTAAACACAGTGGTCTTAACTGAAACTAGAAGTTCATAATCTACAGAATTTTATGGAAGAAGGGTAATCCATGTGTCCTCATAGAAATGAGAAAGAATCAGGAAATATTGTACAATTTTATTTCATTAAGCTTCTCCATATTTCTCAAAGAAGCAGAACACAGAAATGTAGTTCTGAGTTGTTTGAATGTAAAATTGCTGACCAGCCAGACCTCCCCGAGAGAGGGGTAAAACCTCTTTATATGAAGCTGTGTGGTAATAATTTTAGTATTTTGAAGTACTTAATTGTTAACAAGTCCAACTTCTCAACACCCATGAGAGCTAAAATATTTCTAAACTTGGCTGTTGGAGACTCCCCAGGCAAGGTCTTCTATACATGCAAAGCTTCTATGGCTGTGCAGGGGTGGGGGAATATCCTCTGACTGCCATTCCAGTGTGTTAATTGGAAGATAATCATGTACTGCTTATAAAAGAGGGTTTTCTCTTGTACAGCTCTTCAGGTGGTTGCAAATTGGGAAATATATTACTGATATATTAAAAACATAGSTTTCCTAATCATATTCTAGAACTGTCATCTAGGATCTAGGGCATACAAACAAAACCTCCATTCAACTGTGCTTATGCAATGATGAAATACTTTAATATATAAAGTAATAGATGTATCACTTCTGTAAAGAGAGAAAATATCTAGTTTCCCTATCTTTGCATAATCAGAATGCTTTTTTAAAATAAGTAAGGACAAGTTCACAGTTTTCTATTGCATATGTAATTATTTTTATTTTTTTTAAATATGTGMAGCTGGCAGCTCCAAAACCAGAGAAGTTATGGTTGGCATGCTTCATGTAACAAGTTGATTTGAACACTTATAATTTTTAGTTTGAATATTAAAGCATTAAACCACATTTGGGAGAGGGAAGCTCTCCAAGAATTTGTATTGGCTGGGTTAAGGAGCTGGRGTGAGAAAAGTTAGTGCATTGTATCTCTCTCACTTGCAGAAACYAAACTAGGGGCTTTGCTTATTGGGGTTTAAATTCCCCTTGAGATGGTCAAGACAGAAATTTTTTGTTGCTGCTAAGAGTTGAGCAATGGAAAATAACATAAAAATCATAAATTATTTTTGAAGCTTTGTCATTTCAAGTGCTATTAATTAGATTGCCAGCCTTTCAGTCTGCTTTATTTTCTTACTTAGCAGTGAGCGAGCCCATTTTAAAAGAATAAAAATGCAGTTGTTAGACTTACGAATATAGACTTATAAATGCAAGCAAGTTAATGTTTTAAAAAATCTGTTTTGTTAAACGTAGTTTTAGACTCTAATGTGAGTTATGCTGTCTATCTACAAACTCAAAATGGCTTTTTAGTCATCAGCTTAGATATTCAGCTCTCAGTGGCTTGATTCCTTTGAATTATGAGCAATTTGCTAAGCACTGGGAACTGCTAATGGAAATTTCAGGCTCTGTAAGGAAGGACTCTTAATAAGGAATATTTCTTGAACAAGTGCTAATGTGATACAGTGTTACTTAAGATTTTAATAAAAACAAARAAGTGTCAACCCCCCCAAGCAAGGGAAAACCATCAGTCTAATGGTGCTRCAAGATGCTACGAGAAAGAGGTTTCTCTGTTAAAACTTCCTGAGAYTTTTTTGTCAGACTTTATTTTAATGATGTAATATACTTAGTAGCAATTTCAAATATTTTCCGTAATGAGCATTAATCCTGAACCTTAACACTTGTATATTTTTTCAGTGTTAAAATGTCTTTTTTAATATCCCTGTTTAAAATGTATGCATTCATTTTTATATGTGAATTCTGGYATGAAGTTCGAGTAACAGTTTTTATTTCATGAATATTTTGTATTGATCCTGTTTGAAAGTAATAATTTGATTTGGAGTCACTACTGAAGCAAGTCGAATTTAGCTAAGGCAGTTCAGGCTGATGAAGAGTCTGGATTCTGGATGGCTGGCAAGAAAGACAATTATTTTTAAGTCTTCTCTCTTCAGTGTGAACAAAAAAAAATACGTTTCCTGGCTCATTTTTATTGTGCTGTTATTGTAATCTTGTTTTAGTGAGGAGRATTTGCAGTGAGACATTAATAACCATTGAAATGCCTGTCTCTTCTGTAAGAATCTTTTAATATACCTTCTMTTTGAATTTTATTGAAGTGCCCATTGTTTTCATTTCACTTCCCAAACCAGCCAACTTTCYTGTTAATTTGCTTTACTGAGAAGCACAGTGATGCACGCGATCAGCCACATATTCACTGAAAATAACACATTTCTGRGAAAGCTTGATAGAGTTAAGCTCACAAATGGGAAACTGGAGGTGGAGTTCTGTGGTTGGTGTTCCAGCACTGGGCTCCTCACTGGAAATCAAGAGTTGACTCTTCCTGTAATGTGGCTTTAGTGCTGCCTGGGGTTGTTGTGAACCAAGGGCAGGGCACTTGCCCTTGTTGAACCCATCACCTGGCCATCAATCCAGCCCATCCAGATCCCTCCACAGAGACTCCGTGCCCTCAGCACCTCGACATTCCCACCCCACTTGGGGGTGTCTGGGGAAAAAAACAGCCACCTAAAGCAGGGCCCAGGAAAGAGAGTGTGTAAAAGTGAAACACATAAAGGGCTTATTACTTTCCTGATGTTGTTCTGCAAAATACCAGATGATCGTGTCTGGTGTGTTGGTTACAGACAAATGATATGTATCATTTTTGTGTTCTTACGATTGATTGTCAGAATTTCTGTCTAAAAGTGCATTTAGAGGTCAGGATGTGCTGCTAAGAATAGACTGGGTTGTCTTTGCAAAACACATCTTGCCTCATTAGAGCAGAGTCTCATTAGGGCAGGTGCATCTCTTTGCACATGCTGACTTTCAGCTAGTGCATGCCGTTAAAATTTTCCTGCAAGGTTGGCTTTCTCTGAGCTGTTCCACCATCCACAGTGACATCCAATGGCAGTTTTAATTTGTGAGAGTCACAAACCTGTCAGTGTGTACCTTGGAGTATATATGTGGGCGCTGCTGTTTTCAAGGAAATGGGAATAAAGCTGTGCAGCTGACAGCTGAGGGAACAGAACAAGGTCCCTGGATTCATTATTAAAAGAAAATTTGTGATGCCTAACTCGGATGGCTCTGGTATTTCTGGGCTAGCTACATACTCTTCAAAATAAATTGGTTTTTTGGGGGGTACATAGGCTGTCAGCAGTCCTAAACTGTAGAGGATTGATAAACTTTAAAAATAGGGATCTGTGAATATATTTCAAAATGCAAAACCTGGTCTTTGACTTTACTCTTTTCGAAGCTAAACAGGCGTCCCAGAATAAAAATGCACTTACTGACTTGCTGGAAGAGAGACGGCTGTGCTTAATTTTAACTGTTGCTGAGCAACTGAACAATTGCTTTGCTTAGTTACTCAAATATGGTTCCAGTATTGATTGAAAAATTGTAGGGATGTTTTGATAAAATTATATAGCACCTGGACTGACATTCAGAGTTTGAAGAGAAGGGTGACCTCCTTTAGCAGCTGCAGTCAGTTCCTTGTCTTCTTGGGGAGCTTCTCATATCATGTTTCTGAGTTCAAGCTCTTCCTTGCCTRTGTTACTGCAGGATTGTGCTCCAGAGAATAATTTCTCATAGTCTGTTTATTATTTGTGGATGTAAAACTGGGAGCACTTTATTCTTTGGTTTTGCAGTATGGCCCTGTGGTAGGAGCTGAAACCTCTGTAATTAGGTACAAACTGAAAGCTAAATAAGAAYAGGAAATAGAACAAATGCAGTTCTTGAGCAGAACAGCACAGAAATGGAATGCAAGGATAATTTTGGTCTTAACTTACTTTTCTTTCAATTTTTGTTCCAGGGTCAAATAACACTAATGGATGTGCCTGTATTTAAAGCAATTCAGCCAGAGGTAAGTATTTCATTGGCTTTGTTTTCCAGTTTAAATGAAAAAGTTATACCAGAGTATGAATTCTGGAATTGCAAAGTATATGTCTATAAATTGTAATTTTTATCCCAGTTCATACARCCCTGAAGCAGATGGTTTTTGTAACAGAAAAATATCTGGAACTWATAGTTTGTTTGCAGATTAATGCTAATATTTAATTCATCTAGTGCTGGAGATGAAGCATCTGGGATTTAGGGTTTCTGAATGACAAAAATCTTGATTTGATTATTCTGGTCATRATGTTTTAGATTTCAGCTACTGATACCTGTTTTAATACTTTATCCTATCCTGTGTTTCTATAAGTGCTTCACATCTCCTTTGGCAAAATGAAAATGGTTGTAATGTCATTCAAGATGTGTGTGATCTGTGGATATGTCAGGATAATACACTGATGGTTTGTGTTCTCTGGTTTGTTTTTATGTAATGCTGTATTCCTTTCAGATTTTAGCTCATTTCAGCATCTTCACAGTGACTATAATAAATGATGAATTCATTTCTCCTTATTTCTGTATCAACAACGTTTTCCTGTGGGCATTGTTCTGCACTTTTGAGGGTTTATTTTTTGGTTTATTGTCCATTTTATCAGTACTGTTGAAGTCTTTCTCAGGCCATCAGTCACTCCAGTCCATTACAAAGCAATTTCACTGGCAGCAGGTTTGTCCTGTCACTCTTGTGGCATGCTGAAGMATGTTTTGCTTCAGGTGGAGAAAACTGCTCAATCTCTTGGCTGTGATTATTGATTTCATTRTTTGTGTTACCTGGGAATTTTTTTGAAGGCTTCTCTTTGGTCTGTACTTGAAGATGTTGTCRTGATTCAGCTTTCATATGACTTTGCCAAGATACTTCCCAGCCCTTGTGGRTCTGTGTGGTTCATTYTTTGGTTTGTTGGTTTGTGGTTTTGAGGTTTTTGTCAGTGTAATCCTTCAGAGAGCTTTCCATTTGATCTGATTTGAACCTACATCACAGCAGTACTTAAAATTACTAAAAGCAGTACACAGACCCATGTATGAGGAAAACATTTAAAAGAGTAAAATGCTTTAAAGCTTTGGAGAAGAGCTTTAAAAAAAAAAAGAGAAATCCTATTAGAAGATCAGGATAAACATATTCTGCCAGTTAAAAGCATTCCCAGGCTATTCAGAGAAAATATGAGAGTGTAGGTGAATATATCTGTAAAGTAATTATTTGTAAGAAATCTCTGTGTATTGCATAAGAAAAAATGGTGTGTAACCTTCACTGGAAAATACCCATTAGGAGGGTGGCTGTTTGACTCCTCTGCAGTGTTTGCACACGAGCAGATGATACCTGACAGTGTGCAGATATTACCTGTCCATCAGTGCTCCTTTGCAGTACACAGAGGGCTGRTGTCTGATGTGTCTCTAAACTGTGTTAATTCCCAAAGGAAAAGGCGTGAAGATCAGCTTTCAGATCAGAAAAGGCTAAACACAATTCAGTTGCTTKTCTCCTGGTTTGCAGAAGGGAATATCAGACATGGAAGACTTCATTTACCTCACAGCATCTTGACAGCAGGTTAATGAAGTGTTGTAGATTCTGAGTTTCCTTCAAGTGTCTACCAGACTCTGCCATACCCACGTCTTTATTCAACTTGTAAATCTTTATCCACCCTTTGGCATGTGCAGTCAAGCATTGTGGAGTTTGTAATTAGGAAACCAAACAGCATTGAGCTAATTTCACCTGTATAAAAGGGCTCCTAAACTGAGGCTTTMATGAGTGACTGAAAGGCACTGATAGAATGGGGTTTCTTCATTCGAAATACTGATACCAAGTTTCTCAGCTCTCATCTGTATTCATGGTGGGAGATGATGAACAACATTTTTCCCAGTCTGCCATGATTTTAAAACCATGTTTATTGCAGTTTGTAATTCACCAGCAAATCTCTGTTATACAGGTTGTGAATCTCCCTTTGCTTCCAAATGGCAGAGTGGTATCTAAGCAAAAGTTTTTAGTCTTTAATGTGTGTTCATTTATTTTCTCAAGGTTTCTGAAAGATGTACTCAGAGATGCTTAATTTTTAAAATTGCTGGAGATGAATTTTACTATGTGAGAGTATTCTTTAAATAGGTTTTAAATTACGCTGTTGCATCCTCTTCATTGTGTTAAAATACTTCTTAAATTGTTATAGGTGGCTTTAAAAAAAGGCAGCATCAGAACTTCTTGATTATCTTAAAAAAAGCCAGAGCTGAATAATACTTTTCAAACAATATATTGTAATTTTTCTTTTAGCATCAAAATCAATGAACATGCTCACAGCACACCTACATAATTCTGCAGCCTATTGCTTCTATCTGTAGCAAGTAAATGAAATTATTTCTGTTTATATTGAAGTTTCTTAGCAATATTGTGGGCTCACATGTGTGCTTATGTTCCTGTACACTGCCCACTACAACTCACCATCTCATGCTTGGTGATGAGACAGGCTGGGAGCTTAGTGATGCCCACAGAATTTGGGATTAAGGAAAACAGAGGATCCCTTTACTTTGGGGGTGAGGCAGAAGCAGGGAATTGAACCATTACCATGGTTAGATACTCTGTAGTGACAGATCCTCTGCCTGAGCTTTAAGCAGGCTCCTTCACTCCGAGGRATTCTGGAAACCACCTTCCTTCTTCATTAAAAATGCTTGCAAGTTACTTCTGAGGAAAGAAAGGAGGAGGAATTACTGTTTCTTTGGTAATTAATAGTGGGCTGCAGTATAGGAAATAAAGATTATACAGAAGAAACATGTCTGACATAAATGTCTATCTGTATGGAAGCAGGCAATTTGCATTTTAATTTTTAGGGAGAAAACATTATGGAGCTGTCCCAGTCAGTCAGTCGTAAGATTTCTTTCTATTCTCTGGGAATGGCAAGTGTTGTGTTGGTTTTTGTTCTCTCTTTCTTGTAGTGGTTGTGGCTTTCCAGAGAGCAGTGACTGTAAAGCAAAAAAGGAGTCATAGACTTGCTTAGCTGTGGTGCTGGTAGTTGTGTTAACATTAAATAACAGCCACGTGACCCCTTGCAGAACATATCAACTTGCTTTTATTGGAAAATCTGATTATTTTACATTTTAGTACATTATCCAAAATTATTTGTCCATATGTATTCATACTGAAAATCTCTACTGGATTATTGTCTTTAACCTATTGAGCCCCTCTGCTTCACCATGCTAGGCAATGAAAAAATAATTCACTTATTCAGTATTCTTAATCTGTACTTATTCCAAAGTTGTGGAATGGTTCCACTATTAATCCTTTCTTCTTCTCTTCTCTTGTTGAAACTTTCCCTTTGACCTAGATAAAGGCTTCTGTGAGAAACACAATCTCTCTCTGTCTGCCATGTAGTGCAGGTTATAATTTAAATGTTCCCACAGTATTTTGTTAAGGAARATAAAATGCTGTATATTCAAAAGGGAATGAAAACCAAAAGGGGTTACAGAGGAAGTTCAGTTTTTGTATTCTTGACCCTAAGTCTTTCAGGTTTTCACATCGTTTTAAATGTACCACATTAAATAAGAAATTGGTGGTTGTAGTGATGTAGCTTCTGTGCCTGAGTCGACTGGCAGACTAAGGAAATAACCCTGGGGAATACTTTATGTTTGAAACTCGTAGTGGAAAAAGTAGAATACTAGAGGATTCCCTGTTGGGACTGTATGGGACTGCTCCAGGCCAAATCTGGAGAAGGCAAAAACCTTGGTGGCTGCTCTTCTGCTGGTACCATTGTAGGGCAGTGGGATGGGCAGTGCCAAGGGCAGCGAGTTCCCACAAACAGGTTCTAGAGCAGGGCACGAGGGTTCTGAGCAGGGCTCCCCGAGGCAGAGTGCTTGGGTGGTTATGTGGAGAAACCTGAGAGCAAAGGGAAACCACTTTGCTGTTTCTAGACAAGAGAAAAGAAAGCTGGCTGCACGGGGTGAGGGGTCTTGCAGGTGATATGGAGAAGCATTTCCTACACTTCCTAAAGGGAGGGGGGAAATGCTTTTGGAGCTCTCAAGGCTTGGTGCTTCTCCTGTGTCTGTCCTTGAAYGGTGGATGTTGACTGTTGAAGAATTTGAACTGGTGGCACACTTCTTGAGTGCCTGTGTGACTGTGTGTCAGTACCTCTGGAAAAGGATTTGGATGTGTGTCTTTCCCATCAGGAGCAGAATCTTTTGTTTGGCAGTATTTTCAAATCTCTTGCCACTGATATCTGTCACCTTGTGAGCCCTTAGATGTACAGGGCCAGGGCAGTGGGAAACTTCTGCCCAGAATCATAATGAGTTTTTCACTTAGTGGTAAGAATTGAAATTGAAAAAGCCTGAATTGGTAAGAAATTACCATGTTTTCCCTAAACCTGAGGTGAGAACTAATTTTTGCATGCGGTTAGGGAAGGTTATCAGGTGCCAGTGGATGAATTCCTTGTGTTCCTTTGAGTGCAGAGCTGTGATTGTTATTCCAGTGGAAATTAGAGATGCCTGAGGGATAGRGAATGTAATTAAGAGTCTCTTGGATGGCTCCCTTCTCCAGTAGCCTGCTGTCCTTTGGAAAAGGCGTAATTCTGGGCTCTGCAGTTGTCTCCTCCATAGCCATTGAAGGATGGGTGCATTCCTGTGCTGAACATGCCCAGTTTTCCAGGACTGTTTAGGTGGCACAGCTTCCTAGTGAAATTTGGAGGAATGGCCCTAAGTACAAAGCCAGAAATTCCATATTCTTCGCAGTGCCTATGGCTAGGAATCTSTGAATCTTCTCTACCAAATACCAGCACACCACAGACTTCAAATAGAAGAATTCAGGGTCCCTCACAATTGACATGAGATTCTTTAGTAGTTTTGGGACATTGGTTGGAAAGAAGTTAAGAAGTTCCTGATTWAAAAAAAAACCGCAAAAATTAGACTACCCAGAGACCCAATTCTTTTAAACTGTGCCTTAAATGTTACAATTATTGGTTACAGTGAGGTGATAAAACTGAGAGCACTTCAGAGTGAATGATCTGGAAGGAAAACATGAATAAGTAAAAAGGAAGGGCTGCACTGTGCTATTAYACCACTTCAATAATTAAGCTCTGTCTATATTGATTATTTTTCTTGGTAGCACTGTGAAACGGGTTGTGTGCTGAATGCTGTACATCTTTTTATCCACTGCTACACTTTTGTGTACAAATGGAAGAGATCATTTTGGTACATTTAGTTATTTGTGATTTTAATGAAAACTGCTTTGTTGGAATTAAGGGCTAGTAAATAACAAGATGATGTAGTTTCCTAAAATAGGCTCCTTTGGAAGGGAAAACTGAAAATAGTGTTTCTTACATTGTTTCTGAAAGAGATTATACTTTTTTGGTATTTTTTTTTAATGCAACATGCCAAGTTAAAAATATGGGGCATGTTTAGACTGAGTTAACAAGGTGTATCTTCTCTCTAAGTGTCTTCAGAAAAGCATTTAAAACAAAAGGATATCTTGCTCTGTAGCTCAGATTCATGTTTGAAGCAGGATTTTCTGTGGTAACAAAATGAAGGTTCTAGTAAGAGAGGAAATAGGGAAGTCCCTAATTCAGCAAAAAAATGAATTGTAATAATCCAGTAACTCAACACAATTCAGAAGTGACACTTGTGGAATCTCAATTTGCAGAAGGAATGAGAAGTGTGATTGTATTACTTCAGTGTATTGTTGCTCTGTTATTTTAAAACTTAAAATATTTGTGTCTCTGCGTGCCTTTGACTCTGAACATGTGTTATACACTAAATTAAAGACGTGAATTTTCATCCTTGTTCTCTCAGGAGCTGGCAAGCTGTGGCTGGAATAAAAAAGAGAAATACAGTTCTGCACCAAATGCTGTTGCTTTYACCAGAAGATTCAATCATGTGAGTTATTTTTTTTCCTAGCATTACTACATGCCCACATTTTAAAAAGTCCATGGGATTAAATGTTCTGGCACATCACTTTTATTTTGGATCACAGCTGATGAYTTGACAACTTAAGGAACTCCTTGCAGCAGGAACTGTATCTATGTACAGAAACACCAAACCACTGTTGAAGAAATAGCTGTGATTCTGTTTTAAATAGMAGTAATTGATGAAAAGTGCATATTTTCCCCGTAACTGCTGGCTGTCTTTTATATAAAGACAGAATCATAATTACAGGTTAAAGGCTTGCCTGCAGGATTTCTGGACTAGTAATTAAATGTAATTTCCTTCTCTGTTAGTTGAGTGTCTTTTGCTTTACATAGATGTTTTTATCCCTAGAAATAGAAGCCTCTTGTCAGTATGGTTACATCTTTAAGATGATTCTAGGCAAACTTCTAAAAATTTCAAACTATTCTGTACAAAATTTGTTCTTTAACTCTCTATTTGGCATCATTTTTTGGGTAGTATATTTGAGATTTTTAGTTTTCTTATTTAATAGTTTCTCTGTATGAAATCAGCTGTTAAAAGAACAACAGAATTCTCCCTTTCTCCACAATTAAAGCTGGAGGAGTCCAACTGTGTAGTTATCCAATCATCTCTCAAAACCATGATTCTTTTTTTAAGTAATGCCACATTTTCTCTTTCAGATGAAGTAATTCTATTACTCTCATCTCTTCTCTTGTAAATGTTTAATAATGTCTGAAACCTACAAGCTGTCTTCCAGACCTAACCTCTGTTCCTAGTCTCAGACTTACAGGCATCATCTGAAACTCAGATCGAACCTTTAAAGTTTTCAGGGTTTTTTTTCCTCTCAGTTCTTGTGYACTTTCTCACTTTTCATGATTGCTCACACTCAGGATATGATCAAATCTTATTTCTCATTGAAAAAACGTAGAATATTTCTTAACCTTCTGCTGACTGAAATGTCTGAGTTTGGGTTTTGGASACTTGCCTGATTCCCCACTGGACTGAAGAGAAAATGTTACACTGCWAACTTTTTGTGACTGTACCATCTGTTGATATCTAGGGACTTTGGTCAAGAATTTGGGAATTTTTTGTTTGTGGGGKKKTTTTTKGTTGTTTTTGTTGCTGCTCTGCATTTAGTTGAAATCTTCCTGACGTAGCTTTTGAAGTTGCTCCTGTTGGAATGCATAGGCTAGTGTAAAACCACTAACTTTTGACACTAATTTCACTGATACGCCACTTATTCCAGCATTTGCTGCCTTGCTCATTCAKGGAAGCTTTCTCTTCAAAGAAGTGTTTAGTTTTGCTGAATATTTTGGAATTTTTTGTAGTAAAAGCCATATTAGGCAGTGTAAGTCATCTAGGACCTCACTTCTCAGTTGTTATGTGCTGTACTCTGCAGGAGGTGCCTGAAGTCAGCTTCAGAGATCCTAAAGAATTGGTAAAACATGCTCAGTAGTCAGAAGGAAGGAGGGGAAACCTTATGGGAATAAGGACTTCCATGAAGTTTACATCAGCCTTTGTTCTGGCATCAAGGAAARCCATCAGTCTTKTGTATAGGAGTGGGGAGGGAAAAGRACAAGTACTGTTTCTGCTCCACTTACCTGGGATTCTAGTCCTAAAATAAGTAAACAGGAAAGTCATTGGGACTTTTGGCCTTGGAATACATTTCACCAAAATTTTGTTAATCTTTGAAATTTTGCTGCATTTAAAATAAGCATTATGCATCTGTCTCTTTCCTTTTTGCCTCTAGATTGCCAAAGGAAAACCATGAACAGCTCTCTCTTAAGTAAAGAGAATATTAAATTACTAACAGCTGCTTCACAGCAAATTGATGTGCAGATAGCATTTTGGAAGCAGTGATGATTCTGTGCAGTTGATTACATTCCAYTGAGGATGAAGTAGAGCAGTTCCAGCATTAGTTATGGGATAATTACATGTGGTGCCTGTAAAAACAGATTGAGTTCAGGGAAGAGAAATCAATTGAATCTTTCTATGCCAGGATTCTCCTGTTCTTGGAGAATTCATTGTTACGTGGTACTCCATAGATGTACGCATCTAATATTAATTTTTTTTTTTTTAAATATGTAACTTTTTCACTTTTTTGTGTAAACTCCGATCTCTCCTTTTTCAGCTTTCTTCTGAAAGTGAGTTGTATACTTGCTGCTGCTCTTACTGGTAAACCTGATACAGTGCACAGTTGCCAAATTTATTTACTAGATCATTCATTTCTAGATCATTACTCGACTCTAAAGGTCCTACCTTTTATCATATGTTTCAAACAAACACAATTTGTTAAGGTGACTGTTTATGTAAAGGTTGCTATTTCTTTCTTAGTTATCAGTTTGATAACTCTTTGCTTGAAAACGTCTTTATGTTTTTATTTAAATGGGAATGGAACTGTGCTGCCACAGAGCTTAAAATATTAGAGAAACTTTTCAAATAGATTCAGTACATKGGAAGAATTTTAAATGAGGAGATCCCAGTTGCAAAAGAAAAATTTCATGTTTTACTGACTCTGTGTTTATAGGGTTTTTTAATTTGGGGTTTTTTTCATCTTTTTTTAACTCGCATGCAAAAATTGTATGTGGAACTTTGTCTTGAATATTGGAGTGTTACTGAATTGCAGTGAATTGAACTGGGATTATTGAAAATGAAGAAACTGAGTGGTTAATATGCATGGAAGATACCTGAAAGAAAAATCCAGAAACTACTAAAGAGAGACTTTGAATTTGCCTTATCTTTTGATTAGCACAGAAAGACAATTAGTTTTGGAAGCAATGACTATGAACTTTAAAGTGCCAGTATAACAGAATTAGTATTTCAGATAAGGCAAATATGGGATAGCTTTAAAAGCTTAAGATGTGATTCAAGAACAGATATGTTCAAAAGATAAGCCTGATATTCTTATTTGACCTTAATAGGGAAGAATATAAATATACAATTGTATGTCAAGGRTTTAAAGGCTGCCTTGAACTGGTATCAAAGGCATTGATACCCAAAGCTGGGAGTGATATTGCTGATTGATGTTGGCATAATAGCATTTAAATGCAGCAAGAGAGGAATATGTGGAACAAATATGTATTATTAATGTAAAGAATGAACAGAAGTATATATTTAAATTATTTCTTTTTCAATATGTGGATTACATTAGGTTATGGTTCTGTCTAAAGGTACCGATTAATAGGCAAGACCAGCCAAACCCCAGTAAAAACACATCAAAGAGAAGTGGACCACTGGAAGTGGTTGAGGTGGAAGTGATTAAGTGTTAATTCTGTGTCTCCTGTCTGCTCTGTAACTGAAGGAACTGGAGGGCTCTAAGCTTTGAAGGAAGTTTTGTTCTGGTTTGTTTGGGGTTGTTTTTTTCCTGCAAAAGCTTGGAAGCGTTGAGCTGAGGTCTGGGACAACAGGCTGGAACTGGGGCAGAAACCAGGCTTCCCTGGATAAACAAGAGCATTCGTGTGTCAAAGTGCTTGTGTCTCTGTGCTGCCAGTGCACTTCCACAAAAGTGGAACCAGCAGAGGAAAGTGGGGGGTTTTATCCTGATGGAAATGCTTGAGTGCTGCTTTGTGTTCTGAGCAGTGTGTCACAGTCTGGCCCATTGCAGGCATTCTCCTGTTGCATCAACACTCTGTTCACCTAGAGGGATTTGGGATTTTAAGGTGTAGTACTGCATGTGTTGTCCTTACCTGATTCCTTATGATACAGAAATCTATCAAAAGGAGATAAAAGGAGAGCATCTGCTTAAAAACTCACTGATCAGTCGGGGAAAAAAGTTTTTTTTCTTAAGCTATGTAACTACAGCAGAACACCAAACTGAGGTCAAACTTTCAGTAACAAAATTTTGAAATACAGTCAAATACTTTATGTATTCAGTACTTCTGTATTTTATAGAATCATAGAATATCTCAAGTTGGAAGYTGCCCRTAAGGATTATCAAGTAGGATGCATCAAGCTCCTGCTCCTGGCAGGAGGCAAGAGGAACACTTTCAGAATATTTAATTGAAGCAGATACTGCAGAAACCTGGTAACAAGCTACATATTTTCCTTCTCAGAATGGTAAAGAAGRTGCAAGAGTTTCATTACCTTTTTCTCTCACTACTGCTGAGATTGTCTCAGCACTTGGAGCCCTGTCCTTAAAGGAAAATTGTTCTATAACTAAACAAATGGGATGGCATTCGCTGTCATTTGAATATAGATACTATCATGATCATTTTCAGATTATTACAAATTGATGTTGTACCATTAAAAATGAGACAATTTTCTGTATTTTTTCCTATTAACTTTAAACAGTGGTTTCAAAACATCTGTCATTTTTGAGCATGGCTACATGCTGAGTTTTTTTAAATCACATGGAACCATTTTTTGTTTGTGGGGATAACATGGTTTGTCAGCTGATATTTTGCTTTACAAAAAGGAAAAAGAGGAAAGAAAATGAAGAAAAATGAAAGGAAACAGAAACCTGAGCTCCATGGTTAATTCTTTCCTGGCTAATACAACCTTAAACAAACAGACCAAAGGAAAGTGGTTCTTATGCAAGATGTTTGTGGGGATTTTTTGTGGGTTTTYTTGTCATCCTTCCATTTCTCAGTTCCAAAGAGCTGTTGTGATTTAATATCCCAGTTTTCATCAGATCTCAGTAGCTTCACTGCAAATGCARTCATTTTTGAGGTGTGGATCTGCTTGTGCTCCTCTATATAAGGCACTGTCATAGTGTACAAAATGAAACACGATATTTTATTTTCAAATTCAGATTTTGGGCAGGGACCTGAATACATATACAAAGTTAGTTACAGGTAGTTCAGCATCTCTTAAAAATCAAAGCAACACAACATGTTGAAAGGTTTTTATGTATGAGAATGTACATTTCTTCATACACTATTTTCAGTAGTTTTATAAATACCAGTCATGCTGTATCTTGATGATAATTCCTTTTCTTCCTAACTTGTAGTGAATACATGAATAAAAGCTGCAGTGTTAGTTACCCTTTACTAATTCTTTGCTACTGCTTTATTACAGTTACGAAAATGTTTTCTTTTATCATTCTTTTTGAGGGCAGAGGGTGGAGGGGAGCAGAGAAGAGAAAATAGCAGACTTCAGACATATTAACAAACACTTCTAAAGTAGAACCTTTATGAGATGTTCACATAAGTATGAAATGCAGCAACCACCCTTTTYACTGAATTTAGCAGTGATCTTACACAACAGTGAAGTCAGTCCTGTAAAAATTAACAGAGTRTGGTACTGTGCTGTATATTAGCAGGTAATTGGCATAGCCAGAAATAAGAGTACAAACTACAAGCTAAGTTATGGCAGAGCTTCCTACTTTGTGTTCCAGTTTTGTTCAGGATTAATTGTCCTTCGAGGTGTTGGAAATGTCAGTGAGCTGTAGTTGAAGCTGTTCAATTCATGTAAGAGTTGAGTAATGCAGCTTTGATGCTGTGGAAAAGCAAACCAATGAATATGATTCAATGTTAGTGTTTATATTCCTTTATTTTGTAGGCTGTTAATAACATTTATTCATTATTTTATTTTCCTGGGAGAGCATTGTTTTGTGTGTGTGATCTCGTCCTCAAGCTTAGCCTGAACTCAAATCTGTTTCTGTAGATCATACTTTCATAAAAATAAATAAAACTTTTAAAAGTATAGTGTCGAAACTCTGTATTTTTTTAAAAGACATTTTTATCTACTTTTTAGGTAAGCTTCTGGGTTGTTAGAGAGATTCTGCATGCACAGACTCTAAAAATACGAGCTGAGGTTTTGAGCCACTACATTAAAACAGCAAAGGTAAGAATTTGTATTGTAAAGGAGGGTGTGGGATTCAACATGRTCAAAGGTTTTATACCTAAGTTGGTCAGTTCAAAAATAAACGTGGAGAAATCTTTGTCTGTTACCTGATTTAACTGTGGTTGTTTCTGTTGACATCAATAACTGTTTGGCTTCTGAGTGTAAYAAAGTGTACACTCAGTTCAAACAGCATCAGTCAGAACAGAAATGGTTTGTTTGCTTTTACTGTTGGAAGGAAAGGATCTTTTATCTCTTACTCGAATAATATCAACTTAATAATATACAGTTTCAAAACAATTCAGAAAACATTTTGGAGCTGTCAATCTTACCTAAAGCCTTTTGGACTGACACTCGTGAGAATGGGGTCAGCAAAACTGGAGTGACATATAGCCCTTCAATTAGAGTGAAACTTCTTCACTGTAGTGAAAAGAAGGGGATGTCATTGAAGTTTTTTATTCTTTGATGGTGGCTGCCTTTTACTACACCTGACTGCTGTGATCACTTTGGGTTACCCGCAAAAAAATACATTCCCTATCCTGACTAGCACTTTTATAATGAAACAGTATTTTACTCCTATGGGATCTGACTCTGAACTTTGGGCAAAGGAAGAACTAATTTCCACAGGCTTTGCTCTATAATTATGCTGTTGTCATAAACTGTAATGATCTCTTAAACATTCTTTGATGTTCAATTATTTTTAAAAGTCAGTTCTTGTGTTTTTGTTTGAAATACAAACATAYAAAAATYGGCTTCAGGATCCATGTCCCTCCATAAGAGTGRGAGGTTCAACTCTGTGTGGCTATAGTGCAGAGCAGGTCTGGGAAGCCAGCTGGGCACAGGTTTGGTTCATGCTGGGATGGKACTGGCCAATGCTGGGTGTTGTAGGCTCACTTTGGGCACAGCACCCTGGACGTGCCTGACCTCACCAGTGCACTGCAGGCAGCAGTGTCTGCTGGGATGCTGCTGGATTGGAGGCAGTTATGTGCTCTAACAATCAGATAATCCAGCTTTGCTTACCTGTCAGTTGTAAAAAATCACAGTTATGAAAAGCAAGCTCTGTATGGGGTGTTTTTTATATCAGTTAATTTACTCCTCTGCCTATTACCTTAATTTTGTTTACAAATGGCTGGTGACATGCAGTAATTGCAGTTGGGGCTGTTGGAAGGAGTTTCTGTGTACACCAAAGCTATTATCGAAGCAGCTTGGTGCCGGAGGTCACACTCATTACCTTTTCTTCAGAGAAGCTGTAAGTCCAGTCCACAATGAATTCCTTTTGTGCTGGCAACCTATTGTATAGCTCACAATTCTTTAATGGTATCTCATCTGCCCTGCTTAATGCATGAACCAATTAGACCTAATGGTCACATGCCYCTGAAGTTCCTGGACTGTCCTGGTTGGTGATGCTGCCAACATTGAAACAGATGTCAACTGGGAAAACCCTTCTTTTTATTTCTAACCTGCTACACTGTCCTTTGGGACAGTGAMCTTTATTACCTTGTTTTGGATGTGTGTGTGAGGAAAAAGGGTTATTGTGTTAGTGGAGGGACAAGCTCCAGCAGGATTAATTGGGARGATAATAGGACTATGGTRTATGCAAATATCCAACMCCTTCCACCTTGCCCACAAAATATKCATTGCCCTTTACCCKTGGTTATTAGAGAATTATCCCAAAAGAGGATGAGGAGAGGGAAGCGCCTCAGCAGAACTTCCACTGGGCAGACTTCCTCTGTTGGTAGGAATCATGRGGGTCTGAGCACCTAGACTGGAAATGCTGCTGGGGTGCCATTAAAATTGCATTTCTGACTAATACCTGAGAAGACTTTGTTCCATAAAAGGCTGTAAGTTTCCTGGCACTGTGTTAAGTGGAGAGAGAATTGTTTGCCCTGTTCCAAAASTACTAGCCAGAAAACCATCCTTGCAGTATCACTTTCGTCCATCCAAATAGAAGATCTCCTTTGATGTTCAGCATTTCATCAGTATTACTTTGATCCTTTTTGTTTTTGTCCTTTTGCTTCATGAAAGTCCTCCTAAGCAAGAAGTAAGCTGAATTTCAAGCAGGAAAAAGGGTTTCCATCATTTTTTGAATAGGAAGGGTTCCTTGTTTTTTCTTGCTGGAGTCCTAACATACTTTAGTGAATGTTCCAAATGGATTAACCAGAGTTTGCAATACTGTGATTGACTGTCCATTTCTCTTTAGCAAAGTATCTCTGTTAGGGCTAAAACCTCAATTTGGGTGCACTTCACCAAAAATGAATGCAATTTGGATCTCTGGGTGCTCACAGCTATGAGAAGAGTTGATGTTGCAAAAGAGCTTCAGGAAGAGCATTTTCTTCAGACTGTTTTTAAGCTTTCATGATAGTAGTGCCARTAGTTACTTGGCCAAGGCAGTGGATGATTTTGGAGACGGGGGGAAAGGAAAAAGAGAGGGAAATTCCAAATGTGTAAGAAAATGCATTTAAAGCCAGTGTTTTGTAGAGAGTTTTTAAGAAAATTCTTTTATCCTGATGTTTTCTCTGTTCAATGTTGATTGAGTTGTTGCTTYCCACTAGTTAGTTGTCATACCCTGAAAATGTCTTTCAGTGAGAGGAGTACTCCAGGTATGTGGCTTTTGAAATTTACCTCCTTGATTTCGTCCTGCTACAATATTTTTGGGTGCTTTGATGTGGCCTTGATAGTTGCATAAACTTTAGGTCCTGACATGATTACATCATTCACCATGAGTTGTCCTTTCTGGCATGTTAAGTTTTAAAATACCATTGAATGCTATGAAAGGAATTTGTTGGGTTTGAATGTCAGAAAATTTCTGGCACTTCTAATATATTACCCAAGATGTATGTCTATACAGGTATTTCTAAGGGTTCTCTATGGGCTATGAAACAGCTAGTTAGTCTAATCCAAATCCATACAGACTCAGTAATGAAAAATTAGGAGGTGCTGTAAAAATGGTCGGAGTGCACAGCAGTTCACTGAAACACTTCATTTTAGACCATGCAAGATTTCTGCGTTTTGATATTGTTATTTATTCTGTATCCACTACTGACGGCACTCAGGATGCTGTTTATTGCTACTATTTTATTTTTTTTGTCCTCAGAAACTGTATGAGCTGAAYAATCTCCATGCTCTCATGGCAGTGGTGTCAGGCCTGCAGAGTGCTCCGATCTTCAGGCTGACCAAGACGTGGGCGGTAAGTGAGCAGCAGGATGATGGAGGGGGGTTAATTTGTGCTTAGGTAAATACAGCATTCTGAAGCTTGGTTTCAAAGATRCAGTAGTTAGTACAGATAGCTTTAATTTTATTCTGCTGCATACATAATGCTTCTAGTTCCTCTGAAGTCTATGGTTTCCTCTTGAATTTTTTTCCATTCTGGCATAGAAATATTTTCCTCTGAAAAATAGTTCCCTGCAGATTCTGCTAAATGCAGAGGCTTCTCATTTGGCCAGAAGCTATTTTGTGTTTAGTTGCTGGAAAATTTTGAATGCCAAAGTGGGTCATACTTTAATCATTTAGGGGTTTATACTGTTGGATTTTTTTTTTTGCTATGGAGAGCAGATGTTGTGAAACTCTTGATTCAGTTTCCATAAAGAGATTTGTTGTTTCTCTGATAACTAAATCTAGCACTTTTCCTTAGAGTTTTCTGAATTATGTCATAGTTTCAGCTCCATTATACAGTATATTTGTAGTTCTGCCTTTGTACAGTTGTGAAAGAGCAGTATTCTTTGGAGTCATTTTTGTCATCTGTTTTTTGACTGGCATTAATATTATTTTATCATTGTATCCTTGATAAGAAGAATWTTGGGAATTACTTTTGCTCATTGATACCTCAGAGCTTAGAAAACAGTCCTTGATTTAGCCATACATTGTGTACTTTTCCAGCTGTTTCAGATGAATTAAGTGTGACAGAAATAATCAGGTGACTGAAGTGCTYCTGTGCAAGGGATATATATAAATAGATCACTAAAAAAAAAGCTGAAAACTTTCACTGAACACATATTGGTGCATCGTTGGATGTTGCGAAATGTGTTTATTGGTCAGATAACTGCATGAAAATGTTGTTCCAATCATAAATATTACCAAAACTGAATATAATTCACTCCTGCCAAGATATTCTTCTAGAATTTTGGCCACATGTTACAAATGCTCAATTTTTGTTAGACATTGCTTCCAAATACCAAAAATCTCTTTGAGGAAATCTTAGTGAAATTAACACTTTGAAATTATCTCAGAGAGCACTTCTGGTTGTCAGTTTATGTCAAAGAATTCATGCCTCAACAGTTTTATGTAAATATGAGGCTGAGCTGGTTTTTAAATCTCTTTTTGTACACAAGTCAAATTAAATGTAACTGGAATAATATATTAATAATAACCACATTAGTTACTGCCATTTAGAACCTGGAGTCCCCAGTTTCTTTTGCTGCTTGATTATGCACTTGTTTGCACTTACAGCGTTTATTTGTGTGCTGTTGACATATATTTAAGTCTTTAAAGATCAGCCCTCTGAAATTCCAGGTAACTTCTCACACATTTCTGCAGGTGTCTGATCCTAAGCGAGTCTGTGCTTTTCATCATCTTACATAARCCTTTACAAATTCAAGTTGCAGAGTAGCTCCCAGCAATGTGCACTGCAAACTGATTTAGTTGTCCTTCTCCAGGAAGTTCCGCTTATAAATTCTTGAGGTACTTCTAAGCCTTTGGCTTTCTGTATATTAAAAGCAAGAAAAGAYGCCTTGAGCCTTTATTTGAGTCACAAAGTCACTTGGGTAAGTTATACAGTAGCCCTCCAAAACCTACAACAAGGAAGGATTTCTTCTCCATTTCTGAGATGATTTGTAGCAGCCCTCAATGGACTCCACTTACAAAGTCAGGAAAATAGCTGCAAGTATATTCATTCCCTAAAAAAACCCCACCTTATATGGTTGGAATCTAGAGTTGAAAGGAGCCATTAAATACTTGCTTGGTAATCTAATGTTCCTAAAAAAGATGGAATTCATGTCTTCTGACGGTATGTCTGAATTTGTCTGAAATTTGTCTCGCTCATGGCTTGCACACACTCTGAACTCTGRCGAATAATAAGTGCTGCTTTTAATGTGTGATTTACCCCATTCAAAACTTGAAAAGAATTGTGAGGCTTTCCAAGAAAGTTCACAGAATAGAAGCTTCTCCATTTAATTTAATGGAGCTTCTCTCCATTTAATGTAAAAGTCTTTTAGATGATCGGGGAGGATTTGGGCAATGTAAGCAAATAATCATTAAATATCTGTAATGTGGTGAGCCAGCATCCTGAGACCTCATCTCTCCTTGCTGGCATTTTAAAAAGGTTGTATTCAGTGCTGGCACACTGTAGTTAGAAAGCAAAGAGCAATTTAGAGGGCTCCAAATCCTTCCCTGCTCCTATAAACTGCCAGCCTTAGTTTTTATGGTGTCTGTATATGTACATCTCTTTACTGTTCTTTTCATCCAAGATACAGAAGATGAAACGTTCTTTCAAAAAGAAGCTGTTCCAAAACTGAGGGACAAAGAAATGGGTCCTTACTTGGCCCTCACAGAAACATTTTTAATGTGTTTGGCTTCTCTGTACTTTTATCCCTTAATGTAGGAAGTGGAGGCATGACATGAATTGCCCCATGAGCACCAGGGGAACCTCCAACATGCAGGATCTGCTTGTTACAAGATTATCCAAATAACCTAAAAGGATACATCAGACTTGAATAAGTGTGTACAAATCAGCATGTTTTGAGGAAAATACAATTATTTTTACTCAAGTTTGAAGTTGGGCTAATTGTATCTGTTAGTGTTGTCTTTCCTTTCAGTCTGCAACACTGTAAAAACCTTCCTGACACCAAACAATTGCAGAACATTTTAGGATATTGTTGAAATCAAGCTGGTCCAGGCTGATTGAACTAGAACCAGCTTTGAGGAGATAAACTTCAAAAGATAAATGTCATGTTTAGGTGCTTGGAAAAGTCATGCCAGTTTGYTGCTTCCTTCTTCTGGAATTGATAGGTTCTAATGAGTGGGAGATGCTGTTCATTTGAGTATTGGAAACAAAACTAAATATGTAAATTAATTGCTGGAATGTCAGTGATCAGTATGTCTTGGGAAACAATTCACTTTCAATAAGTGTCTTTCTCCTGAAAGCCACTGCTTAGTTTGTCCTCATGAAGAGTTGGATATAGGAAATGTAAGTAAAAAGATATTTCGACAATGAATTTATAGAAGGGGGATTTCACTCCTGTTAGGCTCACCTAGGCTGATCTTTAACTGAAGTGGAAAGGGAATATGCATAGACATTTAGTGATCTGACCCTTGTAATGTTTGCATTGTAGGAGGAAAATTGTGACTGGGACCTAGAACACTGAATGTCTTGCCAGAATGTTCAGCCAGAACATCTTACGCCCTTTGTTAAATTCTGACTCTGAGTTGAAATGAAGACTTTGGGGCAGTTYTGCAGCAGCAGTTCGGCAAGGTGTTTTGAAAATATCTTACTTTCCCAATCTTACAAAGAGAGCCTCGTTGCTGTTAATTCTATCAAAGGAAGGAATTGGAGGCAGGGGGAATGGACAATAGATGAGAAACTTGACTTTTAAGTTTTCTGTTCAAAGTGGATGTTTCTGTAATATTAAGAGCCAGTAAAATTGTCAGTTGGCAGGAGAATACAACTCCATGAGCTTTCTGTACAAAACCATAGAGAAAATCCTTACTCTTATCCAGACCTTCAAGTACACGGGTATGTGTACATATATCTGCATTCAATATTTTTGAAATTGCAATTTAGGTGAAGTTATTTATCAGATCTTAATGGCATTGGTTTGTTCTTTGGAAAATTATCATTTCAGATGGAATTCAAATCAAGAACAAGAAAGTATTTTAGGAATTGTTTCTCAGGGTATCTGACAACAAATGGTGACATGATGTGGCATGGTGTGGTGTGAGGAACAGAAAGGGCCCTTATTCTGTATAGGCTCATCAGTAACAAAAGTATGTCTGTATTAACATATTAACAGCACTGTTTCCAGCACAAATCCAGGATACATCCCATACTAGCACTGTGAAGAAAAGTGACTCCATCCCATCCCAAGCCAATTCACTTATGGATAATCACAGTGAAAATGTTATTGGCATGACTGCTGCTGATATGGACAGCACATGAAGCTGTGATGTGTGTTAGCTACATTAGTCTTTTGATAACTTACATTGTTTCAGAAGGATCCTTCAGGACACCAGCATTTTACCTGTTTAATTTTTAGAAGTATTTTCAAATTTAACAGCAAGAATACCTGCTTTGCTTTGTAAACTTTCCAAGTTTTCCACAAAAAAACAGTAACAGCACCATTGAGGAAGCGGAAATCTCTACTTGTAAGAGTAAAAGAGAAACCATAATAATCAAACTCAAGCTCATTTGGTTTTGCCTTCTTTCTTTCCCTAGTTACTCAGTCGGAAGGATAAAGCCACCTTTGACAAACTGGAATATGTTATGAGTAAAGAAGATAATTACAAAAGGCTCAGAGACTATATCAGCAGCTTGAAGATGACTCCTTGTATTCCCTATTTAGGTAAGTTGTAGCCTGTTTCTCCAGTACTTACACAGGCCAAACACCATCTGTTAAGCATTCATGAAACTCTTTCAGTATCTAAGTGAAGAATCTTCAACCCGAGGTGATTCTGGACWCTCTGTATGTGGCAAGACAGAACCTCAGAAAGAAAATACCTCTTCAACCTCACAAACACTGCAGATTTTGCATAGAGTATCAGTTTTCTGGGAAACTATTTTGCCACATGTTGTACAGATACACTGATTTCTGGAGAAGTACTTTGTTAGGCCTGCTAGTCCTCTAAATACTAAATACTTAACTGTTCTAGTAATGATGGCTTTTAATTTATGAGAAGCTGTAAATCACCAGCCTCTGAGAGAAATGCACATAAATCTTAGAGTCTGGGACATAATAAAATCTGGAGATATTGCTACATTTAATATATACCAAAGTGACAAGAGGAACTGGGTTGTTCTAAGTGGCTCAGCCTTACAGAACGATTATTAKGAAATTATATTCCTGTGTATCTAAGAACTAGGTAAGTGCATTTAATATGTGTTGGTTTTGTTGTCAGCCTGATTTAGTATTACTTGAACTAAATAGACATTAAAATGATTAGTGTACCTCTTTTTCATGTAGCTTTTGTTTCATAAGATGTTGGTAATCACATAATATTAAGGAAATGTGTATCCAGTTTTTTGTATTTTTGCAGAAAATAAGTTGCTCTTACACCTGAATTCAAAATGAGGTCTTGTGGTCATTAATGCCTGTTTAACTGGAATCTCTTTGTTCCTGAAATTTGATACTTCCTTTACTCAGCTGGGCTGTTAACTTTTTTAASATTAACTGGCTGAATTTTACATGCTTGATACATAAATAGAAAAAAATTACTTCACTGTGGGGGCCCAGATTTTAATGCCCTGTAGTGTTTGTCATTCACGRCCTGAGTTGAAAGGGGCAGAAAGAAGTCAAGCATTATGTAATGTGATGAACCATGTAGCCTTCCCATCTTGTGTACATGTACAATATAGAGACATGATATATAATATATATAATACATTATATAATACTATTATAATTAGTTCTAAAATGCTTCTTAGGCTGATGCTTTTTACCCATATGGTGTGATTTTTGAAGTGTGAAGCCAGCATCAGATTGTTTTCTTGCTGATTATAAAAATCCCAAGCCAAATATTGGGAAACRGTTTTTAAGTTTTGTTAGTTGCAGATGTTTTCCCCAGTAAGTGGCAGTTTCTTGTCTTAACTTTTTCCTTAGAATAAGCTTTGGGCTTGACTTGATARCTCAAAATGAAATATATCATTCTTTTCTATTTAGAAAGAAATGCTCTTTACTGTGTAGTTACAGCATGTGTTGTGATCTCATTTCATGTGATTTCAGTTCTTACTAGTGCCATGAGSAGTGTCCAAAAGCCTTTTTTAATTCTCTAAAGCAATAGCAAATGCCCACTGGTGCTCTCCTTCTAAAATTAGTTCTATGGGGTTTAAAAAGTGGCAAAAAGAACAAAATTGCGTTGAAACTACAGTTATGATAAATCTGGATCCAGTTTGGAGGACYGATAGTTGAGTCCAAGTTTTCTCATTTGATGAAAGCTTTAATCTCTGCTAAGACCTGAGTAGATTTGTTATTTTTCCAGGCATTTTTACTAAGGTAAGAGTCRCATGTAACAGCAATTAAATTGCTTTAGTTACTGTTGTAAGTTTGTCAGTTATAGGTTACTATTCCTAAAAGGAATTCTTGTGCTGTAAGATTCTGTAAGGGAATAGTGCTRTTCCTGGTTTGAAATATGTAGAAAAGCCTACCTACAAGTCTRCAGTTGGAAATGGTGATGATGGCATGTGCCAGGAAGGCGTTTCATCAGGAGGACCATTCCCTCTCATGGTAAAAGGAGGAGTGGGGYTTTCTTCACTCTTTGTGGGGAGATCCAGCATCTGCTATCCTTCCCAAAAATGCTRTTTGGAAGAGTGCAGATTATCAGACTTGCCACACAATTAAATTTGCCATTGCAAATCCCTTCTATAGAAACTTTGGCATTGGTCATGGAGACCTATTTGGAAGGTCATAGGGAGAGTGAGTAGGTAATGGAATTTCAGCTGCAGTTTCAAGGATGAATGTTTTGCCCTTTTGCAAATATCAGATATGGGTGTAGACTTTTTTCATGCCCATCTTGGCATTGTAAAGTAAAGCTTAAATGCATCTGTGGTATAGTTTTTGCAATAGGAGCAGAGCCACAGAAACAAATTGTTGTTATATTTCCACAGCTCACTCTCTGTGGACAAGATAACRATGTCCTTTCACATTTAACTGAAGTGGAAATAAAAGTGTTTCTCAGCTCCTTGTAGCAATGATTGTCATGTGATTCCAGAATTCTAGAAATGCAGCACATTAACAGTATGGACTCACCTACTTCAGTGTGAGTGTGAAAAGCTGTGCAGCACCAATAAATATGTTCAGCACCAGATCCTCGTTACACAGCATGGGATATGTCTTCAGTGTTGCATCACCTGGCCAACTAAAGCAGTCAGAACAAATGGGAGCTGTGTATGTGCTGTTATATTTCACTGTAGAATAAAATCCCATTCTCCAAGGGAGTCTTATCCCAGTGCTCTGATCCATTTGAGATTGCACAATGAAACAACTGAGCCATATCTTGAGAAGTAAGATTTTTATTTAACTAAGCAGTACTACCTTGTGAAATATTTTTCTTAYAGCTGTCTTTGAGGAGTTATATCCAGAAACAGAAAAGCTGAAAACAAGTTATTAAGTATTCATCTGAGGAATATGCAGCTACTTCAGTGATAGTGTTTGCAATAGAGCTTGGAAATAGATGTGAAAACTGTGTTTCAGGTTTCTCACAAGTTGAACTTTTCTTTCTGAGTCTGCCTGGTTAAGTTTGGATTGATGGTACAGGAATGGTGAAGGCTTTATCCTTCTCAGACAGACTGCTCCTGAATGCCCAGGGCAAGGAGCCTGAGGGATGCTATAGGCTTTTCTGAAAATCTTTCAAAAGAAAAAGTRTGGGAGAAAACATTGCACTTTTCCAGTCACTCGCCCTGCTTAGAAAATTCAGCCCTAAAGCTACAAGCTAATAGAGTTGCAAGCATTTGAATGTGAATTACTGTACAGAGTATGAAGCAACCTGAAAAAGACATGCTATGCTTTCCTTCCTCATAATCTTAAATTGGCAACTTAATTAAGTCATTCCTTTCAGAGCACAGCATTTGTACAGTCCGAGGTTTCTGGGTGTATTTTGTAATAATGTTTAGTTAACGTCATACTGCAGCTTTAAATTGGGAAAGGCTCACTTTTTAGATGTCTAATATATAAGATTTAATTAAAAGGCTGAGTGCAAGCTAATTTTACTTTGGGGTTTCTGCAAAGTACACCTTTCACTGAGTGCACTGAATAAACAAACACTGTTTTTGTAGCAGGCAAGAGATTCTTGGGGTAAAATAAGCTCTCTGCCAAGGAGAGGAAATCTGCCGGYTGAATGAACTAAAGGCTGTCAGAAGTGATCATTAAAGGAGTGCTTTGGGGARGGCATTTTCTCTTTTTCAGATAGAACTGCTCTTCTATCCAGCTATCATAGAATAAAAGACAGACTAGAGACAATCTGAATTATAAGCATTTGCAATTAAGAAGCATTTTGCAGGACACTCAATCAATGAGGTCTGTATGATATTTGTAACAAACAAATATTCCTTATATGAAGAACAATTTCAGAATTGTAATCRTTAACATTTGTGTCAGTTAAAATTCTTGGAATTTGGGAATGGAATATGCTGGGACTGATTCCCCACYGCCGCCAACCCCAATTAAATATTGGTGGGACTGGTTGGCTTTGATCTCTGACCAGAGATTTAACTACAAGCCTTGCAGCCATACATTATCAATGAAGCTTTATCTATTCCAGACAGTGTGTCCTGAAAGCAGACTGCTGGGTTTTCTCCTCTGCATTACGTAGGAGGCTTTGCATAGTAATGGCTATTGACTAATTTAACATAACAAYAATACTAGATTATGCTTTTAGCTATTATGGTTTCTTATTTTAAATAGGGACAAAGTTCCTGAAAATCCTGAAGGTACATATGAGGTGCTAAACAAATACATTGGTTACAGTTCAGAACAGCAGATTCATTTTTATGTAACATAACATTAAATTAGGCAACCTSTGTGGCTATAAGTGCAATTACTAAATAATGTTATATAACCAGAAGAAAGCTTTAGTTTTGAGATTCTGGTACCTAAAGCCAATGTTTTGTTGTATCTGATTTTGCATCAGTGTGAGGTATAGCTTTTKTGAAATGTTGGGAAAGTATTTTGTAATTAATTTCTGAAATTACATATTAATTCCAGTGGAAATTTGATATCTAGAAGATAAAATTTAGTATAGACAGTATCAAAAATTGTATGTGTATAAGGGAAGGAAAATGTGTGTGTCATAAGAGCTGCCCAAGTTTGGGATGTCAGGGAGAGCACACTCGTAGCTGATTTCTTTGTTTTACTGTGGCAGCAGAAAGCTGAGTTGGAGGAAAACTTCTAATATTCAGAGACTTCTCTCAGTTACTATGTGTGAATGCTTGGTCAGCCCTTGTCACTCYTAATTGGAACAGGGAAGTGTCAAGTCATGATTTTAGTATCAGGACTTTCACATTTGCTATTTAAGTTCAAATTTTAATTGGAAAGCTTGAATATGGAGGTTGAAAGTAAAAAAGGTATTCAAGCAATTTGGTTGTCGCAAGTTAGTCAATAGTTTCATACAAGTAATTTTCTTATGCTAGGAACATTTTGCTTAAATGTTTTACAGAAGATAAGACTTGCAGATCTTAGCAGTGTAGAGAATTCCTTAAGAAATTTTGTGTTTTGTGTTTAATTTGCCTCTTCATTTTGAAATAATTATTTGTTGCAAAAATCATTCTCTGCTGGCAAAGCTAAAATGTCTCCAATTTTTTATGGAGCTTCTTGGAGTAAATATCAAACARTAATATGAAGTCAGATTTTTCATTGAAAGTAATACCAACATTTTTAAATAAATTGTTAAATAACGAATCAATTTTCACATTAAAGCAAGACAATGTCATTTCACATATTTACATTTAAGGGTTGAGCTAACCTGAAAAAGTATAAGCTTTTTGAACTGGAAAAGCTTATATCTTGTCATAWATCTGAAATTCTTTACCAGCTTTGACTGTTTACAAAAGTATGTTGATCTTGAACAAAAGATAAATATGCTTTGCAAGCACAAACATCTGCTTTTGTGAAYGTGTGTTTAAAAAMAATACCATCTCTCACAGTAGAGAARGGTCCTAAAAAAAGGAGAGGGGAACATGACAAGGGAAAGAAGACAGGAAAACTGTAGACCTGCTTTTTGCAGGGGCAGATTGTGCAAAATAATGATTAAAAAGTAATATTTTATTTTTCTGGAACTCAGACACTGAGAAGTTTATATGGGAGCACTGTGGGATTTTCTTCCTCAGTCTATAGGTCTGATCATCATCTGAACTGCTTTCAAGGAGTAGGAACCTCCCCGRTACTCAGCCCAAAATATTCCATCCTGGTACTTGCTCCTGTAGTGGCCTCCTCGGTACCAGACCCCGTTGAGATTGGAGTGAGCACACGCGTTGTACCACCAGCCACCCTTGTGGAAGTGAGCACAGTTTCCTGGGGAACAGAAGGAATTATGTGAACTTCAGCTTTAGACAGGAGAAATGGAAATTACTAAATGRTTTCATATTGGGGCTATTCTCGTGGGCAGCTTGGATGTACTTCATAGCCTGTCATGGTCACATCTWGCTGTTCTTCCTAAATTATAGATTCTGTTGTAACAGCAGCCATTGCTGGAGGGAGGGGTCATTGACATGGTCTTTAATGTGACAGCTGAAAATGAAGGAGGGAGGTGTTCTCAGCCTGCCAGCACTGCCTCTCCATGAGCTAACACCCAAGGAACTCAGATCATGTGCTGTTTGGAAATACTTGAGCAGAAGCAGTGTGAGCTGATACAGCCTGAAGCAGCACTCAGGGCCATGGCTCCACAAAGAGTTGCTTGTAACTTGTGTTTTTACTGTTACAGGCTTCTCTGAGAGTTTGCAGGATTTGTCCAGCTTTATGGTTATTGACAGCTGAGGGAAACCAGTTGTAATTATTGCACTCCCCAACCTTTCTTTTTCTGCAAGGAGAAAACTGGAGGAAATGAGCAAAAAAGTGAGCTTTAAGGAGCAGAAAATCAAATTATATGCCCYTTTCTCACATATTGGTACATAACTAAACCTCTGCACACTTGCAGTTCCTTTCATGCTCTTCAGAGGCTTTAGTTCCTGGTGATGGTGATGTGGCAGCAGCACTACTCAGCAATCACCTGGACAGGWACTCTGACGGCAGAGCCACGTGCAAGTGATGAATTAAACAGAAAATTACTGTAGGGTGTTGTCAGTGAGGGTAGCAGAATTTGAATTTCTGACAGGTGCAGGGGCTCGAAGGGAGCCCTGCCAGTGTGGTTTTTATCATTGTAGATTTGAAGCATCTTCCAGTAGAGTTATTTAGCAGAATTGATGTACATTTTTACACTATGCTATACTGTTGGAGGTGGTGTAGCTACTGGAGTTTACATTAGTCACTTTTCACACATGCTGCTTTCCTTACCTGAATACATGTCCCTGTCCCTGTCCAGTGTTGTGAATTGCTTCCCATTGTGCCATATCATGGAGTCCCCAGCRTTGCCCTGGTACGTTCCCAGACGCAGCCGGTAGAATTCACTCTCGGGCTCCAGGCGGAAGCTGCTGTACTCGGCATAGACCTTCTTGTTGCTCCAGTCCTCCAGCTCAATCAATAGTCTGTAATTATCCTGATTGGTGAGCATGTAGATATTMTCTAGTCCCAGCCAGTACTCTCCATCAATGTTCCCAAATCCTTTCTGTGCAAAAGAAGATCACAGGGGGCTGTTAGCTTCGTTTCCATTAACTCATCAGCAGGAGTGTTATAAACCAGTGGAATGTGGGTACTGAAAGCGTCTAAACTTCTGAATTACTTCAACCCATGCATTTAAGTTCTTTATTTTGCTGYRTTGGGATTGCTAAGATGCATGAAATGCTGCCAGAACCYGTAAGGGTGGTAAAACATCTGTGTTCTTGCTGTCCTCTTCTTTTTAAGATAAAGGGAGGGAGAATAAGAAAACTGAAACATTGTATTTCTTGACAAWGCTAAGGGGATTTGTTATAATGGATGAATAATGGAATTTTAGGTTATTTTTTCAGGTTGAGAAAGGTATTTGTAAATCAGTAGTCTCAATGTTCAAGGCAAATAACTTCTTGCTGCTTTTATATTKCAACTAGTGTTGTTTTTTTAGTATAAGTTTAATCACACAATTCCTCTGTGTTCTTTACTGGATTTATTAGAAATGAAAAGTAAAGGTATCTTTTCTTTCAAATCACAGACTACCAGCACAGTAGCTGTCAAGTGATATTTCCTATTTGCTATCTCCTTTCCCCAAGTAAAACAGTTGYTAATGTTTGGTGTCGTATTATGTTCAAAATGTTTGTGATTGCTTTGTAAGGCTCTCCATAACTGCCTTAAAACATTTTATAACATTTAACAACTTGAAAACCAACCATGTACTGCTCTGAGAAGTAAAGACTTCGCATAATAATTGATTGATTTGTTTATTGAATAATTTTAGTTATAATTTTAGTTTTAGTTATTATTGACTTACAGATCAATATTTGAATCACTACATTCCAAGAGTGCAGGAAGCAAAACTCTTCACACTAATTTTGTGTTCCGTATGTGTGAAGTAGTACTACTGCTACTTACTACTATTATTATTATGATTGTTATTATTATTATCTCAACCAAATGATCTTCAAATTTCCTATTTAGCATGTAATTACTCCAAAGCAACATCCTCTTGTCATGCTGGATGTTCTGCCTGCTAGTGCATAATATCTCAGTAACACACAGGAATGTGTTTCCCTCCACCATCCTGACATCTTTAGATTTCTATCCTAAATTAACAGATGGGAATTATTTCCTTTTATTCATTATTAAGACTTTTTTCAGGTTGAGCCCCGAGTCCAGCAAATCWATTAATGTGTTTAAATTAATAATTCCGCTGGCTGAGTTTACTTATTCATAAGGGAGACAATGAARCTTTACAACTACTTACTGTAGTTCTCAGTGTGTTAATAAAAATCATATGTTCAGTTAGAACTTTGTAATAAATTACTTCCCTGCCACTGTCTATGTCTCCCAGTTGTGTTGTGCATTAAAACCCAGGCTGTTTCAGACAAGTTGGTTTGTACAGAATTAGCCAGGCATTGAGGAACATTCCCACTGAAATACGTTTACCTCTGAGGGATGACCACTCTTTTCAATTACCTTTCTTCACTCACTGATTTTCTGCGTTCTAGAATTTACCTTGTAACTGTCCCAATTCCTGAAAAAGTTGACAGATCCATCTGTCCTCTTCTGGATAACTGCCCATCCTCCAGGATCCAGGCTGTTCTCACACCAGAGTTGCATTGGCTCGTTGCTATTTTCGGGTTTGATCATGTAAATCCCGCTGTTGGAATGCCCAGCGTCCTTGGCTTGTTGGCAGTCTTTGAATGGACCTTTTGGAAAAGAAATACAGTRAGCATTCAAGCTTGGCTGTGCAGTGTCCATTGTCCAGGAATATTTTGTAATGGAAAGTCAGTAAWTCAATTAAGGTATAAACCTACCATGGAGAACAGTGCAAAAAGTTACTGTCTGGGATTAATTGTATATATAAATAARTATGTCAATATCCTCTCTCCATATATTCTTGAACAAAAACTTCATTTTGCTAGGCAAATAATAGACTTTGGTTACCTACACCCATTTTTTTTGTCTGTAGTGGCAAAGATTTATACCCTGGCTCTTGATACTGCACTACATCATGATTTTCTTTCATCAAGGATTTTCTCTTCTTTTTTACAAAAGGTAGACATGGATTAACTTGATTTTCCAGTGCATCAATTTGAAACTGGTGGAAGTAAAAATTAAAACACATTCAGAATACCCAATCTCTCTATTTCTGAATATATAAGTGSTTTGAGAGCTGCTGTAAAAATACTTATTGCCAGAGTCTACAGRCATGGAATTTGGTCATAGAGAATTCTTACACTGCATAATTTTTTGCCTTTATTTTCTTACGCAGTTTGAGGATTAGGCTGTTAACTGTGGATAGGAATCCTTCTAAGTTTCATGTGTGGTCCTAGTGTGATACATATAGATGGATATTGATGAAAGAAATAAGCAAGCAATGGAGAAGGATTTTTGAGCAGCTGAAAGGACTCACATATTTGTTTTCAGGGCTGTGGTTGCACAAAATTTCTGTTGCTGTTGTGAGTGCTGCTTGAAAGCTCTATTTTTGTCCATCTGAATAGTGGTTTTACAAATATAATAGAGAAGAGCATCTGGTYATTCTCTAAGAAGGAAGCAGCTTATATGTCTCTGAAAACTTTGCCTAGTTTGTCTTTCAATTGTTGGTAATGTTTTTATTTTCTGTTTTTTTAGGGAAAAAAATTGTTTGTCTGTCATTACTTCAAAAAAAATTTTTTTTTTTTTTTTTTAGGGAAAAAAATTGTTTGTCTGTCATTACTTCAGTTTGTTTAGAAAAACTGGTAATTTACTAATGAAAAGCAAAATGTATTCTAATGATTAATTAGCTGTGGATGCCCTAAATGTATTTGAAAAYTCAATACATCTGAAAATAAATTAGCTACAGCTTTCCTCTCCTTCCTAAGAGGGCTTATTTTCTCAAATCTCCTTGAAACTTCAGGGAGAAACATCATTGACAGAAACAGCTCACATGCAAAGGAGCATAGAAGACATTTGTTGARGTTATTCTTTAATCAAAAGTAGAGSCTGATGGAAAGGGACCTTCACTGCAGATTGTGTAACAAAAGCAAGCTGAAAATCACACTTTTCTTAGATTTTCAGGTAGTAGTTGCCAGTTGGACAAGTATGTAGTTAGCAAGAAATCCATAAAGCATTTCATGTCAATTAGAATGCATGCAGCTTGTGTATCTAATGAGGAGCACTTGGAGCTTCTGGCTGTGACAGGAATGTCACAGACACTGAGCCACTGCTGTAAATACTGCTGCACTGCCAGGACTCTGATGGCTTTGTCATTCTTCCAGTGCAAGCACTACTACGTTAGGAAATCAGTCCTGGAGCTTTTTTCCCCTCTTGTTCACAATTAAAATTTCCATGTAGATTATGAATATTGCAGTGTTTGTCCAGGGGGTAGATAATTCCCTGGGCTAAGCTGGGTGTCATTCCCCTTCCTTGAAACTGTCTGAAGCAAAGTTGGGTGCTCTATAACTGAACAGGGATGTTGTTCCAGAAGTCTTTTTGTAAAGCAGTTATTGCTTTAGGAAAAGTATAAACAGATAAGCCTAATTTTTTGTAATGTTAATGAACATTAAGAATAGCTTAATTAGATCTGCTCAGTATTTATCTCATGTGATTATTACTGGAGGAGGAATTGAGCACTGTTTTTTCCATGAGAGACCTAAGCAGATGTTTGGGGTCATTTTAAATAGTTTTTAGGTAGATGGAATTGTACCAGTCTGTTTATATAATACTTGGATCACTTCTGGAGTTCAGCTGGCTTTAAGTTCACAGGATGTGACTCGTCTGCTTTGATGCTCAGCTTTCTCTGCGTGCATTTAGTTAATGTTGTGGTAGAGGTAATAGACTTCTGCTCTTAATGTAAGGAAATCCAACATATCCCATAATTTTTTATGTGTAGTCATGAATGTTTTTGGAGAAGTAATTTCTTTGTTACGTTGAATTATTTCAAGTTCATGTTGTAAGAATTGATCTTGTTCAGTGGAAATACTGAGATTTGTGAGACAGTTTAAGATTCTTCATATTGCTGGTGTGATTGGAGGTTTGATTAAAAAAAGCGTAATTTTCTGTTTAATATCTTAGATTTTATAGTTTATGAAAGGAATAAGTTATCTTATCTAGTCTAGCCCATCTAGTCTTTGGTAATAGTCAGTGTACACTAAGTTGCTGAGACAGTTATAAGTGAGAAATACTCTAGAAGATGATCTGCTAAATATTTCACTTCTGAAATTGTGGGTTAGATCTATGATTTAGTGCAGATCATATTCTGTGCTAAATYAAATGAAGTAGAGAAGGAAAGGGATTAAATATTTTAAGTTGAAAGCTTAATATCTTCATGGCTGAATCCCATTTTGAGATGCCAAATGTTATCTTGAGCAGATGATACAGARGCTCTGCTTGTGTAAGGTCCATATAGAGGATTTTTGGGATCAGTAATAGTCTGAATTGGAATTTTCTTAAAAAAAAAGAAGCTATGTTGTTAACCAAGAGGCATTAGAAACAAGTGTTTCTGTCTAATTTTCAAGTCCCTGTTTAACTTGAAGCTACTTTTTGCAGAAACAGTGGCAGTAATTTTGGGGGTCACTGGTTATTATTCCAAATATTAAGGTAACTGTGATAACTGCAATTCACAGATAACATACACTTTCCTCAATTTTTAGAGCAATTTTTGTACAAATTAACCAAAATACTTAGAAAATATGAATTTRCCCTTCTGTTTCCCATATATTTTGCATTTTACTCTCCACCCACAATATTAAGATGCACATTCACCTTTCTGACACATCTGCTGCATGCAAGGAGGTCCAGGCATTTGTTCTGACATAAATCTTTAAACCAGCCTATTTCTAATTGGGACTGTCTGGTTTTTTCACTGATCTGTTTTTTATATCTTTATACATTATTGTAGATTATTTATAAATAATCGTTATCTTTTAACCATAAAGTTGTTCTTTCTATGACACAGTTTTGGTTCTGTGCACCCTTAAATCTGTTTAACTTTAAAAATCAGGGATAGTAACTGGGCATTGTGTTGGAATGTACAGGTTTTGGTACAAAATGGACAGATGCCCTACTAGCTGTAGCAATTCTCAGCCCTCCTTTTCCCAAGGCACTGCCAGAAACGCTTAAACTTCCAGCTCAAGAATCTAGTATTAAAGGAAGGTGAATGTTGTTACAGTAAACTTGCTAAGATTTCTTTGTATTCTCTTCCAAAAATGGATTCAAACTCTAAACTCTCCCAGGTAGAGAGTTCCATGAACACCAGGGTAGATAATTTAGGGATTAATACTTAGTGCTGTTGTCTTGTTCTGTATTTGCAACAGGCATTTATTGAGAAAAAGATGCATTCAGAACAGAACCTGGAAACAAGGGTTTGCTGGGAAGCAGGAAGTCATGACTTTTTTTAGAATTATCCTTGTGCTGTCTGACCAGACATAAAAACAGAGCTTTGATAGGAACTGTTTCCTTTCTGTCATGATGTGCCACTGAAATGCACATGACATCTGACATTTTGCTTGGGCTCATGCCTGAATTTTCTGCAGACCTTGAATAAAAATAGTTGTTCTTTACATCAGCAGCTGGTTGGTTGTAATGCTGCAAACCAGTCACAAATAAATGTTGGGCTTCATCTTAGGAGCCAAGTTGAACTTTCAACTGTGACTAAAAGCAGTTTGAAAGAAACAAAAACAAAACAGCAACCTAAACCCAAAACCCACCCCCAAAACCTTTTGCTGTGCTAACAGAAGCCAAAGCAAGCACTCAAAGGGATGACTGAGTAAAACTGGTTTTCCTGAATTCTTGGTTTTTTTTTTTTAAATCTTGATTCTGTCAAAATTTCARTGAAGTGAGAAACATGATAGAGTTCAGGGCAGCTTAGTGGCAGTTAATTGCCTCGTCCCTTATTTTGATTCCTACTGATATAAGTATTTATCTAATAACCTGAAGAATGTAATGCATGAAGATATGATACTGTCTCCTGAATGTWTTTTCATAATATTTGTGGTTTTAGTTTAATTTGCCATCTCCTTCTAACATCAGGTTACTGGGAATGTAGTTACTGTTTTAAAATTTTCAAAGCTGAGTGCATCTAATARGATCCAGCCTTGATTCAATTATGCTTTCAAACTTACCACTCTTGAATATTTCAACTAAACACTGAGAGACTCATTACATGAYTGTGTTAGTGGATTTAGATGTTCATTTTAAAGCAGGTTAGAATAGAAGGGCTAGAATTCTTCTAGTAGAATTTTCTTCTGGCAACTGTAGATGTGTAAGTATAAAGGACAACTTAAAATTACTTAATTTGTTTAAAAATCATTAGTTTCTCTTACTCACCCTTGCCAGCTACTGTAACATGTAGCTAGCAGGCATCATCAAAGAAATGGGTAAATATTRGCAAGCTTATGCTAGTATTGAATTTTCATATTTTCATAATTCAAACCCAGCTGCAGAGAGAACTCACAATACTTTGTGACTTGAAGGCGTAAATTGTCCAGACTGAATTTCTGAGTATCGGCCGTTTCAACAAATTTATCTTACGCAGATTTAGGCCATTAAGCAAACTTGCCCTGGGAGGTGGAAGGGGTGAAGAATCAGGAGCAAGAGTGAGCTGTATGAGGTGCTTTCAGTTGTTCCTTTTGTTCCTGTAGTTGGAACAAAATAGTTGGGGCCGTTCCTCTCAGAAGTGGAGAAATGTCAGGTCAGATAAAGAGTGACAGGTAACTTACCCTCATTAATCAAAGCCAGCGGTGGTACTCTGAAAGGGCTCTTTGTAGGAGAAGTGGCTGGGTCGGGTGGGGGCCTTACATCTCTGTCTCTGGGGTAGCCTGGGTCTCGCTGTATCTCGTTGCCTCCCAGAAGCACTGGGGTGTAGGGCTGGCTGTTGGGAATGTGCTGCGGCACGACCTGCACCAGGGGTGGGGACCCGTGGCTGTCCTGGCGCGAGAAGATTTTCAGGCACTGCTCCTCCAGCAGCGAGATAGTCACAGACTGATTGTTCACCAGATCAGTTAGTGCTGCGTATTTCACTTCAAGCTCCTTGTATTTCGTTGCCATCTTCAGCATTTCGGTTGTAACGTTAAGGACTTTGTTCTCCAGCTGGGAAAGCTCGAGTGAGTTGTCGCGCTTTCGAATGATCTCATGCAGCAGTTGCATGTACAGTTGGGTCACACGAGAGTTCATGTTCCGACTTTCTTTCCTYAGTAATTTGACTTCATTCACAATGTTTCCATCCACATCCACTACCAACTGCAGAATGTCGATCTCCCGCTTCTGCTTGGACAGCACATCCTTCAGRTTCTCAATGTCCATCCTGGTGACTTCGTCTTTCCTGTTTCCAGTGCCCCCATTCGTGTTCACACAAATTGGCCCTGTGATTTTTTGTTCTGGCACCAGGAARGTGTAACCACATTTCTTCCCTTCCTCTCCCCCATCTGCTGAACGAGGCTGCCTCCGCGGGGGCATCTTGCTCGGCATGGATTGTTCTGTACAGCGCCCGATAGACAGCAGCAGGAACAGCAGGACACCCAAAGTCCACTTCARTATCTTCATTTTAAAGCAGCTGTGACAATTGTCAGGAGCCTGTTGAACAGATGAAAGATCAAGTCAGTAAATCAGAGGCACAACCAAGGCTCTTGGACTGTTGAACTGCCTCAGTTGATGGGCTTGCCCTGTTTGCATATATGTAGCCAAGTCCTTGGAATCTCTTACTTGGAGCTAGATTCCATTAGATGGGCTTTCTATTTTGAACAGTAAATGCTGGAATTTAGATGCAGGATTTAGTAGAGAAGTTGTTGCAATGGGTGAGTTTTCAGAAACAATATTGTACTTAGATTCTGTGTTACACTTCCATTATCAGTTTTAACTGCACAGCTCTGTGCTCACTGCTATTACATGCACAAGGTTATAGAACATAGAGTGCTTGCAGAATACCTTCCTGGAAGGGAAGTAGGGAAACAAAGTTGTTTATATAAATGTTGGAATTTGGATTATATAAGCCTTTCTGGTCCTCTTTTAGCTTTATATATAGATGTATAATTTGTTAAATCRTATATACATACATATTCATATATACAGCCATTTTTCAAATTTATATACACACTGTTTTAGTAGAAATGAAAAATKCATCTTTTAAAGACTATTTTTGGATATGAGTGTTAGGCAGAAGATTAGATATTTATGCAAACATTAAAAATTACTTGTTCAAGTGACTTTGAATTTGTAAGGAGAGCTTATGCGTCTCCCTATTTAGTTGCCTTGAGATGAATGTTTAGAATTGTTGTCATGCTATTTTTGTATCTTTGAGAACATCTTATCCAAATAATCCTGAAGTATCAGGTGTGTTATCATTATAAATACCATACTGAAGTGTTTCATTCATCTTYTAAAGAAAATTAGGAGTTTGTTTTAACTCTAAAGAGTTAAAGTGCAATGATAAAGATCCAGGAACGATTTTGGAGACCTGTTTTTTAACTTTAAATATTTGAGATGATAAACAGTGGTAGCACTTAAATAAGGAAAAAAAACCTTCATGTTTTATGGTTTGTTTGCTTTGAGAAGCAGATCACTCTTCTAATCTCAGCTGCTGATCTGGCTTTCCTTTCCCAAGTCCTGCAAGCCTTTGGATAGCCCTGGTACAGTGGCCTTTGGACAATCACAAGGAGACATACAGTAAGAGCAGGCAAAGTTAATTACACTGCTGTTCCTTCCAAGTCTAAGTGTATTTGGCARTCCTGACACTGTGATCCCAAAGGAGAAGCAGAGCTGTGCTGCYTCCTTTAMATTCACATTAGAAATGATAACGTGACTTTTGGRTCAGGTCACTTCTCCCAGTCCTGTTACTGGCTTTAATATTATTGCAACAATGGTGTCTGCTCAACCTCAGGAAACCTGTCAAGTCTTTATTTTTTGGCTTTGCCGAGAGCAGTGGTTACAAGCTTCAAACCATGTTGTACATGCATCAGGAGTTAGAGCTAGGAATTCTGATTCAATGCTCAATAACTTTTTGTTTGTCTGATGGTTGTATTGTAAGCCCTGTTCCTGGGAGAGGAAGAAAGCACATTTAACACATACTAAAAATTCTTTCTTACCCTGCATAAATGGAGGGAGCACATAAGTTTGAGGAAGCTTATTTTTAAAAACTTATTTCTCTTTGTAGTAATAGGTATTTTTGTGTCAAATAGTAAATATTTTTGTTGAAAACAAAACTTTAAAATTTTATTAATATTTCTCTGCTGAAACTGTAACTTCCATTTAAAGTTTTAAAAATTTAGGAAAAAGTATCATTTTTTTCCAGAGTCGGTTGTGTGTTTTTCTTTGGCAATTTTAGACATTTAAAATATTAATCACTTGGACAGTGCTCAGATCTGGAAGTWCATCAGGTTAAATGTTCACATGAAYCATGGGAAGCTCATGGAAAGTGATCTGTGTGTGGCTTCTAACTTGACAAGGATGAACTGAACTTATTGTCTGAAGTTTAAAACCTCTTTGCCTCTCCTAAATTATTTTTCAGGAGTTTTGCCTTTACTGTTTGTAGATTGAGGGAGAGAGACTTCATGGTATATGGCTGAGGATGAAGCCATAGTACAAGTCCAGTATTTTACTATTTTAACAGTGTATAATAGGTACTTCATAGTCCAAGAAACTGAATAATGTTCTAGTTYTTGGTAGCTTTTAAAGACCCTACAGAGTTACTGAAATAATGAAYGGCTGGGGACTTTTCCCCACAGCAGTACATTTTCCCCCTGAAATACATAGAAGTTAAATGAATCTTTCAAAACCCAGCATTGTGCAACACAGCCCACATTCTACCCATGTATTCTGCTGCAGTCTGCATTTCTTGTAATATTAAATGTGTTAATTTTGAACTTTACCCTTATGTGGGAAAGTTTCAAGCTCTGCATCTACCTGTGCTGTAAGACCATTAAATGAATTAAAGGGTCTAATGCAGCGTAGCCAAATGCAGCAGCTTCATGAGATTGTGCCCTTGCATTTGAAATTATTCAAACATCTTGTAGCAAACTGAGACATCCAGATAAGCAGGGAGGAGTTCATTCTGAGAATCTGCCTGGTAAGGAATGTATATGCTTCCATGGAAATGCTGATGTTGAAAAAATTAAATGTCTTAAACTGTTGGTTTGAGCGGCTTAATGCCTAACTTGTTATACAAGAATAGGTTCTGAGCAAGATATTTACCTGGAGTTTTAATCAGCTTAGAAGGAAATGAAAATACTCTTTCAGAAATTTCCTGATGTTCTGGGCAAGCAGCTTAAAAAAACACAAACTGTTTATCCAAAGTATCACAGAATGATAGCCTAATATGTAAGTCCTAAATGACAAAATTAGAGTTGGGAAATAGTTTTAAGGTTTTTAAATCATACACATTTTGTCACAGATTCCCAAGTTTAGATGGTTAAGTAGTGGCATAACTGTTAGGAGACAGCTGAGGCTCAGGGTTCAGTTCAGACAGAACCATGGTCTCCAGCCCTCCCTGCAGGTTTGGAGTTGCCTGCACTGAGTGAGGCTGCTCAAATACCTGGTGCAGACCTTGGAAATGAAGCAAAGATGTTTGTGATTACAGATACCATTGCTTTAAAATATGTTATCTAACTCTTTATTAAATGTCATGTTTTWAAAATTAGAATAAACTGTCACTTCRGCTGGTTCTGTCGCTTCTGTGCCTCCCAGTTTTGAGTCTCAGATTTCTGTTGAAGTTTCATTACRTTATGTTCTGGCCTGCTGATGTTTTATGGCTTCTGCAGGAGAAAGTGTGTAATTATTCACAGCAAAACAAGCTTCTTCATCAGCTTGTCAGAAACACTCAGAGCTGTGGACARGGCTTCAATATACCGTTTTATATTTAATGCCATTTCTTCTGGTTTCTTTCTTTTTCCAGAGTGATCCCTGTGCAAAAAAAAAAAAACCCAACTTGCTCTCAAAATTAGTTTTTGATTTATTACTTTAAAAAGTGTTTAAAGGTACAAAATTCCAATTTAAAAGAGCAAAACAAGCCAATAACTACTATTTTAAATTGTTGTAACACAGATGGTGTTGCCTCCCCCCAATATTGTAATCATAGGGTTGCATGGATGAGGATGTGGGGAAGCTGGTATATGTTTGGCGTTTTTTTAGCTTTCTGCACAACAAACTGTTTGTTCTTTGTTGTACTGCTGTGACTCATGTTCAGCAGGATGTAAAATTTAGAAATGCACCACACCAGTTAGAATCTGTTCTTCCAGAGCTGATGAAGGCTCATTCTCCCTGGGCAATGTATGGTTGAATGTAATGAGGCTGTTGCAGGTAACTGTGAATATAGGATTCCCTTTGTATGGAAAATGCAGTATCAGTACTTACCTTTATTCCAAATATTTATTAAAAGAATATGGTCAATTGATAAATGCCAGTGGTGCCCTCTTACATGTAACAGGAAGAGAAACAGACTGGTTCTTTGAGAAAGTGAATTGCAAATATTGAGACTAAAGATTCTGTGMTATCAGCTCACCAAGGATCTCTGTTATTGATGCTGCACGTACCTCATTTTCTGCTGAGCTTTGCCTGAGCAGCTGAAATCAATAAACCCAGTCATGTTCCCYTATGTCTGCACAGGCTAAATAAGGATTTTTGTGGATTTTTTTAGCTTAGAATTGGGTCCATAACATTAGATGTAATAGTAACACTCTTCTTGTAGAAATGTTCATATGGATTTTCAATATTCCTCTGTATTTAAGTAAGTTACTTCTCCCTATATAAACAAGTGCTTTTCCGGCAAGTCCCTCTGCCTCTGCTGAAATAACAGGATTACTTTCAATTGTATTGACTGGGATCCAGGAATAATATGTTCTTGGGTTTTGTTAATCAKATACGTGGTGTATTGAGTCACAGAATTCTGCTTCTCAGAGATTGCCATGATTCTGGTTACTTTTAGGAAACACAATCTATAAAAATCTTCAGTGAGTTTGTAGGTTGTCATTGAAAGCATGTTCCTTTTAAAAATGTTAAAATCTTAGAAATTCTCCGCAGAAGAGATTTGCGAACTTTGTCACAGTAGATATTCTGAAAGCACAGCAAAATTTCCTGGCATTTCCAAATTTTTTTGTGACTTTTTTTAGTGTGGGGGTTCTTTGCATTTGTCGGCAGCTGTTGCGTGTGTTTGCACTGTTTGAGCATGCAGATACAGTGCAGTGTTGCATTTTGTGTTTGGAAGTGTGTGATTGTGAAACTCTGGAGTTCTGCTTAAAATAGATACTGAAGATAYTAAGCATCTAGTTAGGTTTGTTATAGGAAATTGTACTTCATTCATTGCTGTATACGCTTTAGGGATCAAACCAATAGGGCATGTCACAAAAATCAAACCCCAATAAAACATTAAGACCTGATAGAGCCATGTAGTTATTGCAAAAGTTTAAAGGTTCAGAATATCCATTTTTTTAGTAACTTCTTTTAAAACTTCAATAGTGCATTTTTTTTGCCATACTTCAGATCATTCTTTTGGCAGCAGTGTAATATTAATATTACATTATTTGTTTTAAAATAAACATTTAAAAATATGAAGTGTAAAGTTGGAAAGCAGCAAAGGAGACAGAGCTAAAACCTTGTATATAGCCAGTTTACTGCTTTAAAATTATTGACTCAGCTGTTTTCATTTGTGGAAGATTTAGGAATTGTTCTAAGCAGCGTAAATCAAACCATTGGCTGATGATGAATGAATGGAGCCTGGTGYCCAAAGCACATTATGTGCTTCAAATGGGGGTTGTGTTGTTGTTGTTTAGATGATTTGCCTTCTTATGCAAATCAACACAAAAGGATAATAGGGAAAAGGGCTCATGAATTTGGAAAGGATCTGTATTTCTTGTTTGTCTAGGCTGCTTCAGACTTTTTTCCACTGGTAGCTAGTAAATCTTAAATTAAGTTTGCCTTCTGTAACACTTTTTTTCTCCTTTTAGCCCCTTCATTCTCTCTGTGTCAGGCATCTCTGAGGTTGTTAGTGCAAATACATCACTTAAGTTCATTTTCACTTYCTGGGATTATTTACTGTATTTTAATTTTCAAGTCAGCACAAAGAAAGTTTTCTATATTTTTCCTGTGTGTTAGGAAGTATTTTTTTTTTGTTTTTATCTGTACTTTTTTCTTCAGTTTGTAAACAACTTTCTTGTTTTAATCATTGACTTGCAGCAGCATTCTTCTCCCTTCCTTCCCCTAATGAACTGTAACAAACCCCTCAATTTTCCACTTAATGTAGTGTTGCTTTGTACACTGCATTTCATGTCTSTGAAATGGATCTTTATTTAGAAACAAACTGGAGTTCAATTGAGGTACAATTAACTTCCCAGAAATTGCCGAGGGTAGGGATTAGTGCCTGTTGCAGTAATATMTTTGGATTTTCAGCAGCACAATTGATTGTGCTACAAACTCAATTGTGTTCTGAATCAGTGTATGACTCTGGTTGCTTGGTTGGCTCTAKGATTCAGGCAACTTCTACTCCTCAGAAGTACCATAAATAAATATGTTTTATTGAGACTTGAAACGATATACAATSATTGCTACTTACAGATGTGCATTGGTTTGCTTGGGACTTTTCACAGTGGTTTTATTGAGGTATCCATTTTCTAGTTCTAGTAATGCTAGGTCTATGCTGTGGTATTGGGTGAAATCCAGCTTCCCTGAAATCAATAGGATTTTTGGCTTTTGCCTTCTGGTAGGATCAGAATTTCACATGAGTATGTTCAYAGTACCCAAATTACATGCTTAGCAAAGAATCTGGTAGTGCTAATTTTCTGTAACTGTAGATAACAATGCAGCTAAACAACTGAAACTTGTTCATCCTTACAACTGGAATAAGTTAGTCTGTGCTCTTAAGCAGTGCCTTTTTTAATTCTTTCCAAAGTCTACCAAATGCCACAAAAATGAGTCTTAATGTTAGTTGTCAAAYTTTTCTCAGGCTGCGAGGGATTTGTTTCTTCACAGTTGTATGCTGAGGGGGATGTATGCAGCATTCAGAAATAGCTCAAAATAAAACTTGTAAGTAAGAATAACTTTAAAACTTACCAAGGAATAAAGTTTTCCAGCTGGTTTGCTTCTGTGGCAGATGGAAAATCCAGAGGCCAAGTTGTTTTTGCTTCCTATATTACCCGATGGTGTGGAGTGTTAATCTGCAGCTGGAGCTGAAAACTGCTTTTGTCTTTCTCTGTTAGATCCAAGCTGTATTGAGGAATTAGGTTTCTCCATACGATAACCAAGCTAACTAATCAGTTAAAAAAAAAAAAAGAGAAAAAGTAATGCTCCAGTATGCGTTATTCCATAAGAGAGGGAGAAATGTTTTTTGAAACTGCAGTGTTTAATTCTCACATGCAGAAGTGCTCTAACCAGCTACAGCTGACCCAGATTCCATATACATCACTTTTCGACAGTGTTTTTTTAAACAAACACACTCTCGGCTCAGCCGTTCAGCCCACCTATGATGTCACCGCGAGCACTCGGAGAGCAGAAGAAACTCCTCCTTCGGATTTCCTATCCATACCCTCCAGAAAAGGAGGGGGTAGGGAGGCTGAGAAGTTAGGAACAAGGAAAGATTGTTTGCCAGTAGAAGGGAGGTACCATATGGCAACGGACTGTGCAAGAGTTCAGCAGGCAATTACAAATCAAACATTTTTACTACGCTGCCTAAAGATGCCTTTCAAGTTATTACAGTACTGGGCTTCATTTAGAAGAAAGATTCTTTCAGGCTGATAAAACTCGATTTGTGTTGCTGGGAATAAAAGGGGCAGCCTGGCTGGATACAACAGGAAAAATGAACCATTTGTAGTCTAGAAGAATGTTCAACAGAATGTCGCATTCAATTCTTGACGTTCACTTAATAAGAAACAGTTCCCGTTGTTAAAGGCATGAACTCTCCAATACATGTGGAAAATGTTAAAACTCTGTGGGTGATGGTTTTGGGTAGGTATCAGAATGTTTGATAACATCTGACTGGTGTTAGAAGTAGCAAAAGCCACAGAGATTACTCTACAAGAAATGCAGAATCGGAGTTTGGTTCTGTCCATACTCAGCCAGCACTTGAGTGCATTCAATTTATTGCCATTGATCTTTCCATTTTCTTCACAAAGGCAGTGCCAAATACATTTGAAAGAGAATTACCCTTACATGCTTTCAAAATTATTTTGGATTTCATAGAAATGTATCCAATCAGTTTAGAGAACTGCTCTTTACAGAAGAGTTGTTGATTTAGCTAAAAGAAAAGATCGGTGCAAGTCATTCAGAGGTAATGWACAAATACAGTGGTTTATAAAATCCTGCATAATAGTGCAGGTGCCTGTTACAGGGAGTTTCCATAAATATAGTTAATAAGTATGATTTACTTCTTTCTGTGGAAGACTGAGCAGGTTTGGGATTTTTAAGGCTTGTTTGGACATGGGTTAGTAAATTCAGGTTCAGGACAGCTTATGCACTCTAGGTAGCCTGGCAATTAAATGTGRGTACCTGATGTTTCTGATTATCCTTTCTGGTTTTTAACAAACTGTTTCTAGCAGAACAGAAAATTGAGAGATTTAGTAGTATATCAGGTCATGTGTAATACCTTTTTATTCACTTTTTTATATGTCACCTTTCAACCACAAGTATTTTAATTTGTTTCTGTGTGTGCGCACACACGTGCGTGTATGTGTGTTGATTTTGGAGGGGTGCCCAGAGTTTGCCAGCTCACATTTGAGGACTGTACTGGTTAGGTGCTGTACAAACACAACTGTTGTTCTTGTGAGGTTGGATTAATAGTCTTCCACCTGTAAAGCCAAAATCCTTGTTAGGATCTTGGTTATACAAGGCTGAGAGGTAAAGTAAAATATAATTTAAGAATTTGCTTGKTACTGAAATAAGTTTCTTAAATATTATTAAAGTTTGTGTAGTTTTTTTTTATTGGGGTATCTGTGAAAGATGCAAGGGATGCCGACCAGTTCCTTTGAACAGCAGAGTTGTCAGGATATGCTTCATTCAGTTGAGATAAATGGGTGAAGTACAAGAAATGGAGTTGTGTTTAGAAATAAAAGAAACATTTTATCTAGAGCATCAGTGTGTAAAGAGGAGGATTTTCCTCTCTACATGATCAGGGGATTGAAGGAGTAGGAAGGTTGCAAGCAGTGCAGGGGAAGAAGACAGCATGTAKGGAATTTGAAGTGATTTATCAAGAGGGGCATTGAATCTTTGGAGCTGTGATTATTACAAACTGCAGGATTCAACTTCATTGATKTCAGTCTGGGTGCCTATTTTCTCTAGTTAAACTTTCTCAGGTTGCTGCAAGTTTAGTTTGAGTTTTTATTCAGYTTAAAGAGTTATGGGTATGATTTTTCTTCCATTATTTTTTAATTGCTGAATTGGAGGAATGAAGTAGTAAACTTCCTAAACAATTAATGTTGGTAGTGTATTTTAGCATTGTGTGTTTAGGATGCTTCATATTTATCAAGGGAATAGTAGATGGGTGCTGTGCATAAAATGAGGTTTATAAGTAGYTGTGCATCTCCTTGTAATTATTTTTAGATTTCTAAAGTTATTTCCTAGGTAAATCCAAAATTCTATTCTGAGACAATGCTTTTGTCAACCTACTTTAATGTTAGTGAAAGCAAAAATTCTTCACAATATTCTTGATGAAGTCTTTTTCTTGCTAAATGAAAGACACTAAACAAAGAAACTTTTCCTTGTAATCTCATTTCAGGTATTTATCTGTCAGACTTGACATATATTGACTCTGCCTACCCCTCAACAGCGAGCATTCTGGAGAGTGAGCAAAGAACAAATTTAATGAACAACATTCTYCGAATTATCTCAGATTTGCAGCAGTCGTGTGAATATGGTAAGCTAGTGTTTAATTATCACAGTGTTAGAGAGAAGAACTTTAAAAGCTTTAATACTTGTCTCCTGTAATGAGATTTAAGTGATGACCCATGTGAATGCCACTAACATACTCCCTCATCCTCTTGGCCCAAAAGTCTATGTTTATTCTAGTATTGTTGGTTATGACAGAGCATCAGGCTGAGGAGACATAATAAAACTGCCTTTTTCTTACATCAAACAAACTACAGTGTATATTTTCTGGTAATAAATATGTAGTAGTATGTCGTACTTAACAGTAGTTTTATTGCTTTTTATAAGCTTGTATCTCTCTGTTTCATAATTTTATGACTGAATTCTAAAAACAGGATTKCTTTTGGAGTAGTACTTTTACTGGAAATAATAAATTACATTCATCTTGTCTTTTGGACATTTAGAAGTTCTGCCCATGGATCAGATAATGTATTTGTTCTTCAAAGGTGGTTTCCCTCACAATCCTCTCCCCATTCTAGTAAAGTTGTAAGGCTGTTTGTGATGATGGAATGTGAATTCCATAGGAATGTGAACCATAGGATTGTGGCTTCCCTGAAAGCTCTATATCAAGAGAATGTTGGCTGTGAAGGAACCCTCAGAGAGCCCTCCGTGTTCCAGTTCTAGGCATTCTGTTTGGCCAAGGATGTTGTCTTGATCTGTTGATGTGCTCTGGTAGTTCCAGGGTTTGTGTGTGTGAGGAATGTCAGCTCAGTGCATGAAAAATTGCTATGAAGTTCTGAAATTTCAGAATCATTAGGGCCTGTAGTTTGTACCTCCATCTCACATAAAAAGGCAAGAGGCCACAATCTGTTCAAGWAGTTTCTGGAAAATATCCTTGCTTATCAATGAGTGGTGCAGTGATAATGAATGTTGTCTATTTTCTAGATATTCCTATGTTGCCTCATGTCCAAAAATAYCTAAACTCAGTTCAGTACATAGAAGAACTACAAAAGTTTGTAGAAGATGACAATTACAAGTAAGTACGAAATGCTATAAACTGACCATAACTGATCACAAAATAACTTCTGTAACACAAAGCCTGTCGCTTGTGAGATTGTATTTGTATTGGGGAATTGTATTTAATATTTTGTGGGTGCCATGGCAGGGGCTTGGAACTTGTTGAGATTTAGGGTTCCTTCTGACCCACACCATGCTGTGATTCTGTGATCATGCACCTCAGATGCACCAGTTGCAAGTAGCTGTAGTTTCAGCAGGATCCTGTGTTCCAAGTCATTTCCCACATGCTGGATGGCAAATCCATCTCCTCCCTTTTCTGTGCCAGACTGCACCAAGCCTTTGCTTCAGGTCAGCTTGGTCTGCTGAGAAAGGCTTTCTACAACTGCCAGTCAGTAAAAGGAATCCTGTGATTGGAGATGGCATAAGTGATTCTTCACCAGAGCAAATCCATCAGTGCATTCGGTCTCAAGTTCTTACTGAGAGTGACTTAAGGCTTTCACTTTCAGATAAACTAAATTTTATACTTTTCCCTTTGATTGGGTTATAAAGTGTGAGTTAAATRTAAGCACTTGATTTTTCAGAGGCAAGTTCCTGTCCCTCTCTGTCTSTGCCTGTTCCTCCCACCTGAGGGTTCTACATCCTTTATTAAAAGATTATTACTGTMTTAAGTGATTTGGCATCTAGCAAAACTGGGGAGGGAAATCTCTGGCAGGAGGCAGGAACTGAGGATAGGAAACACCCTAAGATAAATCTGTTGCCTATGAAGGAAGTTTTTGTTCATTGGCTGATGTGCTCGAGGAGGTTCCCCACCCGTTCCCATCCTGCCCGCCCGGGAAGTTTGTCACCTCAGAGGGGTTGAATTGCTTGCTTGTGCAGCTCCCTTGGAATGGCAGGAGGGGGATGCACACTTCAGGAACAGCTTTGCTTTTCCATTTAATAGCCCTTACTTGGATTTACTAAGAGGCAGCAAATGGGACCCCTTCAGTTTATGTCAGAGAACAGTTAATRAGGACTCAGAGCCTTGGCTTCTCTGCTGAGGTCTGTAAGTTGTTCTCTGMATGTCTGTGTGGACATATCCAGCTTTATCTTTTTCCTGGGATGTTCTACAGCCTGATTWGGGAAGTGTCACTTGTCTGTCACTGAAAGTGAAAGCTCTGTGGTCAAACATTTGAAGRAAGGAAAAAAAAAAGCCAACCCAAAGGCAAGTTTCTTACCTGCAGTGTTTCCTTAGGAACATTGTATCCATGAATTCCACTTCATCTTCCTCCACCTTCMCTGGGTAGGACTCACTACCATTGGGAATTTTATTGATGTAGGAGCTGCAGTCTCTCCCTCCTGTGCAATCCTCATTTTGATAGCAGGAAATGACTGGAGACGATGGCACATAAATCAGAAGCATGGCTGCTATTCACAATACCTGGTTTTGGACCAATGGGTTTTATACATCTCCAAACTGAATGTTTTTATGGTCAAGAAGTGTATTTCAAGAACTCTTTTTACTTTAAGTGGCTCTTGTACTTTTCATCCCMAAAGGAGTTTGTCAGCAAAAACGTWGAATTTAAGGAGCAGTGACTGACTCGAATACATGTTTTTTCCTTCCTAAAAGATTTTATTTGAAAAAAAAGGAAATAAATTCTGATGAATTGTTGCTAAACTGTCTGGGAATGGGAGGGAGAGGAGCTTGCAAACTTTAAACTTTCTTCCCCCAAAATGAAGTAGATGGTTTTTCAACCCTGGTAGTTTCAAAGATTTTAGTTCTACGAATTGTGTGGACAAAGTAACACTTTGCTTTCCTATACAGGAGTTATATGCTCCTGTAGTCTTCCTTCTTTGTGGGAYTGTTTTGCTGGAAATGGCATTAAAAAGTTCCAGAAAAAAACTTGAATCATAGCTGAAATCAACTTGATAATGTATTTTCCAAAACACAGAAGGATTTTGGCTTTTGGACCAGTAAAGACAAAAGGCTTGGCTTGCAYACTAGTGCAGTTTATATAAAAATTTAAAATATGAAGTGTTCCAAGAGTAGGTATTTTAGCCAAGGTGGGGGGAGAAGTTGTATGGGTTTTTTAATTTTTACTTTTCCCAGGTTTTAACTGGAGTAGCAGTTTCATGTTTCTGCCAGCCATCCCAGGACGCTGGAGGTCCTGGTGGTCTGTATGATGCAAATCATTAGGCAGGAAAAATCAAGTTTGGGAATAGTGTGTGCTAAAGATAACTCTGCACTGTTTGTATTACTTCATAGTATTTCTTGCAATCATAGCATCAGGCAGCTTGGAATCGTAAATTAAAAAAATGCTTCTTCACAAACTCACATTTTTATTTCCTGATAAAGTAATTTTTAATGTTTCTTTAATGCAGACTTTCATTAAAGATAGAACCAGGGACCAGCACCCCCCACTCTGCAGCTTCCAGAGAAGATTTAGTAGGTAAATGCTTAATAAATGTGAGAAGACTTGAGGTTGTCATGTGCATTATTTTAGAATTGCAAACGTGGAAAATATTTGCCTGAGGCTGTAAAGAAGTGTGAAGTTTAAACACTGCATGTTTGTAATAAAAAGTCTAAAGGTGATCTGTAAAGAAGGAATTGAGTYATTTTTTTAGGTTCTTGTATGTATTGTGGCACTAAGTTGTTAATGTCATTTGGGGTGAAGAGCTATTACATATTCATTYTTTGTTGTGTCTAGACAGAAGGGCCTTCATCTTAAACTTTTTGTGGCATAATAACGCTTCCAAAAATGAACATTCTTCTTGGTSAATGCCAAAAGTGGTTGAAGGCAGGATTTGAAAATGTAGAATCGGTGGGACGTGTCCAGTGCCAGTGTAGTGAATGCAGCCACCTTTAGGACTTGCAAAATACTTGTAACTGGATGGTCTGTTTGAGCTGTGTTTGCTTTTAGTCCTGTGCAAAAACTCTGAAGTGCAGGGGGTTTAATTATCAATAGATCAGTGAGTTTATTTGCAGCTGTCTCTTATAAAGGGAGTTTAGGAAGTTTTGTGCAACTTGTCCATAATTTTCTGAGAAGTAACCCTGACAGTAATTCTGAAGTGACTTGGGAGTAATGTCTTTTTTTCTTCCCAGGCCCTGAAGTTGGAGCATCTCCACAAAGTGGACGGAAAAATGCTGCAGCTGAAGGAGCCTTGCTACCACCAACACCCCCTTCACCTCGGAACCTGATACCCCACGGGCACAGGAAATGTCACAGTCTGGGATACAAGTGAGCATTTTGCTTAACCTAAAAATACTAAGCTTTTATGATGGATCATCTTTCAATACAAAAGCTTTGCTTGTGAAAGCAGCATGAGTTTTACACAATACTTCACTGACAGAGCAATTTGTGGCCAGGGAGCAAGCTCAGAACTATAATGGTGGTATTATGTTGTAGACAATTAATCAAAATAAGAAGGCTGAAGTTATGGTGATAAGACTAGTCAAGGAGTTAACCAGAATGGCTCTTTCTGAATGACAAAACTGTCACTTTTTAGTAACTCAATGCCAGTGTAATTATTTTAAATTCAAAATTATGTAACTGCTTTATTGGTATTTTTCAGGGAGACTTAGACTTTCATGTAAATCTGTTTAGTAATGGCTTCAGGTTTTTTTTTTCACATAAGAGTACTTCTAATTAATATCTTGATCATTATCTCATCACTTCCCTTGTCATCTTTTCAAAATGTAAGATTGTAGCTACCCTGTAATTAACAACTTCTTTTGTATAAATATACCTTTAATGAGCTAGAATGCAATTCTGCAGTTCAGTTATGTATTATAGAAGACAAAAATAGCTCAAGATATTGAAAGTTATGGTTCATGTACTCCTGACTTTGTTACATGAGTACTGTGCAGTTTTAAAACTGGCAGTTCYCACAGATAATTTATTTGTGCACAGTTGTATATGGCTTGGCTGTGATTTAGTTTGGCTTTAGGAGTGTGGTGCATGCAATCCTTCAGGATGTTAAAGCAACTCCTGAAACTGTGGAAGGCAAGGTTGTGACAGTTGTGTCCTTGTTCATTTCTAGTTTCATCCACAAAATGAACACAGCAGAATTTAAAAGCGCCACATTCCCCAACGCAGGACCACGGCACCTCCTGGATGACAGTGTCATGGAGCCCCATGTCCCATCCCGAGGGCAGGCCGAGAGCTCCACCCTTTCCAGTGGGATTTCAATAGGTAGGAACTGCAAACACACTCRTGGAGCACAGAGGCTTTTAATAAAGATTTTAGCACCTTTGGGTGGTGATTGTACCTGTGGCAGTGCTGTTCTAAAATTCTATTTTAAAACAAATTTGAGACGTGTAGGGGAAGGAGGGTGACTTCATTTATACAGCATGAACTGAGAAATTATCAAAAACAGAAGGGGTTTTTTTTTTCTATCCCCATTAGTGAGACAACTTCTGATACTCCTCTTCCTTGATGGAGCTGGAAGGAAGTGCRGGGCATGATTTTATTTTTTTTTATCCCCAACTTAATTCAAGTTTAAAAAGTTTTCCAGTAGGATTTCTGTTTAAAATGCAGTATTTACTTGATAGTGTAAATTGCTGACAGTTTTAAGAGCATGGTTTCTAAATACTTCTGACTTTGATAGCAGATACAAATCTAACTTTCAGATACCTCAAAATGTTGGAATCTACTTAGCTTAGAGAAATTATTTATCTTCATATATTTAGGGTGGTATTCTTTTTTGGAGAGCTTCTGTTTCCTGAGTTTCTTCTGTGACAAGAGTTGCTCTTTTCTCCTGTTACACACAGATTCCTTATGTGGAGGGAGGACAGGATGCCTCTCAAATCCACCTGTTTGCAGCCAGGGCTGACAAATGGAACCTCTCATTGCAGTCCTTCTTCTCAGAATTATTTGTTTGAYAGAATTCAATGGTGTTCAATTTTTATGTGTTTATGGTAATAACAGATCCTTGTAGTGCTTCACGTTTCTTTGTATAACTGAATTTTAAATGCAGTGTTGCTTTTTAGCCTTCATGGAGGGTAACAGTGTCACAGATTGCCAGGTTATGCTGTTTCCAGGAGCTGTACACTTATTATCTTGAGAAGGCCATATGGAATGGCCAATTAGACCAAAATAGTTGGTCTAAGTGAATCTACTCACATCAGATAGGTTGCATTCTTTAAGGTGCATTGCCTATCTCTGTTCCCTGCCAAAGTTTTGCCTGTGGCAAAGTTTTCCATTTCAGTGTCATCCATCAGGAATAATGCTTCTCCTCAGCATCCAGGCAGCTTTCATTCCCAGGGCTTGYACAGTGCAGGAGAACCAAGCTTTTGGCACCATTGCTGAGATGTAGCATTGCCCTTTTCTCAGAGCAGTGTTTTACAGATGTTTGCAGTTTAAATACCTAAGAAATTCTCTGCAGTTGATAATTTTTGTCCAGGGTAAATTATGTCTATATCTCCATTATAGCCTAGCAGGGAAGGTTTGCCAGAGCTGACAGGCAGTTTTTCATGAGGTACATGTCATGAGAACCAGTCACCATTTAGATATTTTGGAGAATACAGCATTTTCCTATTTTGTGTCTTCTGAATTTTTCAATTTTGTTCTCTAGCTCAAGCATGACCTRACTGATTGGATGTAGTCACCCTTACAAGTTGGAACAAAATTGCCACTTTARAAGACTTGTATAAATKACTTGTAAAACAGCAAYCTTAGGCATTTTGTGCAATATTGGYATTTGTGGCTAGAAATTCCCCTCTCCCATTCTCTTTCACCTCCAACCCCCCACACTCAGACACTTCAGTTTTATCACTGTTTTGACAGTCCAGCACCGTTGTTRTTTTTGCTGCTTCTTGATGCTGAARATTTCARTGACATAGAAGGTTGGTAGAGGTGCTAGAAATACGTATGGAAGAAGAGGGTAAGTTCTGGAGGTTTGCAGTATCTATTACTGCAGAATTCTTGGAAATGTAAGTTGTCTGGCATTCTGTGCTGCTGCCTCAGCAGGATTTGAGGAAGTTGATTGAAGCTGCTGCGTTCCTCCATCATGTTTGAAGTAGTCTGTTTACTCAGGACTTGGAATTAGTACAGTCAGTGCAGCAGAGAGGAGGTTTATGGTATTCTACAGTACAGCTTCAAAAGACTGTCAGGAAAATGTCTCCTGAATGTGTGTACTGAAAGGAGTGTTATTCCTCACCTTGCCCATAAACGTGGATTTAAACCTGTTGCTCTAGAAACAGGACTACCTTTTTTRCATATAAGCCTATATAGGACTTAACTTTTTGGATAAATGATCCTTCTTCAAAACATGGACAGAATTTCTGCTATGTCAGCACCTTGAATGAGACTTTAAAGACAGCTCTAATACTACTTTAAATCACTGCTGTGTTTTGAGGGCTCAGAGGTGTTTAGACTTTCCAGTCCTTTCATATTGGAGGATCTGATAGGCTCTGCTTCTGTAAAATATCAAAACACCACACATGTAACAACACTGTCCATAGGAATCCATCAGCAAGTCTCTAACCTAAAACACACATTGAAGTGATGATGGACAGTTTGGTTATGTCGTGCTGGGCAAGGCTGTCAGTCTGTTCTGGAAATGGTGCAGAGCATGCCAGAATTTTTACATTCATGTGATTGCCCTTTCATAGGAAGAATATACTAACTGGGTGTTTTTCATTGCAATGAGTGATTCCTAAAGCAGCAGCAATGCAGAAAATGAAACAGGTATGGGGTTTGCTCAAAATAGGCTGATCTGTGACATGACAGTCAAGGTCAGAGACCTTTATCTGATTATTTTCTGAATTTTAGGGATTGGAGGCTGATTGTGTATGTTGAGCTCATTCTGTAAACAAAAACAAAACTCAAAACTATTAAAGATACAGCCCCCTTTATATTAATTTCTTAGCTTGGGTCAAAACAATTCTTGTTCCTAGAGCKGTGGGACTGTGTTCCATGGCTGATGGTCGTGTGTTATGCTGGAATCAGGGGGCTGTACATCTGGTTCTGTTGCCCATCCTGCTGTATTATGAATAGGTTCTTGTTATCTGGACAAAATATTTTTAAAAGTGAGAAATCTTTTYTCACCTGTGGCAGGGCTGTCCTAATTAGAAGGAAGAAGCATTTGTCCCATATACAGTCCCATATATACTGTGTCAGATGGGAAATACTCTCTTGAATTCAGGAATGTAACAAAAAAATAGTCTCGTGTAAGTTTTAGACATTCATCATGTAGATGGCTGCATTTGAGCTGTACAATTGGAGCTTTTTATGATCACATAGAGAATTAAAACCTTCAAGGATATGATTCATCTCATTCTTAGGTGCGTTAGAGGTTATATGATTCAAGTCTTTAAAACCCCACTTTAATTCTGTCTATTCCAAGGACTTTTGAGAGGCAACACATGAAAACACAGAYAGATGAATAGTGCTGAAAATGTCACTGACATTTTGTTTGTGAAGACAATCCAGAATATATCTGCTTTTAGTAAATTGGGCCAGATGCTTTTACTTTGCCATGGAAGTTCATTGAGACCCCCCCCCTGCTATCAGCAAGGCCTAAAGCTACAAGRTGGTTTTGTTCTGCGAGGGCTGTGTTTGGATGAGGTCACTGTTTTGATGAGGTCACTGTGTACACTCTGCCCTCCTGAGGTGTGAGCATTGCTCTTGGCTGGCTTCAAGGAACCACCTGCACACTCRTACCACCTGTTCTCCTGCCTGTGTTTGCCTCCTGTCACCTCCTCACTAAAAWGTACCATAAATTAAGATGCTTTTACTAGATCCTGGTTCCACTCAGAAATAGCATGAAACTTTAATTCATAAGATACTTTCTAAAGAATACATGGTTCTCTGTTACTTCCCAATTTTCTTAAACYTTTAAGGTATTTATTGCTTAAGTGTGCTCTTAAGTATCTTTGACACAACATTCAGCTTGTTTCATTAGTGTTCTCAGAAGCTTTGGATTTCCACCCTTTCTTACAATTTGGCTTTGCTACGTTACTGAACTTCTTAAGCTGAGTTTGTTTACAATGGCAAATTGTTCAAATCATTCTGTAGAAGTAAAGGGGCAGTGTAATTTAGGCCCCTCTTTTCATACATTGCTTCTGTGTGCCTTTTCTTGTCCTAGAGCACCTAACCAACAGATTGCAAAGCCATTTTGTTAASGAAGTTATGCTTTGAGAGTGCTGTCTCATGTATACCACTTAAAAACAGATGTCAAGGTATGAACACAGAAACACTGCTGAAAGTGAGATTGTAACTTGAGGTGTTTAAAAATTCAAAGGAAACAATTATGGATTGTGTTTGTAGCAGTGCTGGATGCAAATTCTTTCTCAGGCTATTTTTTTTCCATYTATTTTTCCTAATCTACAGTGACATGGATGAAAGCTGGAAAAACTAGAATTCTGGAACATTTGCCTTTGTTTGTGTGTTGCCATCACTGGAGAGTAACTTTAGSCTTTGTTCTAATACAAGCAAAGGAATTAATGCTGCAGAGTCAAAGAAAGTTATTTTWAATCAGTGTGAATTAATGTAAGAGAGTGCCTTTGTAAGAGCAGTACATTTCCAAACCTAAACTGGCATGAAATGCATACGAGAATATCAGCATTTTAATGAATTCCTCTATTAAGTCACCACCTCGAAGTTATTGAATTCTACAAGGGATTATATTTCTCTTTAAATAAATGAAGTATAGGTGTAGGTATACAGTGTRTGCATTTACTTTTGGGGTCTTGAGAGCCTATAAAGTAGGGAAGACCTTTACACAGCCGCTGTTTATTTGGTTCTTTAACCTGTACTGTGCTGTTCAGGTGTGTAGGACTCTGAGTCATCAGATCAAATTTCAGGTAGGGTTTCAGGCACAGGAAATATGTTGGGTTTATTTATATATTTCCTTTATATGAGTATATAGATGGCTGTCTCTTGCCTTAAATGTGGATACCCTGTTTTGCTATTGTGAACTGCTACTTCTTTAGTGATAGGATAAATTTTAAAACTGTGTGATATTAGAGGTTAAAAATGCACATGTAGGTGCCTGGTCTTGARTGGAAGAGAAGATATATTCTAGCATTCCAGTTCTTCCCCAATCCTTTTTGGTACTGTTTGGTCCAAAGCTCATGCTCTGCATGTGTTGTAATCAGTGTAGTTGTACAATGTACAAACCCCCTGGTTCTGCTCCATCTTTATTTGTTTTTGCTAATTTTTCACGATGAAACTCAGTGATTAAAAGTTTGTATCAATTCTCTGGCATGATATTGCTTGAGTCCTCTGCCAGAGTTCCTACCATCTGTGTTTGGTTACCTGGGGAGCCAGAGCTGAGCTGCCTAAATGGTCATGAACTATACATGAGGATTTTCAGAATGGTTGTGCACTCACCAAAGCAGAACAAAACTTTCAGGGCACGGAACCCGTCTCTGTGGTGTTATCTGGGCTGTGTTGTGCTGCAGCCAGTGATGTTCAGACCTCTTGACCAATTTTGTGTGTTTTCATGGTAGAATTTCAAGCTCTGTCGGGTCCATCACCAGCTCTGGAAACACGGTGTAACTGGAGCCAAGAGAGTGCCGATGACAGATTTGGGAAGGGGAAAGAATTTCTAGTCTGAAGACTTTTTAAACTCTTTGGGGTTGGTTTGTTTATATTAACACCTGTTAACTTTGGGGACTGACTTCTGGATAAAGGAAGCCTGTGTTAAGTGTTCAGTATCCCCAGACTTGGGGCAGTGAGTGGGTGCTGTGACCGGGGGAATGGGTATGGGATAGTGCAGGCATTCCCTGTCCCATAACTGGGAACTTCATGCTGTTTGTGTGGTGGGAGCACAGACAGCTCACAGACATCTGCATGTACACATATGCAGATGTGAGCAGAGAATTCACATCTGAATGGAGCTGCAGTGCTGGGCTCTGGAGRTGATCCTGAGCCTTCTCAGAAAATCACCAGCACAGTTAGCAAAAAAAGAGATTTTGCCAATTGCTGTTATCCCTAAGATAGGAAAAAGACTTAATATTAAGGAGAGAGGGTAAACACAACTCAAAGATTTTGGTTTTTTTCAGTCCTGCACAAAAAATTTATTATCAATGAAGAAAACTAGAAAGATAATGTCTTTAAGTGACTCCTTTGATAAAGCCAAGATTTGTTTAGAACATTAACTAACAGAACAGGCTTAACACTACCTAGGATTTGTTATTAAGTTTAACCTGAAGACTTGCTTGAGGTTGTTGGAAAAACTCAAATAYTGAGTACATACTTGAGAAGAATTTAAGAAGGTGATATATTTTTAGAGTATTGAATGAATGAAATATTTCCAGTTGAGGTGACACTCAAATAGTGCACTTTATGTTTARACAGAACTTGGCTAGACATCTAACTTTTATTAAGTTAAAAACAGTCCCTTWTACCTCTGTTTTGTTTTGGAAGGAGGGATGTAAGGTATTTTCTTTTGCTTTTCAGGAAAGGGGTGTTTTTACTATCAGAACTTGTGTCGTGCAAAGTATGTCCTAGAGGTTTTTAGAATCTAAAAAATCCCGTTGGAGATGTTTTTATATGGATGTTAGAGGGCTAGTCAAATGCTGAAATTCGAGCTTTTTCAGGTTTTTTTTTACAATTTTTACAACCTCTGTAGGCCTTAATGTGAATGTTAAATCAATAGCTGTGATGTTTTGCCCAATTTTTTTACAAATAGATGTTCCTTTTAAGTGTAATTGGCGATTTCTATATGAATTCAACTTTTTAAGTGAAACTTTTTGTTTACAACACCCCCAAATTCATGTAGGATTTCTTACTGTACTGATACTGTTCTAAGKAATTGTCACTTTGTGACAGATGACATTTCAGATCTTGCTCTAAATTGTTTTGCATTTTTACAAAGCAACACTAGCTTTTAAATCTTCCTGTAGTGTACTTAGTGCCGCAATTGAATTATAACTTTATTAACAAAGCTGATACAGTTGCCATCAAAATGTCATTTCAGGTAGAATTTAATGTATCAGACTACTTTAAATATAAAGAATTACTTCATAATACTGTCTCATTAGGGAGTTTTAATTGTGTGGATTTATCACATGAGCCTCAATTRAGTAGAGCTCTAGTCATATTAAATTTGCACTTCTTGTTAATATGAAGCTAAATCTAAGCAGTAATAAGAAAATAAATAAGATTCTAAGTGTCCCTAGTACCTCCGGTGCTGGCTGAATGACTTGGCAGGAATTGCTGCACCATTTTGCAGGACAGATTGCTCCAAGTAGCCACAAAAAAAAAAAGCTTCAATTACATGCAAGAAGAACTTTTTTTCATGTTGGAGTTGGAAGTGTATCATCCTAATTGTCATTCTGCCTGCTAAAAGGATTTCAGCACCTTCATGTATTACTGTAAGAGATTCTACCACAAACAGCCTCTTTCAAAGGCAGTCAGTTGGGAGGTCTTAACTTTAAACAGGCATTTAGGGTATCTCTGAATTGTTACATCTGTCTCTTCATCCCCATGTTACTTATTTATTTGAAGAGACTTCATATATTGCATTACAGAGAATGCAGCTGTGGTTTTGTTGGGATGAAATAAATCACTGAGCTTTTCACTGTGATGTGGATCATAGAATTTGCTGAAAGTAYTGAGTGACAGTTGTTTGCTCCAGGAAATGATAAGCTTTGTTCTGGGGCTTTGGAAAGACTTCTGCCATAACAGCAGGCTCCACCTGAATAAGTTACTCCAACTGGTTACTCCTGTTTTTCCTGGGRCAGTTCATGATTTATCTGGTAGTGTTTCTATATAGAAATGCCTGGACTTATGTGGAGTTCAATCCATACATTCTCTTTTGCACATTGCAGGTCAGGTGTAACCTGTGCTGAGCAAAACTTCTGATTCTTTTGATAGTCACTTCTTTGCTCACCTACCCTGTGGCACTGAATGTTTGCTGATTCAGTCTGAGAGAGTCACCTGAAGTAAGARCACTTACTCAGCTGTGGTAGTCTCTTTGGTCACTTGTCCTCACTGCTATAGAAGAAATGTGAGTCACAGAGGAGGAGTAACTGTGCTACTCTTTTATGGACAGAGTTMCCTGCTGCTGTAACCCTTCCAGCAGCTGGATGCTTAAGGATCAATGATCTGCAAATGGAAGTAGTAAAACCTTAAAGACATTTCTAGAAATTAATCCCTCCCTGCTTGCAGCCCGTTATGCCTCCACCGGAACATCACTTCTGTGTCTCTTAGTTTGCTCCACTATACAAATGGCTCTTACTGTAGTGTTGGTGTGAAGTAGTTAGGACTTTCCTTTGGGAAAAAAAAATCAGAATACACTGAGACCAAGTTATCTGGTATCCCATGGAGATCATGTTAATATGTGGGTGTTGAGCTAATGTTTGCAGAAGAGGCATCTCAGTTGAATTGGCTGGCAGATAAAGGCATGTATTTTCTCTTAAATTTTGCRCAGAGGGAACTTCAGCCCATGCTGAGATTTTCATGGCTCTTGGTTGGAATTAACCCTGCTGTGTGTAAATCTTTATTGCCTCCATCTTTACTCTGTGTTTACTCAGTGAATATCCAGGCTTACTTTGTACACATTCTCTTTATTTTTCAGGGCTTTTCCCTGCTGATTTTCTGTGTAAAATTGCAGGGARCTGGTTCCCATTTTCAGCCGCTGTTTCTCTGAGGAAACTCTTAAGGAGCATTGATTCAGATTTCATGTTTGTTTACTTTCTGGTTTATCTCAAAAGAATGGTGAATAAATTCTTCCCTTTATATATGGATGTTCAGGCAGCAGAGCAAACAAGATGGCAAGTTAGTGTGCCAAAAGGTGGGCTTCATGCATTGGCTGACATTGAATTGCACTGAATTATAGGATTATCTGGAGCCAAAAGGGTTGGTTTGATGTGGAGAACAAGGACAGTAGTTGGTGTGGGCAGCTGGTCTGGTCTGAAAGGTGAAGAAAAGCAAGGCAACAGCTTGAACATTGTGTATAGAAGCTACTGAATTCTGTTAACCGCATTTTTATACCAACTTTTAACAACATTACAGGTAACACCCATCTTGTGCCTGTATTTAAATACTTRTTTTCAGGCTGATGGGATTTACTGGAATTGTAAAGTTACTGTCTTATTTATAGGACTACCATGAGTSGATGCATCAGACATTTACGTTTTGGGATTTTGCTCTATTTTCAGTGTTTAAAATAAAATAATTGTGGTAACATTGGATATGTTTACAAAAYACAGAAGGAAATAATGCTTTTGTGTGATCTGCTAGAGTAAGTGGGAGATAGCTTTAAAAAGTTGATGGCTTTTCAACTCATGTATTGGAGATTCAGCAATGAATTTGCACCTCTGTGCCATGTGTATGACTTGATAAGGAATTATTTAAATAATGACCTGTCCTTTTTAAATGCTGGCAAATCTGTGTTTAGGGTGTTCTTTATATTTTGAAAATACCGTTCTTATTTAATAGTGCTCCTTTTCTTCAACTTCTTAATGTGGACCTAGACCCTGTTCTTTCAACCTCCATCTCAGTTTATGTGAAATTCATGAAGGAAGTCACAGATTGTTATCCTTGTGGTATTTTACTGAAGTAGTTCTGCACATTTCATCTTAAATATTCTGATATTCAGAATCTCAAATATTCTGGTTCTTTCAGGTACAGKTGAAAAAGATGGCTTGTAGATGATGAAATAAAGTATCATTCATTCTTATTTTGCTCTAGGTAGCAGTGATGGTTCTGAACTCAGTGAAGAGACCTCRTGGCCAGCATTTGAAAGGTAAGAAAAGCCTGTGTTTCTCTGTTCATGTTGCTRTTTACAATCTTTCACTCTGTCCTGAAAATGGAGTTTTATTTTAGTGACCTAGAGATCATCTCTATGTAAGAACACTAAAAAAACTGCTGTGAGTTCGCTGGATCTGTTAAAGCATCAGAGAAGCACCTTCTGCTTGCTAATAGTTAATAGGGCTTTTATCTAATTGGGTGCTTACTCAGTGCACACATTCTTTAGGGAGCTCAGCCAGAGAACCATTATATAAATAAACCCAAAGGTTTTATATATGTGGATATCATGTGTGCTCTTTGTGACCTGGTTTTCATATTCACTTTCCCTGGGACACATCATCTATTTGTAGTCCCTTTGCTCCATTGTTGTTGTCACCTCTTTTGTCTCTCTCATCCTCTTTTCCCTTCATTGTTGCCTGCCCCTGTGTTACATGGGAGAAAATACCACCACCCCTTGCTAATGTCTGACTTTGTGGTCCAGAGTTAACAAGCTCTTCTTTATCCAGCACCTGCAAGTGGCCAGGTGGCATTGACCACTTCAGCCCTTTCTCATGTTGTATTTGAGAATGTGGAAGAAGAAAATAGCTGTGGTTTAACACAGAAAAAGGTGGACTMTCCACCTTTCCACAGCTGAGTAAGATGCACAGTAGAGTGCATCGCTTGCTTCTATAACACAATTTCAGGTAATCCATCAGCTTCAGAGTTGCCATGGGTGACTTTTTCTACCATGCTTTTACATTTTGTGGTAGGAATTTCATCTTTATAGTTGGGAACAGTTACCACAAACTTATATTCCCCTTGAAGTCACTGAAGCAGTTAAAGTTCYGGGTTAATTCTGGAAGATGTTTTTGAAAATATCCCTGTGCCAAAGGTAAGCTCTTGGATCCTTCATGCCTTAAATATGAATACATACATGAGGAAAGGCCCTTTTCAGTAGATCATATTCCATACAAGCAGAGAAGGCAAATGGGGTCAGAAAGGAAACCTATTAACTTGCAGGCTGCCTTGCAGAGCACACTCAGCATTCAAAAGGTTTTCTTTCTTTTCCTTCCCTGCTGTCTTACAGAATTGCATATTGGTATCAAGTTGCTTCTCAAAGATAAAGAAATCTTAAGTTAGACAAAATGGTGAGCTGAGTGCTTTTATTCAGAGTAGCATAAGTAATTTAAAAATTTTAGTAAGCCTCAGGTCTGAACTCAGGTAACGCTCTTCAGAATTGTTGTGTGGACTTCTGAGACAAAGCTGAGGTTTTTCATCCCTGTGCTAATGTGAGCTGGCAGCCCCAGACTCTCTCARTTAAAAGGTTTGCTCCATGTCAAACAGAAGATTCCTCCTCCAAATTCCACTTGCCTTCTGTACTTTCTTKCTCCTGAGAGAGCTCTTTTGAGAACCCTTTTGGCTGTTTCATGTGTTTCAGGGTGAGTTCTCTTGCCTGCTTCCAGGGAGAGGGATAGGGTTCCTTCCAGACATTTCTGTGTTGGAAATTCCTAGAGACATGCAGCAACCTTGAGTCTGTTCCTTGGTTCATAAGATGATGAGGCATATTTTGAAATTTAACAGGTAATACACTGACAAGCAAGTGTCAGAATTGAGGATAACTAGAGAGGGTGTCTTTAGTTTTGGTCTGTACAGTGGATTACAGTGGTTTCCATTCTTTATAAAGATCTTTAAGTAAGGGAGAGGCATTGGTTGCCTGGAACTATCAGCTCTGCAAAATGGGGATACATGCAGTGTTAATAACTATTTTCTATTCAGTGTAAGTAGGAATTAATTATTTCTCAGTGATTTAGGAACAGCATCTTTGGGTAGRAAGGCTTAAACCTGAATCATATGCCTTTAAGAGGAAGAAAACAGTTCCTCCACACACAGATTCCYCAAGTAACAAAAGGAATTGTAAAATCTATTCTTGTTTTTCCTGGCCTTTCTGCTTGCAGCTGGGGAGTGCAGAAGGGATGAGAACTAGAGACACTGATTCTTKTTAAGTGCTGCAGAAACTTTGTTTGAAATTTGAGAAAGAGTTTTCAGCATTGGGGTATCCCTTTAGGCCAGTCAAAATTACTGGAAGGACTAAAATTGCAAGTCCTGACAGTTACAGCCTGTTAAGGGCAGTGTATTAAGTGACARTTCAGTCTCACTGGTTGTCATCCTGAGTGTCTGTGAATAGATTTCCCTGAAACAGCAGGATTCCAAGAGTGATAGCCTCCTTGTTATGCAAAGTTTAAAGGTAAGAAGAAAACATTGAATTTGCATGCCRAATACAAAAATAAATGGCTCATATTACATTTTTTTCTTTAATTACTGTTCTATTTGCCTTTCTCTTGAGTGTGTTCTAAAAAATAATTCATAAGTTCAAAGATCTGTTATGTTCAGAAACAAACAATGGCAGATTCTGGGACAGATTAGTAGATGGTGAATCCATACTATCTTTTTGATAATACTTGCAGCAAAGGCAATAATTAGGGCTGGTTTAAAAAACCAAAATGACAAAAAGAACTCTTTCTCTGTGTTTAATGCTGCAAACCTTCCCTGTAGTCCTTCCTTAAGCCTATTTTGCCTGCTGTCCTGAGTTGAGGGTGAAGCATGGCAGTGCTCCTTGTTTAGGTCTGCCATTCTGAAATACTGCCCTGTTCACCCACAAGCAGCTTCCCAGACACTGTAAAGCCCCTCTCACAGGTGTCAGACTTGTGCTACACTGAAGACTTTGTAAAATTCTCGTTGGCTTGTACTTAACTGCCTTCTTCAGCAGAATTGCTCTTTTTCAGTCTCTTAACAGAATGGAAGCAACTAGAAAAATGGATAAAAGCATAGGAGGCCAGGAGTGCCTCAGTAATGCTTGTGTTGACTTAAATGGAAGTCACTCAATTAAGGGATTTGATCCAGAAAAACAAGGCTCAGTGAAGCAATGGAGTGTTCAAAAGGCAGGTCTGGGGCACAGTTCCTGGGTAGGAATAACAGTATGGATCAGGTAAAGGATTTTAAAATGTGGAACTTACAGGTAAAGTGTACGGCTTAGAAGAACTAAAGAATTGAAATATTGCCGAGGTGATTTCAATGTTACTTAGTACAACAGGATTTTAAACAGTGCCAGGTATATTTTGACAGAACTTGTGGTTCCTTTCAGCCCAACAACTTGTGTGTGTTCRTACTCATAGAAGTTGAAACCATTTTTGCAGTAACATCTAAAGTCAGACTTTAMGATAAGTTTTATCAATGTGGTTCCTTTACATTGATTTAGTCTATGATAAATTCAGGCTTTGTTCTCAAAATGTGTTGTTCTTCAGTACCAGTGAAATGCTTCAGTATTGTGAGTTCTGACAAAGAGAACATCTGATGAAATTAAAACCGTATTACTTACCTCTGCATGCATTTTTCTAAATAAAATTATTCACTTTTTCATATGTGGAAGAAGTGGCTTTGTGATATGCACACAAAAACAAGTTCTGTGCTGTTTTAGCAGTCGTGCTRTTTGTGTGAATAAAAGTATATGTAATACATACAATTTATAATGGAATCCAACAGGAACAGGTTGTACCATTCTCTCGGTCCGGGGACAAGAGTGTCACGAAATGGCCATCGAGGCCACATGAAGGCCAGCAGGTACAATCCCACTGCACACAGAGGTGTCAAACCTTCCCTCTGCTGTTGGTGATTTGGTTTGGTTTAATAATTAAGTGGGTGTTTTCTGATGTTACCTTTCTAACTTACATATCAAAATAAAGGTAGAGACCTTTTTCTTCAGACTTAAAACTTTTCTGTTCTGTGACTTACTCTATATCAGCATAAGGACTGTTCATTCCAGTCTGCAAAGCCAAATTCCAAACCATTGGATCTTTCTGTCAAGGCTTAAAGATGTTTTGCCCAGGTAGCTTTTGAACTGCTTTCCACTGTGGAGCAGTGCTGGTAGTTCTCATGGGGAAAAGGAAGCTGTGTGCTTCTGGTGCTAATGGATGGAGTTCCAGATGTTTTCTTTGCTGGCAGTTCTGTATTGAATTTCTTTATTCCTCTTCTCTGAAATCAGAGAGATGCCTAAAATGAGTAACACATTTAAATTGCCCCCATTTTATATATATGGTATTTGCAAACTGACAGAGTAGCATAATTGATTATTTTGATTAAAGTACACAGTCTGTCTCCAGCTGTCACTGTAGTTGGGAAGGAACTGGCCATTAACTGTGAAACCTCTGTCATGTTAAGAAGCAAGCATTGTCTCACTGAAATAATTTCATGTTCACATCTGTCAGTGTCTMAAATTGTCTCCATATCATCATCCTCAGTAGGTGCTGCAATTAAAGCGTTCACTACATTTCCACTTAACTTTGGGCATTCATGACTCTTAGGATGGATGAAACAGCAAATCCTGACTTTCTTCAAAATTATTTTCGGGTGCTGTTCAATCTCTTGACTTTCCTASAAAGCTACTGGGTTCAGCACTTTARATACATACTCTGATAGACATTTRCTGGAATGATTAACTTTTCTCTGATTGAAAATGTTTTTGAAGACAGTCAGCTTTGTAATTTTAACCAAGCTCAGTTTTCTTTCCTCAGTGCTGTACCTGGCATTTGTTTCATCCCATTGGTCTTAGATGTTTCACAGGGCAGATGATCAGTAGAGCAGCAGTTGCATTAAAACACCTTAAAGCTGTGGTTTGGGTTTCTACTCTTTATTCCTGCTCCTGCCCACTCTCCTTGCTTTCAGATATTTTAAAGATTGTGCATGTTTGAGCTGTGCTTTGTTTTTGACGTGCTAATGGTTCTGGTGTTTCTAACCAAAAAAGTAAAATCTTTCTTGCAAAGGCTGAAGGAGAGGTTTAACATGTACAGCAGCTGCACCAATGTACTTCAAACGTTTGCTTTTTAAAATTAATTGTTCTTGTCTTTCAGTTGTGTTTTGAATTTTAGTTTTTTAATTAAGGATTACCTGCTTGGCTAATTAATTTTTCTGATTGCTTTTGCTTGTGAGTGTAAATTCCACAACAGTAATTCCTTGTAACAGCTAAAGTCTTTTTCTATMATGAAGTCAAATAAATAAAAAGTTGACATTTTCAAATTACAAGAAAGGTATTTGCATTAGTTCTTGGTAAAGGGAAAATATTTTTTCACACAAATCTTCACATGCTCCTTTCAGCTCCCTAGAGTCTGAAGATTTGGCTGTTCATTTGTATCCAGGAGCAGTTACTATTCAAGGTGTTCTCAGGAGGAAGACTTTGTTGAAAGAAGGCAAAAAACCTACAGTAAGATTTTTTTTTAATATAAATTAATTTTCTCACCTTTTTCTTGTGCCCGGTTGTTGATACAGTAAAATTCCCATTAGGCAGCTAGTTCAGGTGTCTGAGATCTCCTCTGCCTTGCTGGTTAAGGTTTAGGGTCACTGCTAAGAGTTTTCATCCTTCTGTTTGGTGCATTTATTCAGTTTGTCAGGCTATACACATTATCTAGGAAGTAGAAGAGAATGCTGCCTGAAAGTTTCTGCAATTACTGATGACTTTAAAATAGAGAGAATTGTATTTTGTCTTTCTTAACAATAGGTAAATCCCAACAATTTATCAATARATAATAACTCTTAGTGTTTATGYTGCAAATACTTGATTATAAATTATAAATCACAATATATATTCATGACAATGGGGGATACCTTTTGGCAGAACCTGAGCTGGAAAAGGAAAGAGACAGATGTACTCTGACTTGATGAAGTGTTCAGTAGGGATTGCAGGAAGTGTCATAAGATGCAGAAGATTTTTCTCAGATTAGAGAGGAATGGCACATGTTCTTTCTGCTTTCTGGAGTTTTCATGCATTCATAGGCCTGCATGAATAACAAACAGCAGCTTTGGAAACATGGCTGATGCTTGGCTGGACAGTCAGTGCTCTCATGTTCTTGCAGGAGGGTGCCTCCTCTTTTACAGCTCAGTGTTATAAAACATTTCACTTATCCATTGCACTTCTGGGTTTGTTTTTCTTATTTTCTCTCCAGGTAGCATCTTGGACAAAATACTGGGTAGCACTGTGTGGAGCCCAACTCTTCTACTACGCTGCAAARTCCCTGAAGGCTACAGAGAGAAAACACGTATGTACACCAAGCATATTCCAGTATCACCTGCCAAAATTAAAATGTGATTTCCTCATGTAAATACTGAAAGTAGCTCAGGCCTTGCCTGATTYCTAGTCAGCACTATCCTGTCTCCCAGTCAGTCACTTCATGTGGATGTACCCCAGGGAAATATCATTTACATCTATATGCTGCACCAAGAATATCTGCTTTGCATCTGCCATGTGTCTCTGCTGGTCTTAGGAAAGGAGCTGTGTCGTTGGTCTGTCCCTTTTTGAAGGCAGAAGTTCTGTCTTTCGATGATCTGAGTCTTGCAGCAATTTGTTGCAGTTTGAAATCCAAACAAGCACTGATGAGRAAAAGCTGAGTAGTCACAAGATACAACAATTAAACATGTACTAATTTCATACATGTGGTAAAATTAGATCATCTGATTTTTTCTGTATAATCCTGTAATGCATTAGCTGCAGTGGAGTACAAAACACTTCATCTGCTCAGCAGAGAGCTATGATGTCAGATGATGCTCGTGTTAATTTTATTTGCTTCAGCTTCATTTGGAGGAAGCTAAAAATGTTTTGCTTGTGTGGGGAAGGAACAAGAGGATTTTCTATACCTGTCCCRTGGATGYTAAGATGTGCATTGTTTGGTGTTCYTGTGTAATGTTCYCAGTTAATTGTAATGATTCTCTTATGAAACTGCATGAAATTTGAGATACTTGAATTTGAGTTCATTTACTACTCAGAGTCATTACTTAGTTGCCTTGGCCAGTGTTTCAGGTTAATTTATGACAACTGTCACTGTAGAACATTTGCTTTGCATGAAGCTTATGGAATTTTGCAAACTGAGTTGTGCTTTTGGAACCCTTGTAAAGGGGACTTTCTCTTTGGTACAAAATACTGTTTTCTTATCCTAACATTTTTATGGGCAGAGGGTAGAGATTTGAAGCTTAGTATTTCTGGTTAGCTRGCTTCTGGATATTTGAAGTTGCTATGTGGAAAGTTTGTGTGTAAAGTTCTCTTAATTTATGAGATTATTTTCCACTTTTTTTGAAAGTTCATTAGGAAATATTATACTCAAAGTACCTTAGTAGTAACTAATTACTTTTAGAAATATTTGCATGATTTCTTGGCCACCCACCCCTACTAGCTTTGCTTAGGTAAGATCAAAACAGATCCTACCTAATTTGTCTAGCCCAGGCTGAAGGTTCATTAGCCAATCCTCCTGTCTTCTGGGTGTCTTGGGAGRAGTGTGATGTGTGTTTGGATGCATTTTTCTCTGGCTTCAGTGAAAACTTTAGGGAAGGATTCCACCTCATTAAAAGGAAAGAGCAGGCTTGTTAGCTATTATGAGCAGAAATGCAAAGTRTTAAAAAAAAAGCAAGAACCAAAAGAAAACTTTTGCTGGCATTATGTCACTCACAGCTAGTTGCTTGAAATGGAAAGGAAACTTTATGGTAGTGTCAGACAGTGTGTTCCTGTTACTGCTGTGATTCCTTCAGGCTTTGTGCCAAAATTGCATTTTGTTTYCTTTTAGGAATAGAATATGTATTTGTAAGTCTCTTGTTCACTGTTCTTTACAAAATTATGGAGAACTTTACCAGACTTGTATCATTCAGAAGCTTTTTCACTCTCCGGTACTAACATTTTAAAACAATCTAAATAGCATGCAGGTTTAGAGAACTTGAAAAAATTGCTTAGCAAGGAATTACATTGTTACGAAATTAGGTACATTGAATTCTCATTGCTTACACATTTCCTTTGGAATAACAATTTCAATCATTTAAATAGTCTTGCCCTTTMTTTAGAAAAAGTAAATGAAGGRAAAAAGTAAAAATTCTGGTACCTGATCCTTCTGAGTCAGTCTTGTTCTTGCAAAAGCCTTTTCTTTGCTTTGAAATAGAGTCATAKCCATTTAGAATGTTCTTTCAGAGATTATTTTCTGAGCCTCTTAAATTGGCTTCTAGTACTCCCCAAGTCACTGATGTGATACCTACAATATCTAAACTGGTAGTGATGTTTRAGAAGCCAGAATCTGTCTCACATGTTGGTGTGTTGTGTTTCTTTGTCCAAGGATGTTCCAGCAGCCCCGTAAGAGGTTTGCACAGAGGGGTGAGGAGGTATTTGAGTCCAGGGTGCTGGCAGCATTTCCTTTTAGGAGAAATCAGCCTCATGATTTACAAATATTGAGAGGAGTTTGAGCAAGGCAATTAGCAGGGAAGGGAGGAAGAGGAGTGGTACTTAAAAGCAATGACTGCTGGAGAACATTAATTTCTTTTTGACAATTGACTCTGTGAAGTTGAACTGAGCTATCCAGCACAACCTTGGATTTGGCTGCACACTGCTCGTGTCTTGCTTTGAGCTTTTTTTGGGGAGCAAACACATTGTGTTCTGATCTCCACAACAAAACCCATTATGGAGCTCAGTCTCTGRTTTGGTTTCCCAGGTGCAGTGAAGGTTAATATACTGTATAACTATTTGCTACAGTTTGGGTTGTCTTTTATTGAAACAAATAGTGTGCACTGATTGCTCACCACAATCCTCTGCTTCAGAGGTTGTTATAACGCAGAGTATGATCTTTATGTTTAAATTAAGGTGCAGAATAACCCAGGAACTGCTGTTGAGRTGGAGGGATTAGGGAAGAGGCTCAGTTAATTAAACAGGCTAATAATAGGTGCTCAGTAACTTGTTCAGCTGCTCTGCCTTTGTTATACTTTGAGCCTGGCTATTGATGGCTTAGGTTTCCATCCATTTCACTACAGAGTTATTGTACAAAGCCTCAGCTTTGCTTCTGGAGTCTGTGGAGATGACTTGTCAAGGGTCATGCTTCAGTTCACATTTGGTTGCATTTTCAGGAAGAAAGTTAATCAGGAGAGAATGAACTGCAGATGGTCAATCATCCCTAGATAGCTAGAGCATGAGCAAATGCTCCAGATACTGTCCAGTGATATTCCTAAGAGGTTCATTCTGCAAAGTGAAGGCATCCAAGGCTAGGTTTAGGCTTTGGGGTTTTCATACTTCACAAATAAAAAGGATGATGCCGTCTACTTTGAAGCAGCTTTCTTTTTCAAGGATTGATGCACTGGAGATTTACCTCAGCAAAATATTCCAAGCATCTTCTGGAGCCATTTAAACATCTGTCTTTTCTGCTTCCTTTCTCAAGGCCTCTGTGACATGGAAAGGAACGCTGGCAACAAAAGAGTCAGTCTGCTATATAAAGTTTCCTGGCTGGAGCTCTCATGGTAAATGTGTCTTGATTACAGGCATGCTTTTGACCATTCTGCTGCTGCAATTGCTCCAGGCAGCTTGGAATGCACCAACACTCAAAGCTCTTCCAGGCTTATAATAGCCAACCTCGTTGGAAAATTACCTCATAAAAATCCCAGTGTAATTCAACAAAAAGGGCAAGAAATCCCTTTCCTTTTAGGCAWGGGCAAGCCAGCTCTTCTCCTGCCRGTGGTCAAAGGCCAAGGGGTGCATCCAGTGTTGTGTGCTGCATCTCCTAAGAGCAACAGCCTCAAATTAGCATTGATTTTAAATAGTGAGTAGGTTTCAATTATTACTACAATAATGGAGAATTGCCTGTAAATGAGTATGTGAGCTTCAGAGCCCAGAGATGTGGTACAGCACAGTCTGAGACGAATGTGTGTACAATAGTTTTATCTTGTTTTGCTGAAATGGTGCCCACAGAGGAGCCTTCATGAAAAACTGTAGCACTTGTGCACCTTTAGAAAAGGGCWATAGTAAGAATAGCCACTTGAATTTAAACTTAAAATGAGCACCCTGAAAAATGTAAATACACCTGTGAAGTAACTGTTTATAGTGATTGTACTGAGAGTCTTACCAATTTATGTGACAACAGAGCATGCATGAGAGGTTTTTCCATGCTTGTAGATACTTGGAAATCAACAGAGACAACAAATCCTTGTTTATTCCAAGCCTTTCATTGAATGCTATAATCAGAATTAGATCCATTTATTTGCAGTGTAGAAAACKTGGTAGTTGTGACTTGGGCACTTTCACTGAAATAGTCTGATGAAGAATGCTGTCATTCTAGGRAGGATGTTCAGCCACCAAGAAAATGATTTGAATATTAGAAAGCTGTGGAATCGCAACAGGAGATATGGAGGAGATTTTTAAGTGCCAAAATATTGGAGTGAAAAGTTTGTTCACAGATTAGTTCAGAGTTTTTTATTCAAAGATTTACATATAAAAGCCTTTGCGCTCAGAACAACAACAACAGCAAAATCAATGATGTGAAGCCTGGTGCCAGAGCTGTGCAATTTTCCACATGTATAATAAGAGTCATTCCAGTGGCCCATATTGCAAAAAGCAAATAGGAACCAGGAACATTAAATTACAATGAAGCTTTCATTCCCTTCATGTTAACAAAGCAGACTTGCTGTTAGCAAGGCTCTGTGCATCAGCAGAGAATGAACTGCCCTGGGGGACTGTGTAAACATGGAATACAAATCCAGCCAAGCACAGGGATGGAAAGCTGACATGTGTTTCARGTGATGATGGATTGATGCTGGCAGGAAACACTCTCCTTGTGTGGAGCTTTTCATTTTATGGAGAAGCACCATGATTAACATTGTTTTGAGTGAAGTGAAGCAGTTTGAGCTGTAGCAATTTGGATTGCRTGGCAGTGTCACTTATTGGATACCTGCTGGGATGTATAACTAAGATAGGAAAGCCCAATGTGCTTCCATGAAACTCTAGAAATAAAGTGTTGTTTAAGAGGTATATTTTGATCTGTAATCCACTAAAAGTGCKTTGTGACTCAAATTTCCATCTCTATGAAAAGGTCCTATTAATGCGTTAGGACTACCTGAAAGTTTGCATTTTGCAGGTCCCTTTTAAGTGTAAGTTAAGTTATGTCATCTTATTTTTTGAGGCAGTGTTGTCAGTCCATGACAAATCCTATATATACTCTACCTTTTTTTTAAGAACTCATAAGCTATATCCTTTATTCCCTTTCTTTGTCTTTATTCCTTCTCTCAGATAAAATGCCATGTTTTTTCACTACAGACTGACATTACTTACTGCCTTCTCAAAGAAATTTCAGGGTTTTTTTTGGAAAGGAGTAACTTTATCCTGCCCTCACTGTAAAGAAATCTTGTCTGACAGAGCTTTACAATTTACCTCCTCTTCTCCTGAGGCATTACCATATCTGCACCTCCCAAAGGCTGTGAGTTACTTAACTGTAGTGTGTGTATACCTGGACTCTTAAASTATTTTGAACTTGGTTAAAATTCTTTTTCTTTCAAATACTGATCTAACATTCGTTCACTGCAAGTTTTCATAGATTTTAAACTAGGGTTTAAAATGTAGCTGATTGTGCAAGTCCCAGACAGATAAACTTACCYGGACAATGGCTTCAAACTGACAAAAGGTGGGGTTAGAGTGGATGTCAGTGAGAAATTCTTCCCTATGAGGGTGGGGAGCCCTGATCCAGGCTGTCCAGAGAAGCTGTGGCTGCCCATCCCTGGAAGTGTCCAAGGCCAGGTTGGATGAGGGCTTGGAGCAACCTGGGATAGTGGAAGGTGTCCCTGCCTGTGGTAGAGGGATTGGATGAGATTATCTTTAATGTTCCTTCCTGCCCAAACCATTCTGTCATGATTCTATGACATTCCTATGGGGAATGACAGGTCTTCAATTAATCTGTGGCATACATTAGAATAACTGACATCAGACTTGAAATGGAATTTTATTTATGCAGTAACTGTATTCCCATGCAGAGAACATTCTTATGTCTCTTACTTTGCTCATGATACACTCAAACTTACTAGTAGTAACTCTTTCTTTTTTTGAACCAGAGTTCCAGYTTTGTAATACTAAAGCGCTATTTGTAAAATAAAACAAAAGTAACTTGATGCTTAATGTTGTGCTTGTGACATCAGCATAAAGAAACAAAAGTATTTTAGAACTACAGATTCATTTTAATAACTTAAATCCAAAACAATCTCAAGGATGTTCTGTCATTTCTAATAATGTAATTAGAGATCRAAATTACTGTGCTAATAAAGAGGCTGCTATGGGAATTCACCAGATAAAAGGAAGATGCATCTGGTGAGGATGCACATATATACTGGAGTTGGACCTGGTGGGCAGAGCAGTGAGGTAAAGCAGTGCAGAGGGTGAGAGTGCAAGGAGAGATGGAAGAGTCTCTGTTGGACCCTGGTGTGTGGGAAGAGGAGACCTGGCAGCTGAGGACATGAGAGAAACAGAATGAATTAGGGATTGGGATGTGGATGGGACTGCCGGGCAAGTAAGGAGTGAGTTGGGAGGATCTGCTAATAGATAAACAAGGAGAGTAGGGAGAAGGAAGCTTGTGTTTGGAAATAATTTGGATTTATTGGGTGAGTAGAGCCTGGAGCTGAGAGGAGAAGCATGAAAAGGAGAAAATAATACTGTGACCAGGTGAATGCTACTTTAGTCCCTCTCCTGACAGCTCCACTGTTTTTCAGAGACAGGTGTTGTGCTTGGGCCTAAATTATCTGTCCAATATGGGAATAACACCTGGAACAGGAAACCCCCATAATTGTGAATATCTTGTCAATAAATTAGCATGACTGCCTGTTTCTGGGCACTTGTTTAGTAAATTTTCATCCTTATTTGATACATTTATTCCATCAGGTCATAWTATTTAATTAGTTTGTGTTCCCTTGTCCCTGGGACTTAYGCTATGTGTAATTAACAGACTWTTTCARTAATTTGTATATGCTAACTGAATAGTTACAGCACAAACAAGTTCAGTTCTTCTATTTGTGAACAGCAGAGGGAATGGTTTTGCATTTATTAATACCCTTATATTTTAACTCATGTTCAAATGTGCACTAATTTGGTGAGGAATGCTGTTGTARTTATGCAGTGCAGATTAGATGTCTAACAAGCTTTTGCAGACTGTGATGCCCCATTTAATTTGTTTTGAATATCACTCATTGGGTTAAATTCTGTTTTCACTAATTTCTTACAAACTTCGTCAATTCTTTTAATCTTGTGCTCTGCTTCATTAAAAGTTACCCAGTCTTTACCAGTGTCCCTGAGAAGAGCTGCCCTGTTGAGTTGTTCTCTGTAGATCTGGCTGCTGCCTCTTGTTTGATTATTCCATTTTCATCTCTGTATTTCCAGTTCAAATCCACACCCAGTAAGAGCGTCTCGGTGGTGGGCTGGATGGTGATGATGGCAGATGACCCTGAGCATCCAGATCTCTTCTTACTGACTGACTCTGAGAAGGGTAAGCAGTGTGCTGGTTCCCAGAATAAGCATTTGATTTGCTGAGGTCATTTGTCAGCAAGTGCACGGTGCCATCCTGGCAGTTTCAGCTGCTCTCCAAGATGTCATCTTTGCCTTTAGAATGCTATGGGAACAATAACCCAGGGAGACTCCTTAGAGTCTCCATCAAGTTCTAAGAACTGTCTCTTAACTCTTAAACAACCCAAAATGTGATTTTAATTTGAAATATTTATCTGCATTCTTTTMAACTATATTTTGAACACTTCAAGGCATTTTCACATGTGAAAATACAAGTAACAATTAAAAAAAAGATTCAGCTAACACTAGGTGCTTAAGCAGTCTCTTCTCCTCTCCAAATGAAAACCAAAACCCAAACCATCTGTTCAAATGTAGTGCTATTACCAGGAAAAAAACCCTCAAGAGATCTTGACTGTTCCGTGGAGAAGATTGTGGGTTTCCATTACTCCAAAACAGTGTCTGCTTTCTGCTATAATTCTGAAGAAAATGTTACTTTTCCATAGCACTTCAAATTGTGCAGAAAGAACACTATTAGAAGTCTGATAAAGGAGTTTTAAATTATTTATTGATTTGTCTGCTTCAAGTCTTAGTACATTTTATTTCCAAACATCTCTTCTAGCACCACTGATATGAAGTATAAATTGTGAGTGGTTGTCAGCTTAAACTCTGCCACAGCAATCTGAAATGTTTTTGTAACACTTGACCTTTCTGAACCCAAACAAGCACTGTGTAACTCCAGCCACTGAAAGTACTGGTCTGAAATGTATCAATACATTCAGGTGTGATTTTCAGGTGTTTTCAAATGTAGCTTTCCAGGGTGTATTTCAGTGCTATCTTGCACTTCATTAAAAAAACTAGTATATTATAAACTATTTGTAATAATGGGGTTTTTGTTTTGAGGGATGTTTTGCTCTTTCCTAGTTGATGCAGGCATTAGTTGAAATCTAGAATTTTGGAAAGACCAGTGAGCTGAAACGTCTCTTCARTAGGTCAAACAATTGCACCTATTCCAGACAAATTATAAAGCTACATGAAACTTCTAGTACTAGATCTTTTCATAATATTTAAATTTAGAGCTACTTGAATATGAGTAGGATCTAGGTGTATAGCATTGTTTATGTTTCTTCATCTGTTTTTTTCTCTTTCTCACTTAGGAAATTCATATAAATTTCAAGCTGGAAACAGAATGAAYGCAATGCTCTGGTTTAAACACCTGAGTGCTGCCTGCCAAAGCAACAGACAACAGGTGAGAGCAACACAGTGGAAAGGAATGAGCTTTTAAGAGCTCAGACCTGATGGATCTCCAAGCTGACCAAGCTGTCACTGGCTTTTCTGTTTGTCAAGTSGCAAATAAAGCCCTTGGAGATTCTGGAGTGATGAAGACATGTTTGGGGCTACCTTGAGGCTAATTAAGCAATTGGGGAAATTGAAGGAATGCTCTAAAATATTTGTCCAAGTGGCAGTGCTCTTGTATTGCCCAGTTGCAAAATGCTATTGTACAGTTCTGTAAAAAGCTCTAAACTTTCAATATCGATTCCAGATACTCTCCTGAAATGCCTTTTTTCAGGCCATGGACATGGGTATTTTCTGCTGTTTGTTATGTRTTTTGTATTCCTAAAATGTGTACAAAGTAGTTCAGTCCTTGGTATATTTTCCAGTCTTTGAAAGCAAAAGTGGCATTTTCCATGAATCAAAAAGGAAGATAAGTCTGCTCCAACCCCTATTAAATTCTGTTCTCATATTAAATCTTACCTTTTTCATCAGCAAAATCCTTTTTAAGTTACTTTGTCTCCCTGAACTCTTCCTTTACTCTCCTTGTTTATGGAGTTCCCAGAGGAGAAATCCTACTGAATTTCAAGGGGAAACAAAAAGGCTTTTCCAGAACCTTCTCTGCTTGCTTGTTCAATTCTGCCTCTGAGAGAGGTCTTAAGAAATAAGGAGGGTTGCAGAAGCTCATGTGAAGGTATTTGAGACAGTGCAAAGGAGAGAGGAATTTTGATCCTGGCTGRAGGAAGTGGGGATAGTAGAAAATAGTGGCAAAGAGTTTGCAAGCAAGTGGTGACTTCAGACAAGCCTGAAAACTGTCCTCTAAAGTCAGCTTTGGTTCAGTAAGGTTTATTTAACAATTCTATTTAATACTGTTGACAGTGTAACTGCCTTAGAAAAATAAAATGTTTAAATGTGTTTTCAATACAGTATAAACACCTAGGCAGCTGAAAAATTCTAAGAACTATTTTTATAGATACAGCTTCTGGTTCTAATGGTGCAGCTTTAGCCAGTTAAGCATTCTTGCTTCTGCAGGTAAATGGTTAATGCAAAGCAAGAAGTGCATGTTTCAGATCTGACCAAACTGAGTATTTATTGACAGTGATCAGGAATGTGGTGGTTCTTTAATAACCATACTAAACAATAGATGTTGTTGTCAGACAGATTCCTGATGGAGAGAAAATGGGGATAGAAACTAATGCATTGCAAACGAGCTCTAATCTTCATGAAAGGGACTGACATGTGTAGGTATTCAGGTTTCCTATGGAAAGCCCAAACAAGTGTTTATGCCTCATTTTCTAAAATTAGTCTTAAGACTAAAGGGCCTATGTCAGTGACTGATCTGTGTGCTGTGAATTTTGTAGCTGRGGCTCAGGTGAGAGGATTCTCCTTGTCTGTCTAGCAGAGCTGAGATCTGTCATGTTAACGTTGTTTTGCTGACAAATCTTAAATGTCATCAAAATTAGGAAGTTCTACGGCCATGTAATGAAATTGTAAATATCACAGCAGTTTAATATTTTGGTCATACCTGGGTTTTCTACCGCTCTGAGTATATTTTTACTGCTGGATGATAGTTGCATTCCTTCTCCCTTTTTTTGAAAACAATGATGTGCATTCCAACAGGTATCTAATCTGTGAAATAGCTGAATGCAAGTAGCTACTACCTGAAGTAAATTCTTCTGTCATTTTTATTTTTGTTTTCAGGTTCCTGCCAACTTGATGACTTTTGAATAACAGGCAAATTCAAAACAATATAGAAAGGACAATTTAAACCATCTCGTAATTGAGAACGAGGTCCTGATGAAAAATGTGCCAGCTGTATTCTGTGCCAGAACAGAACCTGTCAACTCGATCTCTGAACTCTGGAGCCCTGAACAAAACCACTAATGGTTGGGGAGTGGAGTCCCCCGAATTAAAAATGGAGTTGCAACATGAATTGCCATGGACCATGATTCATTATGTTCTCAGAACTGACCTGTGGAAACCACTGCCTTAAAGAATGAAAGGAGAAACAACATGAAACACCAAATAGTGTGTGTGAAACTTCTGGCGGTGCTGTGCTTGAGTTAAATAGATTGTAGCTAGTTTTGAGTTTCTTTTAACTTTATACTAATTTTGAAAATAACTCACCTTTTTAGGCATTCTTAAGAAAACAGGTAAATGGTATTTAAGAGTTGTATCAAAAGCTGTGTATGAACTGGGTAAAAGGTACTCTATGTTCTGGAGATGTTGTTTAGACTATACCAGGAGCCCTGGAGGGAAGCTTGTCCCAGGCACACTTAGCCTGGAGCAGTGTTATTTCTCTCTGACCTACAAGTATAAGAAATGTAACACAACTGTGAGTTTAGAGCAGCTCTGAGCTTGCAAACCTTGGTCCTGTGCAGGAGCCCGACTCTGACAATGGTACAGAGGCTGAGCCAAAAATCAGTTTGGTGTGTTTTGACCTAATTGGAGCTTAAAAGTACGTGGTTCAGGCAGTCAGGGGGTGTGTGTGTGTAAGAGACAAAACTGAAAGCACTGCTGGGTCAGAACTGAGTGTTTTCATCCCATTTGTTTCTACACCTGTGACTCTCCTCCACAGAAAAGCTGAATGACAGAACACCAACACTTGGGTACAGCTCACTGAGATGATTGACTCTGGCTATCTGCTAATTATCAGTTAGGGACCACTGTTAGTGTGTGGTGTTTCATAATATCACTTCAGATGGACATTTTAAAAAGATAGAGGCACAATTTCAAGCTTTCGTGTTCTCATTTGGCAATAATTGATTTTAGTATCTGTCTTGGTCAAAGTAGTTGACRTTGTGTGGTGTTGATAACATGGCCTATAGCAGACCTTACATACAGAAGCTCTTTTGATCTTCAGGCAATTAACTAATTTATTAGAAGGTAGGATAACCTAAGGAGAGAAAAGGTGTGGGGCCATCAAAAKTTCATCCTTAACAGGAATCATTCTTGGTCACTGAAATTACTCACGGAGAAAAACATAATGGTTGTAAAAAGGGAGCTGTGCTTTATGTGTGTGTTTGATGCTTAAGACTTTGATTCTTGCTTTATTGGGTTTCCTTGACGTCACCTAGTTTCCTGGATGATTAGTCTTTAATCTTCAAAAGTATGATCTTTGTAAAGCAAGGAAACATTGTCCAAAATATGACTCTAATATGGAACTTTGAAGTCTGTGAAAAAGTAGTAACTGTTCCATTGGCATTGTGGTTTAGTGGCCGTAAATATGCTTGCAGATTCCACCATGAATTCTCCTTTTTRAACAGAAACAAGCTACCTACCAGTCTGTTTCAGAGTTCTCTGACTATCTAATAAAGGTTTCTACTGGTAGTTGTTATTTTGAAAATGTATAGTTTGTTTATTGCATCGGAGTAGAAGCCTGTAAATTCACTTTTGAGGGTTGTTTTTTTTCCAGAGTCAAATCAATTGTGTAATGGAAATGATTAATTTCTGATTTCTGGCGGGCATAAAAATAGAAGGATAATGCAGTCTCACAGTAAAAAAAAACAAAAAAAAACAAAAAAAAATTCACTTGGTGATGTAAATGGTAATAGACTGGTTTATGTTTCCAAGAATTGTTCTGAATTGGCTTTTGGTAGAAAGAAARCAGTAGAAGGATGCTTCTGTTCGAATTACACCACAAGGAATATGAGAATTTGGCTCCCCTTSCAATTCTTTTGTTGCTGTTTTTTTATATGGGGAATAAATAGTCTGTTCTGAAGTCATGAATTTTGGGAAGGGGTTGCTTGTGCTGAATCCCTCTRCAATTCACACATCTCCCCAGTTTACCCACGTTGGGTGTATAGTAAAGACAACATCCTCACAGCCAGCAGTGTTACTTAGTAGACTTTGCACAACTTGAGTTTGGTTTTTTTCTGTTTTAAAACTTACTTAATGTGTGTTGCTTCTCAATGACTAAGTGTTTGTTTGGGTTTTTTTAACAATGTGTGTCCTTTTTTTAAGCATTGTGGATAATAGCCTGTGGATTTTGAATTTTTAAATAAGCTATTCTAGTTTCCTTGCAGCATAACTGTGTCTATTCTTTTGTTAGTGAAAGGAAACATGCAACCAGGAGCCACAGCCTGACAACCCACAGCTTTGTTAGGGACAGAGCCAGGTCAGGACGTGTCATTTATTACTTGATTTTTGCATTTTCCAGCTGTTTTGAGTTAGGTTTATATGGTAGGAGGATGGTGGGGAGAACAATTCATAAATSATCCTTTAATGAATTGTTGCTGCTACCAGCTTTCATTGTCCTCAGGCCTCCTACTCTTCCTTGCTTTCTGCCCTCAGGTATGCTGGTTTTTTGTGGGAGAGATTGAATATTGTGGGAGGAGTTTCTTAAAATGTGTAGCCAGAATAACTGGAGTGAGTAATGACAACACAGCAAATATTTTTGGCACTTGTTCCAGTGAGTAGTTCAGTACTTTCCTGTTGTTTACAGCCTCTCTGGCCACTTTGTCCTACAGGGCAACACACAAACATTTCTATGGCTTGAGATAAATGGTGCTCAGAAAGAGCTGCTGGCTTTGTTCCCTCAGCTAAGCCTTGGAAGACAAGTCAGATACACTGTGAAGAATGTACTAATGCTCTTTTTTTTTTTTTTAAAAAAAAAGGAGTTTAAAAAAATTAGTTAACTGAAAACTAGTGCTGAGAATACAAGGAGAGTGGCAAGTGAGGTAAGACTGTCATCCAGCCTGCTTTGGACAGCTGGCAGTTTCTCCTTGATTTTTATTTTTAATGTGTTACTCTAATTCTTTATCTTGTTTATAACTGCTGGAACACTTCGGCTAATATTTGTCACTTTACCTCCTAAAGYTTGTGTTTTGAAACTAAAGATGCCCTTTGCAATTCCTTGTTTTGGCTGCATTTGAGAAAAAAAATTCAGATTAGTTCTTCTAGCAAGATTTCAAATATAAATATTAATTATCTGACCAATAACCACCTTTTTAGCTAAACTAAAAGTTTTGGGGAAGATTAAGCAGCAGGGAATGTCTGATTTATGAAATTGGTGCACTGCATTAAAAATATATAACTATGCACTGGTGGTTGAATACTTACTGCTAACTTTTATCTAATTTAATCTGTGCTACTTTTGACTAGGATTTTCAAACCTGACTTCTATTCCAGCATCCTTGGAAARCAAGTAATTTTTATAACTTTTCTTTTTTAAAAATTCTGGTAGTTTGAATAAACATGGCTAATCCCAGACACTTTTTCATTTTGCAGACATTTCATGCCAGAGGAGTATTACCCAAGCTATTATCATTCATTAAGTATTTAGGTGCAAGTTATAGGCATTAAAACTACAAATATTAAATGAAGTCACATAAATACTTAATGAATGAGCTATAGCACCCAGCTTTAAAATTGTGTTTTGAGAAGTTTGCACGTTGGAAAACATACTGGGAGCAAAAGGAAGCTTAAAAAAACACAGCAKGGTTTTATTAGTTATCTACTCCTCACTATAAGTAAATTCTTCTAATTTAGTGTTTCTTGGAACATCAGCCTCCTGTATTTGCATTTATATATTTTCAACACTAGTCCTCCTCTATCAGTATCAGACATAACACATGGTGACAGTAAATCCTCTCCCTCCCAGCAGAAGCAGTTGCAGGTTTTTTGTGCTGCTGAGACACGAGAAGTCGAGGCTGCTTTTGTGACAAAAGGCAAGTTAATCTTATGGTTTTGATTATCTGTAACAAATCTTGTCCAGATCAAGATAAAACATGGGATCCTTTTTCTTCTGGCTCTGTCAGTGGCCTTTTTCTTCRTTACTTGTCTTTTTGAATTTTTTGGTATTCTAACTCACCAGCACTAGCAGTGCCAATCTTTTTCATGGCCAGCACTTTGTGCTGCCTGTTGCAGCATCAAGACCCCAGAATTGGTACTAAATTACATCAGTGAATTGTCTGTGTTCCCTACAAGGAGACAGTTATGGAGGTTTTTTTATTATTCCTTAATATTGGCCTTTTTCTTTATTTTTTTTTCTAAAAGCAGCTTGTGCGTAAGGCGGTTTGGCTTGGGAAAGTTGTTATTAAAAGGATCTGTACGAGTGAACATTGAATTTRTTCCTAGGGGTTATCCCTTCTGTTAAAAACCACCATTCTAATTTGTAGTGCATGAAGAGGGTGAGTGCTTGGATTTAAGGAGGACTTTTGTCAGTGCCTTATTATGAACTTGAAGACCAATTCCTTTATTTCAGTGGTGAGTCCCACCGTGGCAGACCTGCAGGCTGTGTCCTCGATGTACCAAGGGGTGACATTCCTGACAGCCTTTGCTTTTCTGCAGCAKTCAGTTGTTTTGGTCAATGTAAAATAGCTGTGGCTTGAGTTGCTTTAGTATTTTTTTTTCTGTATTTAAATAGCCTCTTTTTAGGAAAAATGCAGAGGTACTTGGTAGCTTGGGCTTGTTCAGCTTTTATCAGAAGTAGCTCAGACCTCTTAAAAATTAATTTATTTTTATTTTCRTATGTCTCTGAGTAGATTTAGTTGGGGGAGGGGCKGGRTGAAGAGAGTAGTCCCAGTCATGGTCTAGACCACATGAGCTCAAGAGCTCAAATTTTTAGAAAGGAGCTTGCTTTTGCTTTTGTCTGTYCCACTTCAATGTAAACACCGAGGAGCATTTTTAGGAGATTTCTTCCTTGCAAGCTTTTTGTTAATGTGAAATAAATACCACAGGAAAAAACTGTTTGGGGAAAGAGTAGGCTTGAATAAATCCTAATCTTAATATCCCAAAGGCTCAGTTTTGTATATTGTATTTCTAGTGCCAACACTGTGTAGGGAGCACTATCCTTCATGAAACAACTGCTAGAGACTGTTTTAGCAGCAAAGGCTTCAGAAGCTTTGGAAGGGGAAATGAAAGAAAGAATGTGTTTTTCTTAAGCAATTAAATATTTGTTTTCCTGGAATACATCCTTATAAAAACACAGCAGTTTTACTATAGTCTTTTTATAAATTCAGATGTTGGAAGGATAATTTTGAAAATTAATCTTACGCTTTCTAAGAATATTCAAAGACAGCAGAATGGTCAAAGRAGAAAATACAAATTCCTTGGTGTAGCTCTGGCTGTTGCAGAACTGAGCTGACGAGTTTTCTCTAAGTCACATTGCAAAGAAAAAGAAGGTGTATGAAATGTAATGAAATGCAAGTTCCTGTAGATCATGGCATGGTTTTGGCTGGGAGCCTGGTCTTGCTCTTGAGCGACTGAAAACACCATAAATACTCCGTTGCCTTTGTGTGTTTGATTATTATTATTATTATTATTTCTCTTTATTCAGGTGGGTTCTGGCCCTCATGTGTTTCCTGAAGGAATTTCTTACCATTCCAAAGCTGTTCACAGCTGAAACTGCAAAGCAGACAAGCAGYATAAATGGATTAAATGTTGAAATAAAGGGTTCTGGGGTGCCTGGTTTAGTGGCACTTCTGGCTCCTTGTGTGCAGGAGTGCATCCATTCCAACACTCCTGTACTCAAGTGGAAAAAGCACCAAGAAACATAGATGTGTTTTCTAATACTCCTGTAAGGACCAACCATCACTGGAAGGGGGATCAAGGTGTCATGCAGTAAACACAAGCCATTTTTAATGTTCCCTGCTGGCGTGAGGCATTCCAGGCACGGAGGGATTGCACTATGATCTCGCYGAGTGATGTGCAGTTTGGCTGTCCTCAAGCCTCTTCCTTCACCTTTTTTTAATACTTTCTTCTCTGTGTGTGCGTGTGAAAATTGTGTGTTTGCATAAGCTAGTTTAAATGAATTTAAGAACAGGTTTCAAAAATCTTTCCTACTGAAATAAATGATTTAAAAGATGGCCTGTGTCTGAAGTTTTGATTTCTCCTTTAAAAAACTGCATCGAAATTCCAGCTAGGTTATGCAGTATGAAATTTGACTGTCTTACTGTTGCTGAGATCAGCTGGAATTTTAGTGGCTTTTTTCAATGAACCTCTGAAATGAAGCGTGTAAAAATACCATTGTCTACTGGTGCAAAAGAAATCCAAAAACTAGCAGGGAAATACAGTTCATTGAAGAGATTTATGTCTGGTCTCAGAGATCGTTCTGTTAAATGATGTGGTTTTTCTCTCCTTGGTAGTTTATCAGGTTTGGGGTTTTGGTTTTTTTTTTTCTGTTGTCTCTATACTTAAAGCTGTGGTAAATTTAAACTCACTGGAAGCAGTCATCAGGCAGATTGGCCCTTAAGGAGCAGCTACATGGAAGCTAAACTGAAAATGAAGAAGGAATGAATAGCATRGCAATGCCTTGTATTTCCTTAGCTCTTTGTTTGGTGTTGTTTCCCTACTCTGTGCCTTTATAATGCTGTGAAGCCTTACTGATCATACAGCCCTGGGGGAAATGCTGTGGGATSGGGTTGTGAAATGCTTGTCAGTGTGAGCCTTGGGCTCCTTCACCTTTTCTCCTTAATGGARCCATTCATTTCAAATGTATTTACAAAGAGAGAAGGAATAAAGTAGATTTTTGTAACCCCCTCCTTTTTCTTATTTCCAGATTACTGAGTTTGAGAAACACTTAGTGCACTAGTKTGAAAAGAAACACAGAATTGATGAGCTGCTGATTGATTTTTTTTTTTTYTWAACTTTCTATGGCAAACATTTTCAGACGAGTTGCTTTATTAACTGGAAAGCTAACTCCATGCTCTGCAAGAGRGAGGCACAGATGGAGAAAGGGATTCTTGGTTCAGATCCTTCTTGGAAAAGAYTTTCTCTCCCCTGTTTGAACTGCATCTCTGTCCAGGACAAAGATTCCAAGTCTGGCTCTGTTAGTGCCATCATTTATCTTTGACTTCTGTCTGTCAGGTTCTCTCTTGCCTTTAATACTGAAAGGTTGTAGCATGTCTGCAGCACCTCATAGAAGTGGTCAGAGTGAGAGTTCTTTGGCATATTTKAATTTTATCTCTTTTCCAAGTCAAGGAACATGTCAAAAACTCCTTTTGCCCCTTTGCTTTTGTTCTTGTCTCAGGCTGCTGTTACAGAAGGTGGGCTCCAAATCCACAGAGTGAGAAGAGAGGGGGRAAAAGGCACCTGATCCTTTCCTTGTTTCCCAACTGGAATGATTTTCATTCAGGATATACTTCCTGTTATCTTTCCCCAGCTCTATATGCTGAGTCCATGAACTGAATTTCCTTTYGAAATTGTGAGATTTCAAAGAATTGGAATTGCTTTGGTTTTCTAACTTCATCTTTACTTTGCTTTTTTTTTCCTTTTGTGTGGGAAGAAATCACAGTGCAGGGGGAGGGATCCACATCTGTGGGTAAAACAGAGAAACGAGACCACAGATGTGTGAAATAACCAAGCTGAAAGGAGATGATATTTTTACCTTTTTTAATATTAAGATTGGTTTTTGTAAGTGAGAATGTTAGGTAACAAAAATGTGAGCAGATGACATCCAGATGTAAACAGATGATAATGTTTTGGCATAACCTACATGCTTTGACAACAGAGCAGGGTTATGGTTTTATAACAACAAATAAATTGAATACAGAAGATTGAATCCATGCTTCYAACTTGTGAGTARTATTTTTATTGCTTTTATTTRTTTCTTGCTTTAATTGAGCATTMTTACTGAAACATAMATGCTTAYRTGGGTAA